AGAAATAAACACACACTTATACAGTCAATTAATCTATGATAAAGGAGGCAAGACTATGCAATGGGGAAAAGATAGTTTCTTCAACAAATGGTGCTGGGAAAACTGGACAGTGGCATGCAAAAGAATGAAATTGGACCATTTTCTTACACCATATACAAAAATAAACTCAAAATGGATTAAAGACCCAAGTGTGAGACCTGAAACCATAAAAATCTTAGAACATAGGAAGTAATTTCTTTGACAGCAACCATGGAAACATTTTTGTAGGTAGGTCTCCTGAGGTAACAAAACAAAATTAAACTACTGGAACTATATCAAAATAAAAAGCTTCTGCACAGTAAAGGAAATGATCAACAAAAACAACAAGGCAACCTACTGAATGGGAGAAGATATTTGCAAATGACATATTCAGTACAGTATATCCAACATATATAAAGATTTATACAACTCAGCACCAAAAACCAAATAATCCAATTAAAAATGGGCAAGGGAGCCTGGATGGCTCAGTCAGTTAAGCATCTGACTCTTGATTCCAGCTCAGGTCATGAGCTCAGGGTCACGAAATAGAGCTCCGTGCGTCAGGCTCTGCACTCAGTGGGAATCTGCTCAAGATTCTCTCTCTCTTCCTCTCCCTCTACCTTCCCCCTGCTCACTGGCATGCTCTCTCTCTCTCTCTCAAATTAAAAAATGGGCAGAGGATATGAATAGACATTTTTCCAAAGAAGACACACAGATGGCCATGAGACACATGAAAAGATGCTCATTACTTATCACGAGGGAAAAGCAAATAAGAACCATAATGAGACAGCACCTCACACCTGTCAGAATGGCTAAAATAAAAAAGACAAGAAATAACAAGTGTTGGTGAGGTATGGAAAAAAAGGAACACTTGTACATTGTTCATGGGAATGTAAATTGGTGCAGCCACTGTGGAAAACAATATGGAGGTTCCTCAAAAAATTCAAAATAGAAGTACCATATGATACAGTAATCCTACTATTGGGTATTTACCCAAAGAAAACAAAAACACTAATTCAAAAAGATATATGCACCCCTATGCTTATTGCAGGATTATTTATAACAACCAAGATATGGAAGCAACCCAAGTAACCACTGATAGATGAATGGATAAAGAAGTGGTACACACACACACACAAACACATACACACACACTTACACACTGGACTATTAGTCATAAAAAAGAATGAGATCTTGCTATTTGCAGCAATATGAATGGCGCTACAGAGTATAATGCTAAGCAAAATAAGTCAGAGAAAGGAACACCATATGATTTCCCTCATATGTAGGATTTAAGAAACAAAACAAAGAAAAAGACCAAAAAAACTCCACAAAAAACCGGACTCTTAAATATAGAGAACAAATATTATTTGTGGTGGTTGCCAGAGGAGAGGTGGGTGGGGGATGGGTGAAATAGGTGAGGTTTTTGAGAGTACACATGTCCTTTTTTTTTTTAAAGATTTAAAAAAAAATTTTTTTTTAAGTTTACTTACTTAAGTAATCTCTATACTCACTGTGGGGCTCAAACTCATGACCCCACGATCAAGTGCCACAGGCTCTTCCAACTGAGCCAGCGAGGTGCTCCTTCAAGATTTATTTATTTATTTTTTAAGTGGGCTTCACACCCAGTGTGAACTCACGACCCTGAGATCAAGACCTGAGCTGAGATCAAGAGTCGGATTCTTGGGGCGCCTGGGTGGCTCAGTCGTTAAGCGTCTGCCTTTGGCTCAGGTCATGATCCTGGGGTCCTGGGATCGAGCCCCGCATCAGGCTCCCTGCTCCGCGGGGAAGCCTGCTTCTCCCCTCCTTCTCCCCCTGCTTGTGTTCCCTCTCTCGCTATGTCTCTCTCTGTCAAATAAATAAATAAAATCTTAAAAAAAAAAAAAAAAAGAGTCGGATTCTTAACCAACTGGGCCACCCAGGTGCCCTAAGATTTTATTATTATTATTTTTTAAAGATTTATTTATTTATTTTTATTTGAGAGAGAGAGAATGAGAGAGAGCGAGTACATGAGAAGGGGGAGGGTCAGAAGGAGAAGCAGACCCCCCGCCGAGCAGGGAGCCCGATGCGGGACTCGATCCAGGGACTCCAGGATCATGACCTGAGCCGAAGGCAGTCGCCCAACCAACTGAGCCACCCAGGCGCCCCTAAGATTTTATTTTTAAGTAATCTCCACACCCAACGTGGGGCTTGAATTTACAATCCTATGTCCAAGAGTCCCATGCTCCACTGACTGAGCCAGCCAGCCGCCCAAGAGTACATTTCTCTTGATGAGCACTGAGAAATATATAGAATTGTTGAATCATTAATTATACACCTGAAACTAATATCACAGTGTATGTTAATTATACTTCAATTTAAAATGCAAAAATTTCTTTTTTAAAGATTTTATTTATTTATTCATTTGAGAGAGTGAGAATGAGAGAGAGAGCACATGAGAGGGTGGAGGGTCAGAGGGAGAAGCAGACTCCCTGCCGAGCAGGGAGCCCGATGCGGGACTCGATCCCGGGACTCCAGGATCATGACCTGAGCCGAAGGCAGTCGCTTAACCAACTGAGCCACCCAGGTGCCCCAAAATGCAAAAATTTTTTTAAAAAAAGACAGAGAAAACAAGTTTCACAAGAAGGATGTTTGTTCTCTAGGTCCTTATCTTTTACAGTATCTGCAAGCCTTTTGAAACAAATAAAGGAGTTTTGGCAATTGGTTAAAGAAATAAGAGAAAAAAAGTTTATAAATGGCAATCCAGTTCTTTGTGGGCATCAACATCACCAGGGGCTGGGGCTGGAAAGCCAAGATAAACTACTAAACTTACTTCTTTATAATAAAAATTCAGACAGTCTGCATCTTAGGACCAGAAGGAACTGCTGGAGGAGGACCCAGTCTTTTTTTTTTTTTTAAGATTTTATTTATTTATTTGACAGAGAGAGACACAGCAAGAGAGGGAACACAAGCAGGGGGAGTGGGAGAGGGAGAAGCAGGCTTCCCGCCGAGCAGGGAGCCGGATGCATGGCTCAATCCCAGGACCCCAGGATCATGACCTGAGCCGAAGGCAGATGCCTAACGACTGAGCCACCCAGGCGATCGGAGGAGGACCCAGTCTGTTCTCATTCTCCATATAGGGCTATTTTCAGGGAATACTTAAAGAGCTCAGTTACTTGATGGGGTGCCTGGGTGGCTCAGTCGTTAAGCGTCTGCCTTCGGCTCAGGTCATGATCCCAGGGTCCTGGGATCGAGCCCCGCATCCAGTTCCCTGCTCCGCGGGAAGCCTGCTTCTCCCTCCTCCACTCCCCCTGCTTGTGTTCCCTCTCTCGCTGTGTCTCTCTCTGTCAAATAAATAAATAAAATCTTTAAAAAAAAAAAGAGCTCACTTACTTGAGAAGGAAAAATCCTTTCTTAGCCATAGTACTAAAGAAGAACAACAATATCTTTAAAAGTTTTATTTCATTTATGCTTGTCCCTAGAAATGGAAAGGACACAATGATCTGCAGAATTCTCTAAACAATTCTTTTTTTTTTTTTTAAGATTTTATTTATTTATTTGACAGAGACACATGGAGAGAGGGAACACAAGCAGGGGGAGTAGGAGAGGGAGAAGCAGATTCCCCGCTGAGCAGGGAGCCTGACGCGGGGCTTGATCCCAGGACCCTAGGATCATGACCTGAGCAGAAGGCAGACGCTTAACCAACTGAGCCACCCAGGTGCCCCTAAACAATTATTTCTGCTTAACTGCTAAACTTCACCTTTATATGGACCTATTGCTACAACTTCCAAAGGCAACCAGAGATGTTTTAGTCTGCCAGGGCAAATAGGATTTTACAGCAAGAGTTTCAGACCAAACAGGCTAAATCAATGATCTGAAAAAAAGACACAAAACTCCCAACTTTTCCTGGAAAATTTGGGAACACATTGAAGAATTTGTCCCCATTTGGAAGGCAAAATGGAGATCCACTCCATTGCATTTTATATTCTTTGGTACCAGAGCCTGGTGCTCTAAGGTTTTTGGTTGCATCATGAATGCCACTTGCTGTGGCCTAGAATATTTGGGCCCAGGACACAGTGCAAATACCATTTTCCTGGTCAGGACAGATCTCCACCCCACCCCCACCCGGGTCATCCTTTCAGGTCCACATTAGGCTAGCTTTGCGCAGAACGCAAGGTGATACTACATTCTGGGTAGGAGAACTTAATGTGGCCACAAATCTAGCCTTTTCTCCTCCTTACAGAATGGTGTCTTAGTTTTGCATTAGATTTGTAGGGGGATCAAAGCAGTGAGTGCAAATTAACCTCAGGATGAAGGACTTAAGGAAACAAAAACTCCTGCCTTTCAGAGGAGGAAGGTGGCAAACAGAACCCCTTACAAGTCACTCTTTCTTTTCTTTTCTTTTCTTTTCTTTTCTTTTCTTTTCTTTTCTTTTCTTTTCTTCTTTCTTTTCTTTCTTTCTTTCTTTCTTTCTTTCTTTCTTTCTTTCTCTCTTTCTTTCTTTCTCTCTTTCTTTCTTTCTTTCTTTCTTTCTTCCTTCTTTCTTTCTTCTTTCTTTCCTTTCTTTCCTTTCTTTCTTTTCTTTCTTTCTTTTTTTTTTTAAGCAAGCTTTACACAGGAGGTGGCTTTGAACTCAGGACTCTGAGATCAATAGGGGTGTGCTCTACCGAGTGAGCTGGCCAGGCGCCCCCTCAAACAGAACCCCTGATGACCAAATTTCAGAGATGTTTAAAATACCTAACTTTAGGGGCTCCTGGGTGGCTCAGTTGGTTAAGCGACTGCCTTCGGCTCAGGTCATGATCCTGGAGTCCCGGGATCGAGTCCCGCATCGGGCTCCCTGCTCAGCGGGGAGTCTGCTTCTCCCTCTGACCCTCCCCCCTCTCCTGTGCTCTCTCTCTCTCAAATAAATAAATAAAATCTTAAAAAATATATATATATATATAACTTTACTATTAAAAACCCCAAAACAAAATCCTGACAAAGCTTTCCTCCTCATCTTACAGGGAAAAAACCCGGGGAAGCGTTTGTGTACCTTCTGAGCTGAATGTGCCCAGCACACAGTGGGCACCCGGAGGATTTTTTTTCCAGTTTGTTTTGGTGATGCTGATGCTCAGGCCTTGACCAGGTACTTCCGCCGTGGGTACCACCGATCCTTCCACAGCTGCTGCTTGGGCTTCAGGCTCTCTCTGAGATTGTTCAGCCGCGGACAGGGCGCACATGTCTTCTGGGGCCCCAGATCCACGGGCGTGCAGTTCTTACTCTTGTGGAATTTCCCGAGGTTCTTTTCTTTTTCTTTTGGAGAGAGAGAGGGAGAGTGCGCGCGGAGGAGCGCGCGCACGTGCGAGAGAAGGCGCAGAGAGAAAAGGGGCCGGTCTCAAGCAGGCTCTGAGCCTAGTGGGGAGCCTGACTCGGCCTTACGCTACCGCCCCGAGATCATGACCTGAGGGGAAATCACGAGTCCGCTACTCAACCGACTGAGCCACCCGGTGCCCCTGAGATTCTCCTTCTGAGTCTGGCTAATGACAATGAATACATGGACCATATCTTTGCGTCCAACTGGGATCTTGGGAGAGCCTGCCACTTTGGTGTCTCACAGCTGGGACAGCTCCACCTTCAGGTCTTCCAGCCATGTAAGCAGCTCCTCCTTCTTGGCGTGAAGGTCTCGAGCCTTAATCTTGGCCCATCTTGCACAAGCCACCGTAGCCGAGGGGAAGGGCCAGGAGATGTTTCCTGAGCAGGACAGCTCTGACATCTGGCTGGATAGCACCACAAACCTGACCCTGCATGTGATAATTATGATATACACTTAGGGCTGAATCAGGCTTTGATTGGACCTCTTTTGGTGTCATCTGATTTTTTGTTCAGAAATGCCTTCCCAGGTAAGACCTAAAGAAATTAAAAGCCCCCCCCCCATCCCCCCAGCTCCACAGATGAGGAGTTAACAAACTCAAAGGCCAGTGGTCAGGGCTGGTGGCCCAATCTTGCCAATCATGAGAAATGGGGCCATCTACCAGGATGTACAAAGCAAACCAGCACGTATCTTTTAATTTCTTCACAGTCTATTAGGTAACATATAATAACTGTGCAACTGAAAGAATTTAAAGTCACATGCCTAGAGCCTTCTTACGTGGCTAGTCTCACCCATGTTGACAATGCATCACCAAAAATATCTTCTCTAGATATTCATTATACTAGATCCCTTTACTTCTATCTTATGTAAACAGGAGACTTCATTTGAGTCATAATTAATCTCTGGATAATTAACTCTTGTTAACGAATTTGTGGCTAAAAATTTCCTTTGTTAATAGCCTTAGATTCTGGGCGCCTGGGTGGCTCAGTTGGTTAAGCAACTGCCTTCGGCTCAGGTCATGATCCTGGAGTCCCAGGATCGAGTCCCGCATCGGGCTCCCTGTTCGGCGGGGAGTCTGCTTCGTCCTCTGACCCTATCCCCTCTCATGTGTTCTCTCTCTCTCATTCTCTCTCTCTCAAGTAAATAAATAAAATCTTAAAAAAAAAAAATAGCCTTAGATTCTACTAAAGTAGAGCTCACAGAAAGGGAGGAGGGGGAAGTATTACCATTTGGCGCATACTTCTTAAACCAGTTTAATCTGATTTTACTGTATATTTGAACCGTTTAACTTGATCTTTACTGAATTTTTTGATTGGTTAAGGGTAGGGGAAGAGACTTTACATAACTGCTGTCTAAATTTGTTGGGCTAGAGAATTTCCTTGATTTGTTACGTGGTTTCTTAAATAGTTTGTCAGTTTAGCTCTTTTGACTCAATAATTAGTGATGGCTGTGTTTTGGATCCAGCCATTTAAGAAGAAACGACTGAGAAGGAAATTGGGCCAAATTTATTCTATGAGGTGAGATCAAAATAGGAGTTGATCATAAGCAAAAAGCCAAAATTAAATCAGGCACAAAGAAAAGGTACAAGGTGATCATGAAGTTTGCTTTAAATTAAATATAAATCTGCAGCAAGCTGTGTCTCTTTTCAGATTAATACCTAATCCTGATCTCTTTTCAGGATCAGCCAGAAGCCTCTGTAGTCCCTTGCAGTGTGGCAAATCCACTCAAGAGTTCAGCCATCTTCCCTCCTAATTCAAGTCATCCAAGGATCCTTTTCTTGAAAGTCATGAAACTAAGACAACGGACTGTCAAGGTCAGCAGTGGCAGTCACTTGCTCTGTTTTGTTTTAATTTTTAAAAAAGCTCTTACTAGGAAGTTGATTTCATGTGATCTTGTGCCGGAATAAATGTGTATCTGAGGATACTGAAAGACTCGCTGCCAAACCGGTTTTGCATAGTCTAAACTGGGAAAGGAGCCTTCATTGGGATGAAGGCCAAGGAGCTGGTCAGTTGTGGATGTAGCTTAAAAGGTCATTGGCTTACTTGCAAGAATGCTGGCAGCCTCAACATTTGCTACAAATTCCTCTATTACTCAATTGTTTTTGAATTTCTTTCCCACTGGGGAAACCCAAGAATGTCTTTTTCCTGAGTGTACCATTCTCAGCTGATCTCTTTTCCCTGAGATGTTAGGAATGAGGCCCTGCAGCATCCCCTGTGAGTCACAGGTCAGGAGGCAGGAAGTCTTTCAAGTTCTTTGCATAGAGCCTCCACCCTCCCTGTCTGTCCACACTCTCAAAAGGACATAGGCAGCATTTCTGAGCCTTAGACCCAGAAGTATCAGAATTAGAAAGGATCTCAGAAAGCCTTCCAGTAGATAACAAACCATGCTGGTTTACCTGGTACTAAAACTTTGCTGGGACACAGAACTTTCAGTGCTGAAACTAGGACTCCTAAGCAAACTGGGATAGTTGGTCATACCACACTCAACTGTTTTTTGTTGTTGTTTGTTTTAGTACACTTAACTGTTCTGCAGAGAAGAAACTGCGGTGCAGGAGGCTGACTTGCCCAAGCTACAAAATTAGTCAGTGGCAGATCTTGAATTAGAATCCAGATCCACTGGTGCTAGAATTCGGTGCTTTGCTGGTACTTCCTTATATTCATTCACACAGTGCATTGCACACAATAGGTGGCTTATGTTTCTGTTGTGGTTATTTAACATCTGAGTTCAAGGGAAGTGCTTTTCACAGATATAATTTTTTTTTTAAGATTTTTTAATTTTTTTGACAGAGACACAGCGAGAGAGGGAACACAAGCAGGGGCAGAGGGGGAGGGAGAAGCAGGCTTCCCGCTGAGCAGGGAGCCCAATGCAGGGCTCGATTCCAGGACCCGGAGATCATGACCTGAGCCAAAGGCAGACGCCCAAAGACTAAGCCACTCAGGCGCCCCAGATACGATAATTCTTAATTAGCAATGATCTCACTCAGGGTCATCATGAATCAATTGTGAAACCAGGTCTCTATTTCTAGACTCCGAACAGAACAGAGTGAACAAAGGGGAGGGAAGCTTAGTGAGGAATAGAAGAGGTTAAGAAAACACAAGGCTTGTGCAAAGATGAAGAGGCCCATGTGTGCTAGTGGGCTGAGCAGTACTGCAGCAGAGAGAACATAAAGAACGTATAGAAATTAATCAGCAACAGTATGGAGTGTAAACACTGAAGAGAAGGATATATTCTTTCCCTGTCCTCAGAGAAAAGAGTATGGTAGAAAGAAAAGCATCATCATTCTTCTGATAAGGGAAGAAATGTAGCCATGGCCATACACACACACAGACCCATGTGGTAATGACCATGTAATGAAAAAACTCTATCACCTGACATTGGTGGTTATATGTTTTCCAAGGACTTAAAAAGAACTCCCAGCAGTGTTCTTTGTCCTACTAGGTCTGAGATCTGCCCTGTTCTTCTTGCCAGTTTTCTCCTCCTGGATACTGAGTTTTTAATAAAGTAGCATAAATACTAGGGATCATTAGCTGTTAGACCTAGAGCTTTATGATCACTTACTTAAACTCTACAGTATCCCATTCAATGCAATAGTCTTCTCACCTGCAAGAGGCACTGTTGTTATCTGGGTGAGGGAATGAGAGAAAGCATTAGGAATGTGATGAGTTGAGGATTAAGACTAAAGAAATGACTACTGGAAACAAAGGTCCAGGAACAACATTATTTATTGTGGCCATTTTCACCAACTCATATTGTGGGGTAGAATTTGGCACTTAATTTCTTTCATCTGGGGCAGAGCCCAAGGACGTGGTACATGGAAACAGCAGCATAAATAAAATGGAAGTGACTAAGGTGTTTTGACACTCATTAAGATGGGTGTTACTCTCAAAATGGAAGACAAGTACCTACTTTTCTATCCTACCACACCTTTTCCTGCTGGTGACCAGGGACAGAGTTACCTGCTCTTCTAATACCTAAAACCACAGGTAAACAGAGACTGAACTGACCTACTTTGCAAATACTTGTTAAACTGTTAATCAGCAAACTTACTGCAGGCAGTGGTCATGTGGCCTCACAGCTATTCTGCTTTAGGCTGAAGGCCAGACTAGGAGCAGACCTCAGTTAAGGTGGTACTTCTGAGAACCAAGTGCTAGTTAAAAATGCAAATTATTGGGACCTTATCCCCCGGCATTCTGAATCAGATTTTTTTTTCTTTTTTTTTTTAAAGATTTTATTTCTTTCTTTCAGAGAGAGAGAGAGAGCATGAGTGGGGGAGAGGGGCAGAGAAAGAAGCAGGCTCCTGGCTGAGCAGGGAGCCTGATGCGGGGCTCCATCCCAGGACCCTGGGATCATGACCTGGGCCGAAGGCAGACACTTAGCTGACTGAGCCATCCAGGCGCCCAGATTTTTTTCCTTTTTAAATAAACTTTTAAATTTAGAAGTAGATTTATAGAAAAGTTGTCAAGATAGGACAGTGTTGCCATATACCACAAAGCCAGGTTTTAACTTTTATTAACATAGTACGTTAGTATGGTACATTTGCCACAAGTAGTGAATCAATATAGACATTAACTAAAGTTCGTACTTTGTATTTTCCTTAGTTTTTACCTAATACCCTTTTTCTGTTCCAAGATCCCATCCAGAATGTCACATTACATTTAGTCGTGTCTCCTTAGGTTCTTCTTGGTTATTAGTTTTTCAGACTTTCCTTGTTTTTGATGACCTTGCCAGTTTGGGAGAGTATTGGCTAGGTGTTTTAAATAATGTCCCTCAATTTGGCTTTGTCTGATGTTTTTCTCATAATGAGACTGGTGTTATGGGTTTTTGGGAAGAAGACCACAGAGGTAAAGTGCCATTCTCATCACATATCAAGGGTACACACTATCAACATAACTTATTGATGTTAATCTTGATCACCTGGCTTAAGTTGTGTTTTAAGGGTTCTCCAGTGTAAAGTTCTTTCTTCCTCCCCTTTTCTTTGAAAGGAAATCACTATGTGCAACCCACACTAAGGAATGGGGAGTTAAGTTGCACCTTCCTGAGGCTGGAATATCTACATAAATTATTTGGAATTCCTCAACATAGGAGATTTCTACTTTCCATCATTTATTCAGTTATTTATATCAGTGTAGACAAATGGACATATATTTTATACTTTGATATATCCCCACTGCTTTTTTTTTTAAGATTTTATTTATTTGAGAGCGAGAGAGAGAGAGAATGAGAGAGAGAACACGAGAGGGGGTAAGGTCAGAGGGAGAAGCAGACTCCCTGCTGAGCAGGGAGCCCGATGCGGGACTCAATCCCGGGACTCCAGGATCATGACCTGAGCCGAAGGCAGTCGCTTAACCAACTGAGCCACCCAGGCGCCCTCCCCATTGCTTTTTTTGTTTTTAGCACTTCATTACTTTCTGGCATTTATTTTTTAGGTAGGCACTTATTTTTTTATTTTATTTTTTATTTTATTTTTATTTATTTGACAAAGAGCGAGAGAGGGAACACAAGCAGGGAGAGTGGGAGAGGGAGAAACAGGCTTCCTGCTGAGCAGGGAGCCCGATGTGGGGCTTGATCCCAGGACCCTGGGATCATGACCTGAGCCGAAGGCAGACACCTAACGACCAAGCCACCCAGGTACCTGGCACTTATTTTTTTCAACAAGCTTTCCTGATGTTTTCAGGCATACTACACGTAAGTAGGTTTTGACAGGGAAGAATTTCCCTTGTTTGTGAGATCATGTGAGTCACATGGGCTGCAGTTAAAAATAAGTCTCAGGCCCCTCCTCTGAAGATTCTGATGTAGTAGTTCTAGGGTGAGCCCCAAATCTGGATTTTTTTTTTTAAGATTTTATTTATTAGAGAGAGAGAGAGAGAGCACAAGTAGGCAGAGCGGCAGGCAGAGGGAGAGGGAGAAGCAGGCTCCCCACTGAGCAGGGAGCCCGATGTGGGGCTTGATCCCAGGACTCTGGGATCATGACCCGAGCTGAAGGCAGCTGCTTAACCGACTGAGTCACCCAGGCGCCCCAACACAAATCTGGATTTTATAACTATCTTCTGATGATTTTTATAATTGGACATGTAAACATGGCCTTGATGTAATTTTAATGAAGACTTTGGGGTAAGGCTTAAATTAGATAGATAGCTACAATCCATGGTATTGGAAGAATAATGCTTTACACTTGGGGTTCCAAGTGTGTTCACATGCACTCTGATTTGATTCTCATTATCAAAATATGAAGGAGGAAGAATATTTTGTAGATCAGAAGAGTGAAAACTCAGGTATCTTTCCTAAAATCACACATATTGGGTATATCACCATACCATGGCCAACAGGCAGAAAAGCAACAGAGAATCTGACGTGTTTGGGGAATTGAAATAGCACTATTAAGTAAGATAACTAAAAAGATAGCTATTAGTCTGATTTTTAAGCAATAAAGAATCATACTCTATCATAATAAAATTGACCTACACAAAGCACTGTTCCCAGTACCCTTTCATCCCTTCAAAATAAACCAAATTAACTTTATATATTGAGCAACTACTATATGCCAAGCGTAGCCTGGTCTCTTAACTTCTTTGTAAGACTCCATTTTTATTTTTATTTTTTCTTCAAATTTTAACTTAAATTCTAGTTAACATGTATGTAATACTGGTTTCAGAATTTAGTGATTCATCACTTACATATAACATCCAGTGCTTAACACAATAGGTGCCCTCCTTAATACCTATCACTCACTTAGCCCACCCCCCACCTCCCCTCCAGCCACCCTGTTTGTTCTCTCTAGTTAAGAGTCTCTCTTTTTTTTTTTTTTTTTAAAGATTTTATTTATTTGAGAGAGAGAATGAGAGACAGAGAGAGCACACGAGAGGGGGTAGGGTCAGAGGGAGAAGCAGACTCCCGCCGAGCAGGGAGCCCGATGTGGGACTCGATCCTGGGATTCCAGGAACACAACCTGAGCCGAAGGCAGTCGCTTAACCAACTGAGCCACCCAGGCGCCCCTAGTTAAGAGTCTCTTATGTTTTGCTTCCCTCTCCCTATGTTCATCTGTTTTGTTTCTTAAATTCCACATATGAGTGAGATTATATGATATTTGTCTCTGATTTATTTTGCTTAGCATAATACACTCTAGCTTCATTCACCTGACTCCATTTTTAAAACTTGAAAAATAAATCTGTATGAGTTTTCTAGGGCTACCGTAACAAAATATCACTACAGTAGTTCCCCCTAATCTATGGCAGGTAAGTTCCAAGACTCCTAGTGAATGCCTAAAACTGTGGATAGTACTGAATCCTACAGATACTATCCTTTTTCCTATACACACATATTTATGATAAAGTTAACTTATAAATTAGGCACAGCAAGAGATGAACAATAATAATAAAATAGAACAATCATAACAATATACTGTAATAAAAGGTGAATGTGGTCTCTCTCTCAAAATATCTAATTGTACTGAACTTCGCCTTGTGATGACGTGAGATGATAAAACGCCTATGTGATGGGATGAAGCGAGGGGAATGACATAGGTGTTATGACGCAGCGTCAGGCTACTGACATTGTAGGGGTTAGGACTTAAACATCTTTTTGGGAGACATGATTCAACCTGTAACAAATTTGTGCCACACAATACACGCTTTTAAAGTGTACTATTCTGTGGTTTTTATTATATTCACTAGGTTGTGGAGCCGATATCACCAATTCCAGACCATTTTCTTCATTCCAAAGGATAACCCTATACCCGTTAGCGCTCCCCAACCCCAACCCATCCCTAACCCGTGGCAACCACTAATCTACTTCCTGTCTGTACAGATTTGCCTATTCAGGGCGCCTGGGTGGCTCAGTCGTTAAGCGTCTGCCTTCGGCTCAGGTCATGATCCCAGGGTCCTGGGACTGAGTCCAGCATCGGGCTCCCTGCTCAGTGGGGAGTCTGCTTCTCCCTCTGCCTGTCACTCACCCTGCTTGTGCTCACTCTCTCTCTGACAAATAAAATTAAAAAAAAAAAAAAAAAAGATTTGCCTATCCATAAGATTTCATGTAAACGGACATTTCATATAAATGGAATCAGATAATAAGATTCATCTACATTGTAACATGTATCAGCACTTCATTCCTTTTTATGGTTGAATAATATTCAATTGTATGACTATACATATACATTTTTATACATTCATCAGTTGATGGACACTTGGGTTGTTCTCACTTTTTTGGCTATTATCAATAATTATGCGGGGTGCCTGGGTGGCTCAGTCATTAGGCGTCTGCCTTCGGCTCAGGTCATGATCCCAGGGTCCTGGGATTGAGCCCCACATCGGGCTCCCTGCTCGGCGGGAAGCCTGCTTCTCCCTCTCCCACTCCCCCTGCTTGTGTTCCCTCTCTCGCTGTGCCTCTCTCTGTCAAATAAATAGATAAAATCTTAAAAAAAAAATAATTATGCCATAACTATTCATGTACATTTTTTGTGTAACTGTTTTGAAAAAAAAAATTTTTTTTTTTTTAAGTAGGCTCCATACCCAGTGTAGGACTTGAATTCATGACTCAAAACATTAAGAGCTGCAGGGCGCCTGGGTGGCTCAGTTGGTTAGGTGACTACCTTTGGCCTAGGGTCGTGATCCTGGAGTTCTGGGATTGAGTCCCGCATTGGCCTCCCTGCTCAGCGGGGAGTCTGCTTCTCCCTCTGACCCTCCCCTCTCTCATGTGCTCTCTCTCTCTCTCAAATAAATAAATAAAATCTTAAAAAAAAAGATTAAGAGCTGTACTCTACACACTGAGCCAGCCAGGTGCCCGTGTATGACCGTTTTTAATTTTTTCATATCCAGGAGTGGAAGTGCTAGATCATACCATAATTAACTTTTTGAGAAACGGCCAAACTGTCATCCAAAACAGCTGTACTAATTCTCACTAGTAACGTACAAAGGTTCTAATTTCTACACATCCTCTACAGCACTTATTATTGTCTTTTTTTTTAAAGTAGGCTCAACGCCCCAGTTTGGAGCTCCATTAGGGGCTTGAACTCAACACCCTGAGATTAAGACCTGAGCTGAGATCATGAGTCAGACACTTAACCAACTGAGCCACTCAGGTGCCCCGTTATTATCTTTTTGATCATAGCCATTCCAGTGGATATATGTGGTATCTCACTGTGACTTTGCATTTCCCTAATGACTAATGATGTTGAACATCTTTTCGTGTGTATATTAGCCATTTGTATATGTACAAATTTCTCTCTTTGGAGAAAAGTATATTTAAATCCTTTGCCCAATTTTAATTGTCTTTTCATTGTTGAGTTCTAAGAGTTCTTTATATGTTCTGGATACTAGACTCTTGTTAGAGGATTTGCAAAGCTTTCCCTCCCATTCTGTGGATTATCTTTTCACTTCCTTGGTGGTGCTCTCTGAAGCATAGAAGTTTTTAGTTTTAAGTCCAACTTACCTATATTTTAACTAGTGCTTTAGGTGTTATAGTGAAGAAACCACTGACAAATAAGCACTTTAAAATGATTATAGAAGATGATTATGAAACTAACATAATGAGATATGCTATATAGGTTTTTAAGGAAGACCATGGAAACTCCCAACCTTTTTTTTTTTTTAAGATTTTTATTTATTTATTTGACAGAGAGAGACACAGCGAGAGAGGGATCACAAGCAGGGGGAGTGGGAGAGGGAGAAACAGGCTTCCTGCTGAGCAGGGAGCCCGATGCAGGGCTCGATCCCAGGACCCTGGGATCATGACCTGAGCCGAAGGCAGACGCTTAATGACTGAGCCACCCAGGTGCCCCGAAACTCACATTTTAAAATAGTTCGAAACTGTTATAAATGATTTAGGCATGTGTTTGCTCAGAGACAGGTTCTAAGGTGATTTCTGGAAGTCCCAGTACATGTTAAGAGCATTAATCAAACAACTAAGCAAACATATTCGTATTGTAGACAATTCTACATTTTTGATACAACATTGAGAAATCAGAATGGTCACATTACTAGTGATAAGAAAAAACATTTCCAGTGAAAAATGTAGCAAATGGCAGAGTACCCTGACTGGAGAACATAGCTGACTGGAGAATAGGAAGTGCATTGTCTAACCACTTTTCATATGATATTGACTTACAATAGCTCTGTTGACTGCTGAAACAAAAGCATTTCCATAACTTAGAAAATCTATTTTTAAGACGTTTTTGTGTTTAAACAATGGCCTAGAAGATGTGTTTCTAGTAACTGCCTGAAACAAAGGAGGAAAGGTATGGGAAGACCAATCAGTGGTGAGCACTCCTCCAACATTTGATTATAAAATACAAGGCCCAAAGCTTTGTTACAATCAGAAACAAGTAACCAACAGAAATACTGGGGTTTATAGCCCTCATTGTTTAGTAGAGAGCCTCTGTTTTGGCTGTGTATGCATGTTTTTTTCTGAGGCCACTTGCACTACCTCCAATAATAGCACTAAAAAAACTACTCTTGCTGTGTCACTGGCATACTTTAAATTGCTTTAAAAAATATTACTTTTGTTCCTTCTTGGAATATTTTATTTTATAAAGCAATCCATTACTTCTGACGTGTGTGTATGTATATATTCACTTATCAAGTTATTCTTGCCTCTAGATATTTTTCAGAAAAAAGTGATTAAACTTTGATCCCATTAAGCAAACATTGTCAATATTAGTTTTTAATTGGCAGCAATGGCCTATTTTCTTAAAAAAATATAGTTAGAATTTTTCAAAAACTAAGGTTTTGGGGAATATATTATCTATTTAAAGAATTATATGTGAATGTATATGAAAAATGGCTATTAAGTAATAAGAATTTTCCCCAAATAGCCTGTGGAATCATCATTTTATAGTGCCCCAAAGAGAAGAGTAAGCAGGAGTCCTACCCAAACAGAAATGCAATTAAAGAAAGCTAGCTCCTTTGAATATACAGAACTTGGGATTGTATTTGTGTTCTGTACTGGATATAATCAAAACAACACAAAATTTCCCATTTTCCTCAAAGCTAAAAGCGCAGGCAGGCACCAGTTAAACAGACTAGTAAACAGAAAAGTCAGGCACCTGGGTGGCTCAGTCAGTTGTGTGGCTGCCTTCAGCTTGGGTCGTGATTCTAGAGTCCTGGGATTGAGTCCTGCATTGGGCTCCCTGCTCAGCGGGGAGTCTGCTTCTCCCTCTGACCCTCCCCGCTCTCATGCTCTCTCTCAAATAAAATCTTAAAAAAAAGAGAGAAAAGTCAACACAAGACACAATTAATTAATTGGTGGATGATCACTATCAGCAGGGAGTTGGGGAACTGTATTTCTAGCAAACATAGAGGTAAAATTCTCCTGATAAATTGAGGTATTCTCAGGATTAACGAGTTATTTGTAAAGAGGAAAGTATATTCAACTGATGGAGAAAATGCAAGATATGTAATTACCTTGGTCCTAAAGTTATAATAAAAAGACAAAGGGAATTCTTAGGATACGGCATAGAGGGAATTCTCTTCAAAATTATTGTTACAAAGAACTGTTCAGGTTTTGCATTCCCCCAAGTAAGTACTATTCTCTAAGCCTGTATCTTATGATATTCCATGGACTTGAATTAACTCTATCTTGGAAGCCTTGGTCGTCTCCTCTGGGCTCCCATAGCACTATGCTTATATCTTTTTTTAAGTTTATTTAAGTACTCTACACCCAGCATGGGCCTCAAACTTACAACCCCAAGATCAAGAGTTGTATGCTCTTCCAACTGAGCCAGTCAGGTGCTCCTACACTTAAAAACTCTTTACAGGACTTACTGTATTTAAGTGCCTTAATGTTCCCTTTAAGGTTGACTTTGAAGTCTGTTTTATAGAAGTAATATTTTGCTTCAATGCTATTAATAGAAATCTGTTATATCCAATGTTATTTTTTAGGTCTTTCCATGATAAGTTTTTAAGCAGTGGATTAAATAGAACGGGACTCAACTAGTAAACTTGGCTCTACTTCTTCCCTTAGAAAAATAAAAGCTCAGGATGCCTGAGTGGCTCAGTCAGTTGGGTGTCTGCCTTTGGCTTAGGTCATGATCCCAGGGTTCTGGGATCAAATCCTGCATCAGGCTCCTTGCTCAGTAGGGAGCCTGCTTCTCCCTCTGCCTGCCGTTCCCCTTGCTTGTGCTCACTTGCTCTCTCTCTCTGACAAATAAAATCTTAAAAAAAAAAAAAAGCTCAAGACAAATACACCATTTTGTTTCAGCCAAGTTACTAACCAAGCTGGTTAAAGTGCAACAGCTGTATCACAACTGGAGACTCTAAAATAAAGGCAGATATAATTTTTGATGTATTTTTTTAGATTAAATTATTCATCTTTAAACAAATCAAAACTTAAATCATCAATATCTAATCATATAGTTTATTCCCATACAAACTGTGGAGGACAGAATTTACCAAAAAACAAAAACAAAAACAAAAACCTTTTCCCTATTGATCAGAAAGCTTCTGGTGGCAATTTGGAGAAATACAACTGAAAACATCTTAGGCAAGGGGTGAGGAAGGCTCCTGAGGGAATGTGGAACCTTGGAAAAGGAGAAAAGCTAAAGTTTGATGTAATCAGGACTGCCAGAGCACTTGTTTTTGTTTCCAGCATGGACCCTGGATCTGAAAGATAGGTTCAAATACCAGCTGTTAAGCCTTAATTTCCTTACCATTAAGAATATATTTACTAATTCAGTGTTGTTTTAAACAAGGTGATACATTTAAGAAAAAGGCTATAGGAATGTGCCTAACTCAAAGTTCCTAATTCCGTGACACTGGACATATTTTTTCATTAACTACTGACATTCATGTAACACTTCTAATCCAAACAGTTCAGGAAACTATATCACTAAATGATGAGTAGACATCTTAATGTTTAAGAATGAACTAAATGAAACAAACGGACAAAAGAACTCAAAAGTCAGTAAGTTGTATCCTAAGAACCACCCATTTGCCTTGACAAAGGAGATTTCTGAGCTCAAATCCATCCTGCATCAGTGCAGTTCAACAGTGATTAAGTATTTAGTTGATGCCACAAAGGCAATTATGAGACAAAAATTCCTCCCTTCAGAAGGTGGTCTAAAAGGGAGATATTGAAATGCAGTGTGATGTTCCATGCATAGAAGAATGTGTAAAGCACTCCAGGGACACTGGTGAGGAAGCAGTTAAATTTGCATAGTGTAGGGACACCTGTAGGGACTCCTGGGGCTCAGTTGTTAATCATGAAGTCATGATCCGAGGGTCCCCGGATCAAGTCCCACTTCGTGCCTTTCCCTCTGCCTGCAGCTCCCCCTGCTTCTGCTCACGCGCGCGCTCTCTATCACACAAATAAAGGAAATCTTAAAAAAAAATTTTGCTTAGTGTTAAGAGGAGGGTAAGAAGTGTTAAGGAGAGTTAACAAGGGGAAGTGACATTTAAACCAAGCTTACAAGGAATGAGAGTCTGCCAGATACAACAGAGAGAAGGGCAGTCAGGTGAAGGAAACAGAAGTGACAATTAGGAAGAGACAATTAGGAAGAGACAATTATGAAGACAGTGAATCCAAACTATTGCAAAGAACACTCCAAAGAAAGGGATCCTCTGAGAAAAATGCCAAGTCACATAGAAGGGATATTATTTGCTCCACAGAATTGATTTTCTGGAATCTGTGAGACTAACCAGCCATATTTTGTGGGCAAAATAATCTCAAATACAAGGAATGATAAAGAAAATTAGCTTTATTTATGTAAATTAAAAAAAATTGATTGTAGTGTTAGATTTTGTCAAGTGTTTTCATTTTGAACAATTTACAAGAGTATTTATATACAAACATAATAAAAGAGAGTACTGATCACATTGTTCCTGCTTGACTCAAAGTATTTTCTCAATTCTGAACATGCCCCTATCACTCCAGTTTTTAATTTTTTAACAGGGAAATGCTATGTTGTGACATAGTGCTTGATTAATACATATAACACTGAAGTGGAAGGAGAGTCAGTGATTACCAGCAGTTAAAAAATATTTTTTCAACCAATATGACTCTATCATTAGATTTTTTTCTATATTAAAATATGTTTCATGATAAAAGAACATACTTGCATTCGTTGATGATCTAAATTTGTTGTTTTATATAAACCCATAGTTGACCTAAATATAGATATGAATCTGTAAACTCATTAATATGAATGTCTGTCATAAATGAAAATAAACAAAATTGAGGGGAGCAGAGGTAACAGAAAATCCATGTGAGAAACTGGAGATACCCTACTCTATTTAAAATAAGTAAAATTTCCATTCTGTGAACCAAATACAAACCAAAACAAAAGGTGGTGAAAAGCCATGATATTTATAGACACCAGATCTTAAGTCACACTGTAGGGCTGTAATTAACTTGTACTACTATATATTGGATAATTCTGAACCAAGTTTCCTAAATATGTTTCCAATCATTTATGTTGTTTGAGAAATCCAGAAAGTTTAATTACTGAATAAGGCAGAATTTTAAATTAGCAATTGGGATACAATATAAATGCAGATAATTTAAAGTCAAATCTATATCTACACCAAAGTATTAAGTATACCGTGTGTGTATGGACTGTCAGAAGAAATCCATTTCATTTCTAAAGGAATGGATTGTTTAGTAAGTTCCAATTCTTTAGCACTTTCTTGAAATTCCCGGCAAGAGCTCTGTGGTTTTATTAAATTGAAAAAAAATAAAAATAAAAACCCACAAAAAATGTTAAGTTTGATATTACTTCAAAAAGTCACAGCTATTTAAGACAATCAACCAGACCTCCAAGTGCACTTGTGTCTAAAATGTCACTTTTGTCCCCAAAGAGAAGGAAATAATCAAGTACTTTATTAAGGTGCTTACTATTAAAACAAGAAAATCAGAGGAAATTGGTCTTTAATTGGATGCTTACATTCTTTCCAGGGTTCTTAGTATGTTTAGATGTTGGTATCTTGACTTGGACATTTTCCTGGTTGCCCCTGATAGCAGCCTCAAGGCGGGCTTTCAGGGCTGGAGAAGAAGCCATTACATTTTTAAAAACTGATGAATACTGAGGCCCAATCTGCATGAGATTTTGCAAAGCAAAGTCATGTAAATTTTTCATTACGGAAGTTGCTGATCCCAGAGCATTATCATCCAAAAGGAAGGAAATGAGGATGGGCAGAAGACAGGCCACCAGCTGAGAACCTGTTAAGTAAATAAATGATACAAGTCCTGGGTTGAAGGTTGTGTTTAATATATAAAGTTGTAAACTTACTTATCTGTACACATTTTTCCCCACTGAAAGGGAAAAAGGATCCTTCTAAATCTCTCCTCTCAAATTAACACTAAATAATATCAATATTTGGAATTAACACTTGCCTTTCAGTGAATGTGGAAATATAATGTTAAGTGACCAACTGAATGTTTTACATTTAAAATAACATTAAATTTCTGATTTGGGACAGATTCTTACTTAGTATGAATTTAGTGCTGACACTTACGGTGCTGTTCTTCTGCAATGGCTACCAGTGCTTCCAAGACCTTTATGCCTTCTTGAAAGATCTGAAGTTCAGTAGTGTCTTCAGGCTTTCTCTTGTCTATTTCCTGTAGTTTTTCCACAATAGAGGATACTAAAGAGTAAATGTACGGGTAGGAAACAGCTGGATTTGGATACTGAAAAATGGAAAGTAGGAGCTGATAGGTCTTGATTTGTACCTAATTAGGTAAGAAACAAAAATAGTATAAACTGTAAATATACATTTATATTAACAAGCAGACTGTAATGTAAATTTGAAAAGGAAATAAAAATTGTGAGTTAAAACCTTTTTTTAAAGAAAAGTCTCTAAAAAATGCATTTGAATTTTTTTCTAATTTACCTTTAATTGTGAAAAATCCAAGTGCTAACGGGTGTTAAAAGAGGGACAACAGGGGTGCCTGGGTGGCTCAGTCATTAAGCGTCCGCCTTCGGCTCAGGTCATGACCCCAGGGTCCTGGGATCGAGCCCTGCGTCAGGCTCCCTGCTCAATGGGGAGCCTGCTTCTCCCTCTCCCACTCCCCCTGCTTGTGTTCCCTCTCTTGCTGTCTCTGTCAAATAAATAAAATCTTAAAAAAAAAAAAAAAAAGGGACAACAGAGCAAAATGGAGTCACCTGGGCGAAGCCCATGTTACCAAACCCAGACTCAATACCTAACTTAATTACAGTTTCAACCTCTCCCAGGACTGGAATCTTAAACCAGTCAATCTGGAATTACATGGTCAGCACTAGTGAGGTAATCTGCCTGATAGACCCCAGCTATCCCCCTAAGGAAGGTAGCTTTGCCCGAAACAATGCACCCTTTGTTAGTAACTTCCTTGTCCTTCCTCTGTCTATAAATCTTTGATTTTGTACAGCTCTTCAGAGCTCTTTTCTATTTGGTATATGGGATGCTGCCCAATTCATGAATCGTTGAATAAAGCCAGTAAGATCTTTAAAATTTACTCAGTTGAATTTTGTTCCTTGACAGATTTGGTGGCAGTGATGGGATCTGAAGGAAACTTCTGAAGGCTTTGGCAGTTAAAGGAGAAACACAGATGTGGACTGGTGGTTCCATCAGCAGTTCTCCATTTGTTTGGAATCCCAGTCTACAGTCCCTATTTGTTGGGGTCTGTTGGTTCAGTTCTTTCCCCAGCCCCCACATCCACATTGGGATTTGCTGGTGTTTTATACAAGGCCTTCTACTGGCCAGTCTGCAGTAACATCTCTTTGGTCACTCCTTGTATGTTGATGTGCACATGAAGTAAAGGCTAGTGCAGATGGAAATCCAGGAAGCCAAAAAGCTGCAAAATTGGTGGGCACTGGTAGAGTACATAAAAGCTGTTAAGAGTGCTTGTTACCTGACTCTAGGACTCCTATCTAGGATAAATGGGTCACAGAATGGGTTAGATTGACACAGATTACCTACCAACCTCAAGAAAATGTCTATGCAATGAAGTACACCGTAAAACCACCGTGCAATCCCCAACCCAGCAGCACATCCCTCTTAGGGATTAGTTTGGCTCTGAGAGACCCAAATATTTAAAGAAATGGGATCCTTAAATTCCAAAAACTTGAGCACCCCACCTTCTGGCACACCTGTTTATTTTATATCTACGAACTATATAGTCTCTGTAGCTATAAAGACCTGTAAGAATGGCAAAATCTTACTAAAGGCAACCTAGAATTACAATGGCCATTAGGGAGAAAGTGCCAATCAAACAAGGTCAATTTTTTAATAAGTGCACTTAAAAGCAAGGGTTCTCAAATCAAACAAAGAGAATGGGATACCTATTTTAAATGTTATGCAGAAGCTTCCAAAAGGCTTTAAGATTCCTCAATAGCTTCACTGAAAGTTTCATTGCAAAAAGGGAATAAAAAATTAGACACAAATGGTATCTAAAACAATACCTCCTGCATTGCAGCCCTCTGGGGGCCCATCCTCAAAACACCGGCCCAGAAATTGGGATACTGGAAAAAAGACTGTTCTCAAAGGTTTTGTGCAAATCCTTCAACACCAATTCAAATGCTTCCATATCTACCTTGGAAGAAGGCCCCATAAGGGCCTCTCCCAGAACTGACAAGATTCTAAGGGAATTTCTGGTACATTGCTATTATTCTTTAAATAGACAAAGGAAACTAAAATTAAAATTAATGGAAAACATCACCAAATTCTGGTAGATACTGGAGCTACACTCTCTACATAAATCCCATTCAGGACTGCACATAGGATCCTGGGGAAACTGGCAGAAGCCAGCAAAGAATGATAATCCTTATGAGAGTCCACTCTCCCAGATCTGTCTGTAGTAACAAGTAGAGTGAGGAAAATAAAACATCTTTTGCATCCTCTTTGAGGATGCCTCGAGTTCAAGGGAACTCAAGTAACTATTCCCAAGGTAAGTCTATGGTCAAAAGTTGGCCAAATTAGAAGCTGATTTTCAGAACCTGATGGGAATGTTTTTGTTTGTTTTTGAGGATTCCTTCATTAAGCTAAAATGAAACTCTTACCTATTAAAATATTCCAAGACACACAACTCTAAATCGAAAACATAGTAATCTTTTGATTTCCATCTTAGTTGACAATCTCCCAGATATAAAGAAGCAAATTGAAGATAATGTAAACCAATTCTTCGAGGAATTAAAACCAACTGTCCTGGGGTGCCTGGGTGGCTCAGTTGTTAAGCATCTGCCTTTGGCTCAGGTCATGATCCCAGGGTCCTGGGATCGAGTCCCACACCAGGCTCCCTGCTCATCGGGAAGCCTGCTTCTACCTCTCCCACTCCCCCTGCTTGTGTTCCCTCTAGCAACTATCCTTATTTTACAGATCTTTGCAAAAACAGAAATGAGGCTCCAGAAACAATTCAAAATCCACCTATCCTTTTTACCAATCCTAAAAGCTTCCCTTTTTATCTCAAAAGGCTTGTAAGTATTGTTAAAAATCCAGGCCAAAGGGAACAAAAGTCCTTTCTGGAGGAACTTGCATTCTTTCCTGTGCCTTTGAGATGGAAATGTTTTACCAAGTATTCTCTGGGAACTGTTATCTAGATTATTCCTAATTCCTAAGACTGAAGACAAAAAAAAGAAGAGGCTTTTTTTTTTTTTAAAGGGAGGGGTAGGGGCCCCTGGGTGGCTCAGCAGGTTAAGCCTCTGCCTTCCACTCAGGCCATGATCCTAGGGTCCTGGGATTGAGTCCTGCATAGGGCTCCCTGCTCAGTGGGGAGCCTGCTTCTCCCTCTGCCACTCCCACTGCTTGTGCTCTGTGACAAATAAATCAAAATTAAAAAAAAATAAAATAAAAGGAGGGGTGCTTGGGTGGTTCAGCCAGTTAAGCATCTGACTCGATCTCGCTCAAGTTTTATCTCAGGGTTGTGAGTTCAAGCCCCACACCGGGTTCCATGCTGGGAGTGGTGCCTACTTTAAGAAAAAAATGATCTACTATATGACAGATTATTACTCAGCCATAAAAAAAGAATGAAATCTTGCCATTTGACATGACATGGGTAGAGCTAGAGAGTATTATGCTCTGTGAGGTAAGTTAAAGACAGTACCATATGATTTTATTCATATATGGAATTTAAGAAACAAAACAAGCAAATGGGAAAAAAAGAAACAGGGAGGCAAACCAAGAAACAGACTCTTAACTATAAAGAACAAACCGATAGTTAACAGAGGGGAGGATGGGTGAAATAGATGAAGGGGATTCAAGAATACACTTGCTGGGCGCCTGGGTGGCTCAGTCAGTTAAGCATCTGCCTTCGGCTCAGGTCATGATCCCAGGGTCCTGGGATTGAGCCCCGCATTGGGCTCCCTGCTCGGTGGGGAGTCTACTTCTCCCTCTCCCTCTGTCTGCCCCCTGCTCCTGCTCTCACTCTCTCTCTCAAATAAATAAATAAGATCTTTTTTTTTTTTAAAGATTTCATTTATTTATTAGAGAGAGAGAGAGAGATGGAGTGCATGAGAGGGGGTAAGGTCAGAGGGAGAGGTAGACTTCCCACTGAGGAAGGAGCCTGATGCGGGACTCAATCCTGAGACTCCAGGATCATGACCTGAGTTGAAGGCAGTCGCTTAATCAACTGAGCACCCAGGTGCCCCTAAATAAATAAGATCTTTAAAAAAAAAAAAAAGAATACACTTGTCATGATGAGCACTGAGCAATGTATAGAATTGCTGCGTCACTATATTGTACATCTGAAGCTAATAGAACACTGTATGTTACCTGGAATTTAAATAAAAACTTTAGAAACACAATCTGGATCCAACTGCTTTTTTTTTTTTTAGGATTTTATTTATTTGACAGAGAGAGAGAGCGCAAGTAGGCAGAGAGGCAGGCAAAGGGAGAGGGAGAAGCAGGCTTCCCACTGAGCAGGGAGCCCGATGCGGAACTCAATCCCAGGACCTGAGCTGAAGGCAGATGCTTAACCAACCGAGCCACCCAGGCGCCCTGGATCCAACTGCTCTTTAATGAGCTAGTGAGGTTTCATCATCATACCTATCTCATGGCTCAAACTTTAAAATGAAAGCTCTTTGCTTGAGAACATCTAAGGAGTGACCAGGCAGGGCCATCACAAATGTCATGAATGTTCTCCAAGACCAGTGATTCCAAACACTTTGATGCCAAGACCCCTGACTCGAGGGCATAAGTAACTTATGGAAGATACCTGAGCACTCAATCCTTGTTTGACCAGTTCCTGGATGTGTCAGAGGACACATACAACAAACCACCATCCTCAATAAAATTCCTGATCCTTTAACAAGGATGAGACTCACGCTCCTTTTCCTTTCTTTCTTCTTTTTTAAAAAGATTTTATTTATGTATTTCAGAGAGAGAGAGAGCAAGAGAGAGCACGAGTGGGGGGGAGGGGCAGAGAGAGAAGCAGACCTGAGCCAAAGGCAGACGCCCAACTGACTAAGCCACCCAGGTGCCCCTCCTTTTCCTTTCTGAGTCTCCCAGATGCTCTGTGTATCTGCTCTACGTCTTCAATAATTCTGCTCGCTTTTCCTTTTGGCTTGCGTTTGATTTTCATCCTGCGAAAAGCCAACGACCCTTTGGTGGGTCCTCAGACCTGGTCTGCCTGCATCTGTATGTTTACTTAAAAATAGTTTCCAAAAATCTTTTTGGTAACTTGAAACCTTAAAATTATACTGAGATAAGTTGAAAGGTGGATATTCATTCAATATCTGGATCATTTCCAAATAAAATAAAAAGCTGAAACATTAATTACTCAACATAGGTTTATCTATTTTTGGTTTATTACTAAGAAACTTAAGATAGTTGGCTCTGTTAGTAAACATGTTTGGTTCCCTACCAAAAAATATACTGAGGAAAAATATGTTTTTAGAAATTACAAAATGTATTCATAAATTTGTCAATCTCAAGAATGTTGGTTTAACAGTTCACAGTTTTCCATTAGAAATTAAGGTTTCTGGGGCACCTGGGTGGTGCAGTCGGTTGAGGGTCTGACTCGGTTTCGGCTCAGTTCATGATCTCAGGGTTATGGGAATGAGTCCTGGGTGAGGCTCCACGCTTGGTGCACAGTCTGCATGAGACTCTTTCTCCGTCTGCCCCTCTCCCCCCACCACACGCTCGCTCTCTCTAAAATAAATAAATAAGGGGTGCGTGGGTGGCTCAGTTGGTTAAGTGTCTGCCTTTGGCTCAGGTTGTGATCCCAGGGTCCTGGGACTGAGCCCTGTGTGGGGCTCCTTGCTCAACGGGGTGTCTGCTTGTCCCTTGCCTTCTGCCCCCACCCCCCTGTTCATGCTCTGCCTCTCAAATAAGATCTTAAAAGTAAATAAATAAATCTTAAAAAAAAGAAATTACGGTTTCTAAGGGTTAAAAATTTTCATGTATGTAATGAAACTACTAGAAGTATTTGTCAGCAAGCCCTCTAGCTCAACAATAGGCCCCAATAGTTAAGACCAGAAATAGACAAGACTGCTTAACTCATGCCCTATCTGAAAACCACTGTTGTTCTTATACTTTCTTGAGGCATTGACGGAAGACGTTTTGCAATGACCTGAACATTCCAACTACCAGGCCAAAAAAGCCCTGATAGCAACGGAATGCCTAGAAGACCACATCCTATACCGTTCCCTGCCCATGATCATTTGCTGAACACACTTCCCATGATCAGTGCTGCCTGCTCTTGCATGAATCCCCCGAACCTCTCCCTATCAAACTCTAGGTGTTCATTTGCTGGCAGAGAGGTCAGTTGTTAAGGCTTGAGCCACCTCCCCTGGCTGCTGGCCCCCCAAATAAAGCTCTCCAGTTCTCTTTTCCAAACCCTTGTCTCTTGAGTGATTGGCTTCTCCTGCGATTAGTTTATCTGAGTTTGTTTGGTAACAGTGGTGGCAAACCCAGCCAGGAGCTATGCATTTGATTTGTCTAGCCCCCTTGGGATTCCTAGGGATGGAGCAGTTGGCCTCAGCAGTGTGTCAGGGCTTAACCACTTGTTTCCTGAGTTAGCGGCTGTGATCCATCGATCGATAATAGAATCATCTCTGTATCCTAAGAAAGTAGAATGTATGTTTTCAGTTAAGAGAAAGAATGAGGGATGCAGATGATGCAATTTTGCTGCGGGAAAAGAAAGTAATTTTGTCCTAAAGTGAGGCTGGTTATTTCAGGATGGGAAAGGGGAAAGACAGAGGACAAGATCCAAAAGTACAAAAGAAAGTTGTAGAAAGTTTGTGGAAAGGGATTTTGGGAAAGGAATTTTATTCATGGTCAAGCTGCCTAAGATTAGAATAAATTCATTTAAAAGTAAAAAAAGAAAACGAACTTTTTTTTTTTAAAGATTTATTTATTTGACAGAGAGAGACACAGCGAGAGAGGGAACACAAGCAGGGGGAGTGGGAGAGGGAGAAGCAGACTTCCTGCTGAGCAGGGATCCCGATGCGGGGCTCGATCCCAGGACCCTATGACCATGACCTGAGCCAAAGGCAGACGCTTAATGACTGAGCCACCCAGGCGCCCCAAGAAAATGAACTTTAATATCATAAATACACTGGTACAAAATTAGAATTTGGCTTTCTCTCTGTTAAATGGACAAAGTTTTCTTGGATTATTGGTCTGCTCCTGATAAAAGATTATAAAAGGTTTTTCTTTGCCTTATTAAAATAATCTACCAGAAAATAAAGATTCTGCATTTTATCAAAATAATTTCCCAAGTTTCATATTGTCTTTATCAAGTCTTTGATTACTAAGGAAAGCTGAATGTTCTCTATTAAAAGAACTTTGTTTTTTAAACTATGTAACTTTCTGTATTACCCATGAAATCTTTACTACTACTATTTGATGAAATGTTTTAAAACCTTTTGATATTATTGACAGATTTCCCCCGAATCTAATTGTTAATTAAGTCTTTCTGACCAACTCATTCTTCAGTGCATAAAGGGAACAGGATGTTAATTTAGCAAATGAAGGGGTCATAAAGGAATGAGATTAACTTGTGTGTACAGTTTTCAGGATGGGTCCCATTATTTCATATCATATTCTCAAAGGCATGTAAAGTCTCTTTTTTAGGAAATCCACTATAATAAGCTACAAAGTATCTTATTAAGGGGCGCCTGGGTGGTTCAGTCAGTTGAGTGTCCAACTCTTGATTTTGGCTCAGATCATGATCTCAGGGTCATAAGACTGAGCCCCACATCAGGCTCCAAGCTCAATGCGGAGTCTGCTTCTCCCTCTCCCTCCCCCGCTTGCATGCAGGCTCTTTCTAAAATAAATGAATACAATCTTTAAAAAAACAAAAACAAAGTATCTTACTTAATGTCCCTTGTAAGTTCTAGACATATATCAATTTTAAGATGTCCCTATTTCAAATTAAGTTTTTTTGTTTGTTTGTTTGTTTTTTGTTTCTTAAACATTTCCTTTATCTTTCTCCAGCTATGCTCTATCCTTGGGGCCAAAGAGTAAGACCATTATTATTTGGCTTTGTCACCCTAAGAATACAAATTGCTCTAAACCTAAAAATAAAAAATTTAGTGTGGTCCTTCTTGTTGAAGCCAATAAAATCACAAAGAAAAATTTTAGAAAAGCCTAAACATATTCCTATTACAAACATCTCTCTACTAAAGACACTTACCACAGGATCTTTTATCTCAAGAGTAGCCTTAAATTTCTCAATACAGCGCTTCTGAAGGCATGGGATGGTAGTAACTTCTGGACTGGTAGATAAAATAAATACTGTGACAGCAGTAAGGAGACTGATTTCATCAAGTTCTTGATGTGTTCCATCTACTAAAGAGAAATGGTCTATGAGAAACATCCCAAGATTGCCGTATTTATTGTTTTATGTATCTGTGTGAAGATGCCTCTAGTTTGATAGCAACAATTTCTGTGTACACAACAGTCACAGACAATAAACACTAATGGACTGATTTTAAGAATCCTGGCAAATGTTGTAGGTTTTAAAATGTACACTGTAAGTAATTCTACAGCCAAAAATTACCAAAGTAATTATATTCTTTACAGATAGACATCAGTAAATATGTATGTATATTTACTAGGAATATACATTTCCTAGTTGTGTGACCTTGGACATTGAACCTCATTTTTACTTTTCTCATTTATAAAATGAAAATATTAACAGTACTTGCATTTATAAAGTTATGAGGATTAAATGAGTTATTCATGTAAGGCATTTGAATAGCATGTTGCACATATGGTCAACACATGTTAGCTATTATAGTATCATTTTTGTTGTGGAACAAATTAGAAATGCATGTACAACTGATTTTTCTAAGATTATGGTATTCATATTTTGACAATACAAGTGTCAAGTGAAAATACCACTTTTTAACAGTACAAAAAACCTGAAAATACCGCATGGGCCACAATCATTTGAAGGAATTTTCTTTTTTTTTTAAAGATTTTTTTTTATTTATTTATTTGAGACAGAGAGAATGAGAGAGAGAGCACATGAGAGGGGGGAGGGTCAGAGGCAGAAGCAGGCTCCCTGCCGAGCAGGGAGCCCGACGCGGGACTCGATCCAGGGACTCCAGGATCATGACCCGAGCCGAAGGCAGTCGCTTAACCAACTGAGCCACCCAGGCGCCCTTGAAGGAATTTTCTATTAGATATAATTCTCCTTCATTTCCTCCCATATTTACCTTCATAATCTCATTCAATAATTTTAATGAACCTGCTGTGAAAACTCAATTTTATTTGAAAAGAAAAAGGGGTGACAAATTTGACTCATGAAACTATGTAAGAATGGATTACTACTTATGAAGAAATGATATACAGGGATCGAGATAATAGCTTTGCTACATTCATTCAACAAATATTTAAGAAACAGCACTCTTTCTGGCACTGAGAATATAAGTTACAGAAGATATACTGTACCAACCAGGAAGTAAATAAAGAATTTAATTTCAGTTAGTCACAAGATCTATGAATATAAAAAATACATTAAAAGATCAAAGTTGGGGCTCCTGGCTGGCTCAGCTGGTAGAGAATGTGACACTTGATATCAGGGTCGTGATTTCGAGCCCCATGTTGGGTGCAGAGATTCTTAAATAATAAACTTTTTTTAAGTAGGATCCATACCCAGCATTGGAGCCCAATGTGGGAACTGAACTCACAACCTTGAGATCAACACCTGAGCTAAGAGATCAAGAGTCAGACACCTAAGTGACTAAGCCACCCAGGTACCCCAAATAAGTAAATGAAGTTTAAAAAAAAAAAAGAAAATAAAAGAAAGCAACCCAGGAGTTGCTACACTGGGTGGTCAGAGAAAGCGTTGAGATTAGTATCTTAACTGAGGCTTGAGAGATAATAATGAAACAATAACAGTAATGAAAGCAAAATATTATGAATGAGTGTGATTTTATAAAAATAATTTGAATAATTTTAAAGTAAAAGGTACATGGGTCAACATTTAACATGATGACAGCATTATTATAAGTACTTTATATATGTATTAAATATTTTATCCACATAACGGCACCATGAGATGGGTACTCTTATTTCTTCCATTTTATGGATAAGGAACAGAAATTTAGTCATTTGCCCAAGTCACACAATTAGTAAGGCAGATAGTTTGATTCCAGAGAGCATACTGTTGTTTTTTTTTTAAAAGATTTTATTTATTTATTTGAGAGAGAGAGAATGAGAGACAGAGAGCATGAGAAGGAGGAAGGTCAGAGGGAGAAGCAGACTCCCTGCCGAGCAGGGAGCCCGATGCGGGACTCGATCCCGGGACTCCAGGATCATGACCTGAGCCGAAGGCAGTCGCTTAACCAACTGAGCCTCCCAGGCGCCCCCAGAGAGCATACTGTTAATCATGATGCTATATTGCTTCCCAAACAGTTGTTATTTTCAGTCATTCATGACAACTTGAAACTGCAACATAGTCAGCTAGTCTGTTTAGTAAAAATGTCTTTTTATTTTCAGTAGGATAAAGCTCTCCTGGGTTCCTCTTCCCCATTTCTTCTAAAATTCCCTCTTCCCCATACCCCTCCCTAAACTCCCTTTTTCCTATCCTCTTTTACCTAGCATAAGTGCAAGATTCCCTTAGCATTAGCCCCACGGAGAGGCCTCTGTGGTGAGGAAGCAAGAGACTGAAGACTTTCTCCAACAGCCATGAGTGAGTCATCTTGGAAATGGATCTTCTAGCTGCAGCCCTGGCCAACATCTTAACAGTAACCTCATGAGTGAGAACCACCCACGGATGGTGCTCCAAATTTCTGACCCATCAACTATCAGATAATAATTGCTTGTTGTTTTAAATCGCTAAGATTTCAGGCAATCTGTTACACAGAAAATGGTTTCCCTGTGATCATCAGCTCCTGCTTAATTTCTCTCAGTAGCTAGTCTAAATCCTCACTGTCCTAACCTCATTCTCTGATAAACAAAAAACGTATTTGTGGTGTGTGATGGAAGAGGCAAGCTCTTTGTAACTCTCATCATAAAAACTTACACTTATTACTTCCCATCTCTACCTCCTTTTCTTCCCTCCCACTGGCAGAGGTTAATCCTTCTAAAAGTACTATGAATTTTATTTCTTCCTGCTTAGAAGGGGACATTGCCTCCCTCCCTAATATTTCCAACTCCAATCTCATCTCTACCTTTTTTCCCCATAAGCACAAACTCATGCTAGAGTCTTATCTTAAGAAAATTCCTTGCCCCTAGACTTTCCTTCAGCTTTCGTCTTGTCGACAGGAGTCTATCCTTACTTTCCTTACCTTCCATTTACACTGTTGACCAAGCTCTCACCATTAAAAAAACTCTTTTCTTTGGCTTCTGTGACTGTATTCTCTCCTGCATCTCCTCCATCTTGCTCCATAAACTCAATTTGGGTGATTTTATCCATCCCATAGGTTACACTGATAACTCTCCAATACACACAGTCTAAAATCATCTCTAGCTCGGATTACTTGAACTCCAGACCTCTACATATTATGCTCCACTTGATTATCTGAAAGGCATTTCAAACTCAACTTATTACATTCCCCTGAAAATGTTCACTTTGGAATTTGTTAATGGCACTATGAGTGCTCAATGTACTCTTTCAATTCTTAAACCAAACTATCAGTAAATTCTGTTAATATACATGCTTAAGATTTTATTTTTAACATTTTACTCTTTATCCTTACATTACTATCTTACCTCCAAGAATCTTGTTTTTTTTTTTCCTATAGCTGTCACAGTGATTCTTCAGAAATGCAAATCCTATCACTTTACTCCCCTTCTTAAAACCCTTTAGTGATTCCAAATGCATATTAAAAGCAGTCCAAATTACAAACCATGCAAACCTCCATAATCTGGCCCCATGTCCCATCCAACTTCATCTCTTTAATAATCACTCTTCATCACCCTCCTCCGCCTCTTCTTCTAACCCCACATCCTTTCATTATTCTACTTGCTGTCCCCAAATATACCGTATTATTTAGGTCTACAGCTGTGTAATCGAAATGTGCCTAGAACCCATTTCTATGATGTCCATGTGGAAAATGCTTTCTGATTCTATAAGAAATCGACTCTTCTGAGAAGCCTCTTGTGGTAGATATAGAGCTGTACCACTGAGATCCCCTTCATGGAGGAAAGTGCTACCCAGCTGTGGGAGTATGGTCAGCTTAGCTCCCTTAGGGTTGGCCTCAGCTAGAGTTGCCTTGACTGAGATCACATCCTTCCTGTGGTAGCCCACGTCTGAGGATAATAAAGTAAGGCCTATGTGAGGCACTCATATGGGCAATCGGCAGAGCTCCCAATTGTTGGGGGCTTGCACTGGAGTCCGACTTCCTCTTCTGCCAATACTACTTTCCCCTACTCCCTTCACAGATGTTGTTCCTTAAACTCCATCTCAGCAAGAGCTTCCAGAGAACCCTACCTGTTACACTCTGCCTGATTCACTCAGAGTGGATTACTCTAATTTTTTAATCGGTCTTTTTGCTATATTTAGAAATGTGGTGATAAATAAGACATCACTGTTGCCTTCAAGGAGTACTTTATATTAATCATATAACAATTTATAGATACCAGACTCATCTTTAGGCACAAAGTAGGTGTTCAATAAATGCTGAATTCAATTGAAACCTATACACCATATGAAAGAGAATATGGTGAACTGTGACATTTATAAACAGAACAAGGCAGGGATAATCTATAATACGTCTAAGGACTTTTTACAATCACCATGACATTATGTTGAAAATGGAAACTATACAACAGTAATAAGAGAAAAACAAATTTTAATGGATACTGAACATAATACTGGCTATCATTTATTGATATATGCTTTCCATATGTTATGTTACTGCTCTAACAATTTCCTACAACACAATACCCTTATTTTGTTAATGAGAAAACTAAGGCTCAGAGAAGTTGAGTAACTTAGCTAGTCAGTTAGCTAGTAAGTGATGGAATGAGGATATAAACCCAACAATTTTATTTTAGATTTTTAATGCATAACTTATGCACTTTTTTATATACTGTGTGCATTAAAAGGTTCTGTCAGCTAGTTATGGATCATACTATATTCGTATACTAATATTATAATTGAAGGTCTCTCACTGTTAACTTAATATACAGACTGCCAGTCATTTAACTGTAATAAAGAGTAAAGATACTAAAATGAGAACATATATGTTTCTATCTACTTTATATATATGTTCTCTGAACACATATGCAGTGAATATGGGCCCCACTAGGTGAGAATGCCAAATACGATCAATTAAACAGCTTATTCTCAAAAAAATGTTCCTCTTGCTTTTTAGAACAAACTAAACAATTGCTTCCAAGCAGCCTTAATTACCTGGATCCCAACAGTCAAGTATTGTTGTTAAAGCACTACGGAGGAGGTCAGTCCAAGCAGTGTGACTCTTTTCTGCTCTGGCCATGGGAGAAGACAATATTCCTTTCAGAGCCTGTAGGGAAGCTGCAACAGTTGAAGATAACTGGCCCCCAGGTAACTTCACAGCAGTTTCTCTGAGGACCCCAATTGTAAGGTACAATATAGTAGGGAGAATTGATATGCTTCCTGTAAGACACATTTTTAAAAACACTTTATGTTTCGGTCTATACATATAGTTCCTAAAAAGAAATCATCGATGAGTAAGACAATGTCAAAAATTTCTAGCTTTTAAGACATTTTTCATAAAGGATTATAACTATTAATATAATTTAGATAGCGTTAAGATTTTTAAGACTGCATTAAATTTTGGTTATAACTGAAAATGTTATTTAAATTGTGTCACAGTATTTTTTGTATCTTTTGCTGTCTTATTTGGTAGTTGACAAATGGTCAATTTATTTTTATTTATTTTTTAGTGTGATAAAATATAGACAACACAAAATTTATAATTTTAACCATTTGAAAGTGTACAATTCAGTGGCATTAAGCACATTCACAGTGCTGTACAACCATTACTACTATCTACTTGAATTTATTTTATATCAAACTTTTTTCTAAGGAATTTGTAGCAATCCACTCAGTATAAATTATTAAAAATTTCATAGCCACGGGGCGCCTGGGTGGCTCAGTTGGTTAAGCGACTGCCTTCGGCTCAGGTCATGATCCTGGAGTCCCGGGATCGAGTCCCGCGTTGGGCTCCCTGCTCAGCAGGGAGTCTGCTTCTCCCTCTGTCCCTCACCCCTCTCATGTGCTCTCTGTCTCTCATTCTCTCTGTCTCAAATAAATAAATAAAATCTTTAAAAAAAAAAAAAATTTCATAGCCACTAAGGAGTTGAAAAGTCAGTTATGTTTAAAATGAGAGACTAAAACTAAAATGGTAAATTTAATGCTCCCAGAGGCTACTCAGCAAAACTCTCACGGTGTATTTTTGTCCCAAATCTTCTGCTAGTCACTTTTTCTGCCATACTTGCTGCAAGGCAGTATGTGAGAATAAGGAATATAGGTTTTAATTCAAATCAAAGCTGAAAATCATGTTAAAAGACAGCACAAGACATGTTTGGTCAAGACATGTTTAAGCAAAAATATGCTTATCAAGTAAGAATCTATTAAGTATGGAGTATCTATTATGTACTAAACTTCCTAAAGAATACAGTATTTCATTGGAAACAAGACATATTTGCTTGTATATATGTTTATATTTTTGATATGTAATAAATTACAGATAATGCCTCTATATGATGCATAAAACCTATTTACATATAGAAGCAACATTACACGCACAGATATATGCATGCACACATGAAAGAACAACTTTTTTTTTTTTAAGATTTTATTTATCTATTTGACAGAGAGAGACACAGCGAGAGAGGGAACACAAGCAGGGGGAGTGGGAGAGGGAGAAGCAGGCTTCCCGTGGAGCAGGGAGCCCGATGCGGGGCTCGATCCCAGGACCCGGGGACCATGACCTGAGCCGAAGGCAGACGCTTAACCGACTGAGCCACCCAGGTGCCCCAAGAACAACTCTTTATGAGCTAGAGTTTTTAGAGAAGCATTTACAGATAACATAGGCCTGGATATGAACTTCATTTTTTTTTTTAAAGATTTTATTTATTTATTTGACAGAGAGAGACAACGAGAGAGGGAACACAAGCAGGGCGAGTGGGAGAGGGAGAAGCAGGCTTTCCGCTGAGCAGAGAGCCCAATGCGGGGCTCGATCCCAGGACCCTGGGATCATGACCAGAGCCGAGGGCAGACGCTTAAGGACTGAACCACCCAGGCGCCCCCTGGATATGAACTTCAAAGGAAGGCAAACTTTTATTTTATTTTTTTAAAAGATTTTATTTATTTATTTGACAGAGAGACACAGCGAGAGAGGGATCACAAGCAGGGGGAGTGGGAGAGGGAGAAGCAGGCCCCCCACGGAGCAGGGAGCCCAATGCCGGGCTTGATTCCTGGACCCCGGGATCATGACCTGAGCCGAAGGCAGATGCTCAACGACTGAGCCACCCAGGCGCCCCAGAAAGGCAAAATTTTAAAAAGGAGAGAAGGTATGGACTACGTCAGATCAAGTAATACCATGGACAATAGGGATAAGCATGAAGGCTCGTAGGTTAAAGATTCACAGAGAAGGAATCAGGAGGAGGTAGTGACTCAGCAGAGCCTTCTGGAGCCTCAAATGCTCTATTAGAAGTATGGACTTGATTCCAAACTGATGACAAACTCTGTCATCACCAAGAGAGGAACAGTCCATTAGGTATTTTATACCAAAAAATGCTCAAGAGCTAAATCACTACCACTGACAGGTTAAAAATACTGTCAACCAAAAAAGAGCATTATCTGTTGATAGTACATGGTATCTCTCTATTTACCTTCACCCTTTCAGTAAAACAAATTACTAAAATGTGATGTTAATCTTAAAGGATTAAAAACATAACCCACCAAACCTTTGAGGCAGCATTAGTTTAATGAGAAAAGAATTGGCAACCATTATCTCCTTTATTTACTATAACCATTTCTCTCCCTCCAGGTCAAGGAAAGCAGTCAAATACCACAGCATACCTTCAGGAGAGCACACAGCAGGAAGTTCAGAGAGGATGACTAACGCAGCTGACACCAATCTACTTCCATCTTCCGACAGCACCTGTGGCTTCGTAGCTTTTACTCCTGGGCTACCTGTCAATTTAGGATTTAGTTCTGGAAGCTGTCTAACTAGAATGCATACACACAATTCCAGTGTTGCAAAAACCAAAGATTTCCCAGGCACAAGTCCTCCTGTGTCCTTGCCCTCTCCAAACTCTGGCAGGGTTTCCTTTTCGGCAGCCCCATCATCAACTAAAAGACAGAAAGAACAGTGTTGAATAAACACTTCGTGTTTGCTTTGGTTTGGGTAGATGGCAATTTAAGTCCATTTCTGTTGTAGGTAAAATATATTTTTTTAAAGATTTTATTTATTTATTTAATTGACTGACAGAGAGAGAGAGACAGTGAGAGAAGGAACACAAGCAGGGGGAGTGGGAGAGGAGAAGCAGGCTTTCCGCCGAGCAGGGAGCCCCATGTGGGGCTCGATCCCAGGACCCTGGGATCATGACCTGAGCCGAAGGCAGTCACTTAACGACTGAGCCACCCAGGCACCCCTGTTGTAGGTAAAACATTTAAATAAATGGCTGAAGTCTTGGGTGTTGAAGAATGAAAGATAAAGTTATGGAGGTAAAAGGAGTTGTCTTTATTATGACTACCTATTGCAGTAGATCAAAAGAAATCCTTGGTAACCCTCTCAGCTTTAAAATATTGTCTAGTTAACAACTTGCTGTTAAGAATGTGAACCTGAGGGGCGCCTGGATGGCTCATTTGGGCATCTGCCTTTGGCTCAGGTCATGATCCCAGGGTCCTGGGATTGAGCCCCACATCAGGCTCCTTGCTCTCCTGCTTCTCCTTCTCCCTCTGCTGCTCCCTCTGTGCTTGCTCGCTCTCTCAAATAAATATAATCTTAAAAAAAGGAAAAAAAAAAGAATGTGAACCTGATAGGTCCAGCTCCAGTGCCTACCTTGTACTCTTAAGTATCGATAATGGCGGGCAGAAAGATATGAACCGAGGTCCCTATGTTTTTTAAGAAACTGCCATGCCTGTTCAGGACTGCCTGCCTCTGGGACTTCTTTTAGATGACAGAACAAGACCTTGTGTTTTAAATCCACTGTGAGATTGAGTTTTCTGGTATATGTAGTCAAATATAATATTAAATGATAAACTCATCAATACCAAATTAGATTTATAAACAAGCAATTTAATCACTTTGCAAAACATAAGTCATTAAAAAATAGTCAGTAGTTATGGGGTACTTGGCTGCCTCCATAGGTGGAGCATAAAACTCTTGATTTCCGGATTGTGAGTTTGAGCCCCAACGTTGGGTGTAGGGATTACTTAAATAAAGAAAACTTAAAAAAAACCTGTCAGTAGTTCTTCCATGTACATTGGTAAACACTCATAGCTAAAGTAAGTACTTAACCAGTATAAAGGATTTTTTCTCCCCTTCCAGGATTTTGTTAATATTCTCATTTTCCCAAGGAATACCTTAGCTACTAACAAAATCCAAGCTAACATGTAGAGGTGGATAAAAGGACTTAAAACCATACTTAGAGAGGTTTCATTTTTACTACACACAAAACATTATCAGAACAACATAGACATGTAAGAATACTTTAAAAAAGTAATGCTGATTAATGTGATTATAATATGATTAATTTTGCATTATGGGTTAACATTCACCTTCTGCACTTCGTCTTTTCTCCTTGACATGTTCCTGAGCTGCACAGATAATCTGTCTTACCACTTCAAGTGAAGCCAATTGAATAGAAGGTGATTCTCGGGTCAAAATTACTCGATGTAGTACATTCAACAATTCGATGCCCAAGTCCTATCATAGAGAAAACATTTAGGGGAAACTGTATTGGAAATCACATACTTCTTTTTTAAAAATACCAATATTAAATGCCATGAAAAAATTCAAAAAGAATATTAACAAATTGCTCACAAAAAATAAAGGTGTATGTACAATAAAGTTAGGTAACACTTGTTCCACTTTAAATGGACTCCAGATTGGTTTTTGTCCCACCTTGCAGGAGTTGGCACCATGACAAAAGATCATTTTCACACAGGCCCTAAAATGGGAAAATGGAAAGGGAAACTTCCAAAGCAAGGTGAGAAACCTGGCTAGAAGAATAAAAGCACTGCCATCCAGACTTCCAGATTTGTACTGAAGTTTTCTAGTAAGAACAAAGATTGATGGAGAAGGGAGACATTAGAAAGTGATAAGTTAATAAGCACAAAATAGATATCCCTCTAAAGAATAAAATATACTGGGGCGCCTCCGTGGGCTCAGTCAGTTAAGCATCTGCCTTGGGCTCAGGTCATGATCCCAGGGTCCTGGAATCAAGCCCCATGTCAGGCTCCCTGCTCAGCGGGGAGTCTGCTTGTCCCTCTCCCTCTGCCCCTCCCCCGACTTGTGTGTGCTCGCTCACTTTCTCTCTCAAATAAAATAAAATCTTAAAAAAAAATAATAAAATACACTGGACAAACAGTCTCTTTTTCTGCTTTTCTTTTCTAATGCTTACTCTGGTGGCTTTCTTTCATCTTTGAAAATAATAGAGTAAATCTGTCTTTACTGTACTTGTTTTAATATACAGAATAAACAAGAACAAAAAGTTTAGAATTTATTCAAGTATAATCCCAGTCAGGGAAGACGCTGATTAGTAATTTAAACCTAATAAACAAAAGTGTTAACAGGTTAAATTATAGTCTACCTAGAGAGAAAATCATAGTTTCTCTTAGGAAAGAAGTTAAAGAAGTGCCACACTTTCATAGTGATCCTATTATCATGGTCACAACTGGGTCAGATATTAGTGTTTGACTCCACCTATAGGCTAGCCAGTATCTCTTTAAAAACCAGGAAGGAGAACTCAGCCAATAGCAATACTCTGTAATAGACATAACTATATGAACCAAGTAGATTCTCTCTTGGGGAAATGGAATCGAAGATACAGATGTATATAAAGAACAGGGTGCACTGAAGCAGAAAAACAAAGGAATTCTACATGTAACCGGTGGCTACTCTACTGGCCACTTCAATACAGTGCCTTCCCCTCATTGCTGAAAGTTCGACTGAAGAGCTGGTACACTGAGTGGTTAGCAGCACAAATCAGTGCGGCAGAAGCAGAGACAGAAAGTGGCAGTCAGAGGCATTACTGCTCCTGGGTCTGCACAGGTGCTGACAGCGTTCCAGTTCTGAGAGATCAAGTCGTGCAGTTTAGTTTTCTTTCACTTCTCTCTGTTCATTTTCTGTTTGCTGTGGTAACCTGAACACGTTTTTATTCCTGTTCCTTGAAAACTACAGAAGCCTAACAAAAAAATAAGAAATCACCTGGTCACTGCCAATTTTAGATCTGGGCCAAGGAACATCTAGAAGGGCCTGTAATGCATGTAAACAAGCAGTAATGCTTTCCATGGTTGCATCTGATCGTAAGGAACAGAGAAATTCCACACTGATCCCTGCAGAAAACAGAAAAAGAGGAGGCTTCTTTTAGATTCTTAGTTTAGGAAGTTAAGGAATTCATTTTATATTTAGATAAGATATACAAATAAGCTTAGCAAAAAGGTAAAGTAAAAAACCACAATAATTTTAAGACTAAACAATTAAGTAATAAAGCAAGTCTTTTAGCCCTTTTTATCCACATGTACGGTACATGAAGAATAATCTCAATCAGGCTTGTGCACTACTAAGTAGTTGCTATGAAATAGCTCAAAAATGCAAAAAATTACAAAATTGCACTAGAGAACTTAATGTGGAGAGTTTTTTATTTAAAAAAACTTTTTGGGGGGCGCCTGGGTGGCTCAGTCATTAAGCGTCTGCCTTTGGCTCAGGTCATGATCCCAGGGTCCTGGGATCGAGCCCCACATCGGGTTCCCTGCTCGACGGGAAGCCTGCTTCTCCCCTCTCTCACTCCCCCTGCTTGTGTTCCCTCTCTTGCTGTCTCTCTCTAAATAAAATCCTAAGAATAAATAAATTTTTTTTTTAAGTAGGACCCACGCAGAGCTTGAACTCATGACCCTGAGATTAAAAGTCGCATACTCTACCAACTGAGCCAGCCAGGCGCCCCAACATGTGGAGTTTCATAACTTTATTCTTACTAAAATTTACTGAGTGATTATCATGGATCAAGCATTGCATCTTTACACATATCATTTCATTTCATTCTCACAATACCTGAGGAAGCAGGTACTTTTTAATTTTTTTTAAGATTTTTATTTTTAAGTAATCTTTACACCCAACATGGGGCTCGAACTTACAACCCTGAGATCAAGAGTCCCATGCTCCATAGTATTATTAACATTCTTTCCGACAGGGAGATGAGCACATAGAGCTTAAGTTATTTAATTTGCTCAAGGTCAGTTACAATGGGGTACACAAAGAATATGAACTTAGTCAAATTGCATAGCTTATGCCCATAGTAACTGCCATCCTTCATTCTCTAAGTTTTTTTTTTTTTTTAAGATTTTATTTATTTGCGAGACAGAATGAGAGAGAGCATGAGAGGGAGGAGGGTCAGAGGGAGAAGCAGACTCCCTGCTGAGCAGGGAGCCCGATGCGGGACTCGATCCCGGGACTCCAGGATCATGACCTGAGCCGAAGGCAGTCCCTAAACCAACTGAGCCACCCAGGCGCCCCTCTAAGTTTGTTTTTAAAAAGCTCTTGTCTCAAGGCAAATGGAAACAAAATTTTAATATACCCAAGGATACAGGAAATTGTGGTCATGTCTGGCCTGAGAAGGAATAATAATAGAAGTTCTGTGAACCATAAACCTTACTTAATTTAATCACTTATCTTTGTAACCCTTATATTTCATTTAATTAATAATTTCTTTATAGGTAATGATCTAATGGGTTGGTTTCCAAGAACTAGGTAAAATATGAAAAACATTTCTTTCATTTATTCTAGAAACTCACTCTATTTTAGATATTTCCCTTTAAAAATGAAGTTCCAGGAAAGCCAAAGAATGGGTTAAACTTCATAACCTAAAAATCTCATCTCTTTGACCTTAAATATTTGCTTGCAATTTTATACCTTTGAGTAGACTTTCTTGAACCTTGCAATCCTTGAGAACGCAGGTAGGAGGTTGGGGGTGGGGAATGCAGGTGGACCCCCTCAGTATATTGGTATTTTTTAATATAGAGAGAAAGAAATTTAAAAAATTTATAGACACCACATGAATCTTTTAAAAATTGTGTGGAAAAAACTAGGTTTTATAATTTCTATAATTCATTCAACATGATGCTGAAGCCAGCTTGTAATGGGATTCCAGACTTAATGAAATCTGCAATTTTATAAAATGTATACAAGTTTACTCAGTTATATCAAGTTTATCACTAACACCTAACAAAGATGAGATAATAACCACCAAGAGCTGAAAGGGAGTAAGGCACAATTCAAGAAAAATTCTGAAGGACTGGAAGCTTGTTAGCTCTTTTACTGACCTAAAATAAGATGGAATCGATCAGTGCAGACATCCTCAGGGGACTTTACCGTAGCCCCAGATGATGAACCCTGACACATGGAAGTTGGTGTTACAGGTCTTGAGAGATGAGATGCTCCTTCATCTGGGTCAGCAACAACAAAGCCTGTGGTGGTAAGCCACAATGCTGTAGCATGCAGGATAAGTGCCCAGGAACTGTAATAATGCAATTTTGCATTTTCACTAGTCTCTGCTGTGTAGAAAGCACCACCTACAAAAAAAGCAGAAGCAGTTTCAGGAGGAACAAAAGAGAGTAGCTCCCACAACATTTTCTCTCTTCGGTGTTACAAGGTAACAGACCGTTCCCATCATCTCAAAAGTTCCTTTAAGGAATTTATGTGATGTGTGTTTCAAACAAATACTGATACCCATTTACCTACTTATAAGATTAACATTAACATTTTGCCTCTCTTAAATCACTTATTAAAAAAACAAAAAACCCTAAAACTTTGTTATACCATTAATTCTTATCCCTCCTTCTATAACCACTTTCCTCAAGTCAGTGTGACTCACTCCCACAATAGATGTCTGTATTCATAACAGATGTTATGTTATATATGTTATATATATAACATATATAAATATGTTATATTTAGCAACAGATGTTTATAGTTATAAATAATATGTGCTCTTATGTGTGTTTAACTTTACTTTACAGGCACCACCTTGTATGTAACCTTTTTGAACTTGTGTTTTTTCCACCTAATTTTATGTTTTTGAGATTTACTTATGTTGATTTATATCTGTCATTCACTAGTAGCTGACATACTATGCCAATAAATTAGTTTATTTCCATTTTGATGCTACTGAAAAGTACAATAAACACTCCTATCTCTCTGTGTATAATTCCAGTTAAAATTCTAAATAGAAGTTGGCAGGCTGACCTGAAATTCGTATCAAAGAGGAAAAAAAAAGGCATCTGGAATAACATGAAGAGTAAAAGTGGCTACCAAATATCCATCCATAAAATGCAGATTAATAACTGACTACAAAACTAGATGCCTATCCCATTCCACACACACAAAATCTAGCTGCACTAAAACCCAAATTGTAAAGTACAAAACTGTAATGCTTCTAGGTCTTTATGATCTTAAATTAGAAAAAAACTTATCAGGTATTACACAAAACCACAAACCATAAACGATTGACTACACTAATTTTAGAGAGATAAAAGAATAAGCTATAGACTTGGAAGACACGCAATCACAGAAGAATAATACTAAAATTAGATAAGGGATTAACAAATCAGTAAAATCATGACAAATACCAAGTAGAAAATGGTCAAGGATTATGACTAGGTGATTGATGGAAGAAGAAACTTAGCCCATAAACATATGAAAAAAGGTTTTCAATCAATAAAATAACAAAATAAAACAATGAAAAACTATTTCATATCCACCTAATGGACAGAATTTATTAAGTATGACAACATACAATGGTAGAAGATCTAGTGAAACAGAAACATGCTGTTATATGTTGGGCATATAAATTTTTACAGCTGCTTGGAGAGCAATTTGGCAGTACCTTGTGAGGTAAGATGTGCATGCCTTATTACCTAGCAGGTCAACTTCAGGGTATCGACCCTGAAGCAATTCTCACATCCTTATTCTATAAATGGAAATTACTATGGGGAAAATGTTTCAGCTAAACATTACTTGCTAAAGGATAAATTTTGAAAAGTTACTGACTGTTATTCTAGGAATTATGTACATATTTTACAAACCCCTTACCTTCAACAGGAAGTTGGGAGGCAAATTCTGAAGGCAACGTTAAGAGAGCAAAATCCTGAAGCGCAGCAAGCCAGAGCCTACTCAATGTCCCCAGGTCTGTGTGGACTAAGTCAAGCAGTCCATCTGACGAATACGACCCATTTCTGACACTCTCTTCTGAACAGGTGGTAGTCTTCAAAGGTTGTCTGTGGCTTTTATGTCTTTCTACAGCAATTATGTAGACCTGTTACAGAGTTAATTTGTAAATAGGAAGATCTTGTACCCATTAATAAGGTGCTATAATATTTTTTATCTCGCCAAGGAGACAGACCTTACCTTTGAGCATACTGGACTTCAAGTGCACTCTGATACCAAGAAGGTATATACATGTAACCACACATACAAACTGGGATAGAAAGATCCAGAAATATTCTCTTCAATGAGATGCATTATAGATAGCAAATACTTGACAAATATGTTACCATGCTGCACTTTTTTTTTTTTTTTAAGATTTTATTTATTTGACAGAGAGAGACACAGCAAGAGAGGGAACACAAGCAGGGGGAGTGGGAGAGAGAGAAGCAGGCTTCCGCGGAGCAGGGAGCCCGATGCGGGGCTCGATCCCAGGACCCTGGGATCATGACCTGAGCCAAAGGCAGACGCTTAACGACTGAGCCACCCAGGCGCCCGACTTAGTTGTATTTTAAATAGTTAATTTCAGTTTATAGCCTATGGTGTTTATTAACAACTTCTAAAATTCCAGTTATAAATGGAGAAGCACTAACCTCTGCCCAGGCTTTCAGCACAGCTAATATTTCCATGGTAGAGGCACTTTCATTATATAAGTGACTCAGAGCCTCTTTTCCAGCCTGTATTTTTGTTAATGATGAAACAAGCAACTGATGAACTCTTCGGAGATCATTAAGGTCACTTACAACTCCACTTGCTATCCAAGCACTGCAAACCTGGTTTTTAAGAAAATCAAAAGTTACATTTAAAAATTATAGATACCTCCTTTGTGAGTTCAGCAGAGCTAACCATATCTCAGGAATCTAACACACTGAAATCATCTTGCTATCAGGAAACCCAAGGGATGCTGCTGATAATGCCAGTCAAAAGGCCAGCATTTCAAAAGGGAACGAAGTCTAAGGTTGAAGCAAGGAAACCAGTGTTAATAAGTAGATAAATCAAAGAGTTTCAGATGTTACTAATATGGAGAAATGAAGCCATGAAAGATACCACTTTCATAAATGTTTGGATTAACATTTGAATAAAATCTTCAATCTTAATTATTTCATCTACTTTAAAAGCAGAGATGGTGTGGTTAATTAGTATAACTGTTGAAAATTAAAGAACTTAACATTTAAAACCCTAATGAACATTTTATTTTGAAAAAAGATATTGAAAGTATTTTAAAACAAAACATCATTAATAATTCTCCAATGCAAACAGTTTGCTCCATTATCAGAGGCTGTCTGTTTTTCTTGGATGTCACAGTATTTCTCTTTTTCTAGAGAAAATTAATTTTTCCTCTTCCATCTATTTATTCAGTTCCTGTCTATTTTCACAAAAGATTTTAATGGCTTAAAACAAGAACACAAATAATGAAGTGATAATAAGTCAGACACTCAGCACATTTATTTATTTGAGAGAGCGAGAGAGAGCGAGTATGGGAGGGGAGGGGGAGAGGGAGAGAGAGATTTTTTTTTTTTTTAAGATTTTTTATTTATTTATTTGACAGCGAGAGACACAGCAAGAGAGGGAACACAAGCAGGGGGAGTGGGAGAGGGAAAAGCAGGCTCCCCGCAGAGCAAGAAGCCCGATGCGGGGCTCGATCCCAGGACCCTGGGAACATGACCTGAGCCGAAGGCAGATGCCCAACAACTGAGCCACCCAGGCGCCCCGGAGAGAGAGAGTCTTAAGCAGATTCTGTGCTGCGTGTGGAGGCTGAAGTGTGGCTCAATCTCACGACTTGAGATCACCGCTGGAGCCAAAACCGAGTTCGGTGCTTAACCAACTGTGCCACCCAGGTGCCCTTGGTACAACATTTAATACAGTTCTTTGAATATTCAAGGTACCAAACATATCCTAAATACAAGTGAATAAAAGAAAGTTGAAAGAACGGACTAAATTTAGTTTATTCCATTATGTTTATAAATAATTCAATTCAAGCCAGTTCTGCTTTTAATTATTGCAGGTCATTTAGGGCTGGATATTGAGTGTCTGACAATCATTCCTAGAAAAGTAACTTTAAAATTATATATTATAATAGCTCTTAGGGGCATCTGTGTGGCTCAGTGGATTAAACTTCTGACTTCGGCTCAGGTCATGATCTCAGGGGCCTGGGATTGAGCCCCACATAGGGCTCACCACTAAGTGTGGAGTACGCTTCTCTCTCTGCCTCTGCTCTGCCCCCCCCACCCCCGCTCATGCTCACTTGTGCTCTCTCTCTTTTTCTCTCAAATAAATAAAATCTTTTAAAAACAAAACAAAAAAAATTATATATGATAATGGCTTAGATACATGAAAAAATGCTCAGGATCACTTGAAATATAAACCTAAAACTATTCTAATATAAATCTAAACTATGTCTAAAATATAGACAAAAACCTAAAAGTTTGACAACTTACACTATTGTTAAGACTGTGGGACAACGGTATTTGCATACAATGCTGGGAGGAGTTTAAAATGGTAAATCCCAACAATATAGTCTTTAAACCAGCAATTCAATCTTGCAGAATTTACCTCACAGATACACTTGTACCCATAAAGTGACCTGTGCGGAAAGTCATTTACTGCAGCAATATATGTAAGAGCAAAAGATGAAAAACCCATACATCCATCACTGGTTAAATAAATTATGACATATCCAACAGTGGATTACCATGCAGTTATATGAAAGGAAGGGGAAATTCTCTAAATTTAAAAAGTAAAGGGAAAGGGGGCGCCTGCGTGGCTCAGTACTAAGCATCTGCCTTCGGCTCAGGTCATGGTCCCAGGGCCCTGGGATCAAGCCCCACATTGGGCTCTCTGCTCAGCGGGAAGCCTGCTTCTCCCTCTCCCACTCCCCCTGCTTGTGTTCTCTCTCTTGCTGTGTTCTCTGTCAAATAAATAAATAAAATCTTAAAAAAAAAAAAAGTAAAGGAAAAGGAACAGCTGAGATTAATGGTTAGACAACTAAATGTAGAACCCTTGGTATCAAATACTAACTGGAGAACTGCCTCCTTAAGAGAGGGTTTTACTTCTTAAACTTTGTCTATTTATTTATAAAGATTTATTTATTTGAGAAAGAGAGAGATTGAGAGAACAAGTGAGAGGATGGGCAGAGGGAGAAGCAGACTCCCTGTGAGGGAGCCTGACGCTGGACTTGATCGCAGGACCCTGGGATCATGACCTGAGCTGAAGGCAGATGCTTAACCGACTGAGCCACCCAGGCGTCCAAACTTTGTCTTTTTAACCATTTACCTGACATGCTTTGGCAGTGACATCAGGTGGCGTCTCCGAAGTGAAGGCTGGCCTAAGTGCCGCTCCTACCTGGCAACAAATGATATGAAATATCAAGCAACAATAAGTAAGACAGCATAAACTCTGTTTTTAATATTATTTTAAAATTATCTGTTTATAATAGGTATTCCAGACACCTATTGTTTCTGCCTGCCCAGTATATCTTCTTTTAGGTAAGAGCACCTCAATTTTCTTTTGGGGAACCTTCTCTCTTACCCACTCTTTGCCCATGTTGTTGCTACGGAGCTGAGAGCACTGCTTGACTCCAGGGACCCAAGCAGAGGGTTATAAAAGGTCTTCTGAAGATGTTTCCTGGGAATACTGGGACAGAAGCACTGTCTCTTTTTAAGACTTGGTGCTAAGAAAAGCATCCTGATAACACTTGGAGAGAGCAAACTCGAAAATAAAGCCAGTGTAGAAGAAAGCAGAACCAACCGGGATTTGTGAAAACAACCTTCCTTTTCAGCTTAAGGGAGCTGTAATTTTATTTCTATCATTTGCAATTTTTTTAAAGCAAGTTCTACGCCCAATGTGGGATTTGAACTCACGATCCTGAGATCCAGAGTCCCATGCTCTACCCACTGAGCCAGCCAGGCACCCCTCATTTGCAATTTTACGAGGGCTAAAAATGTAAGAGTGCTCCCCTTAAGTTGAATTGTAACATTTCATTCTAATATGGTAGTTCTATGTAACTCCTATTCCTTCCTTTTGCTTTCTCTCAGAGATACATAGGCACTTCCTGATGGGAAGATTTGATGGAGACAGCTAACTGGTGAACTGCTCCTGTCTCCCTAACTGCTACCCCCACAAAAGCTGCCTCTGAATCACAAGGAGAGGTAGGGAAGGATGAATGATGCAGGAGGATTACATGGGATGTGTGTGATGGAATATGTGAAGATTCTGTTATCTTCCTTGTTCTTCCTACATTGCTCAATGCATGAGGGAAACATGTTAAAAAAATTACAGAATCAGTAATAGGAGCCTGAATTCTTTTCTAAGCTGAGAGAAAAAAAGGAGGTTACATTTATTCCAGGAGTGATGATTTTAAGATAAAATATGCATGCAGCCTAAATGGAATATTTAGTAATGATTTAGTGTTATCTTAAGAATATTCAGATATTTTGGGGCGCCTGGGTGGCTCAGTTGGTTAAGCGACTGCCTTTGGCTCAGATCATGATCCTGGAGTCCCAGGATCGATTCCCGCATCGGGCTCCCTGCTCGGCAGGGAGTCTGCTTCTCCCTCTGACCCTCCCCCCTCTCATGCTCTCTCTCTCATTCTCTCTCTCAAATAAATAAAATCTTTAAAAAAAAAAAGAATATTCAGATATTTTGTAAAGATTTTAATTAGCCATGTCCTTTATCTCCCACAAATTACCAAGAAGGTTTTAATTATTAACCTGTAACCTTACAAAAGACCTGTTTTATGTACCACTTCACTTTTACTTGAAGATTTCTTTTTCAAACATATGCTTCTATATACTGATCATACTGGTGATATATTAGCAGAGACATATACTCATTTACATATTGAAAAGTGACATGCCCATTAGTTTCACAGACTTTTTATCCCAGGTGTTTAAAAATAAAACTCTCGAACAGAAAGTGCTTACATTGGCTTGATACTGTTCCAGAATCACATGACCTGGAAACTCCGGTTCTGGAATAGCTGCAAATCGCCGAATAACAACTAACAGTGTTTCAAGGCCAGAAAGACGGAGCTGGTCACTGTGATCCGTGGCAGCCATAAAGGCCATGCGAATTAAGTCAGCAAGATGTAGCACCAAAAAGTCATCTATAAGATTAAAAAAATCTTATCAAGAAAAAGCATACGTTGGAACTAAGATTTACGTTAAATGATCATTTCTCCTCCTTATAATTTCAGACTTTTCTAGATTTTCTTTTAAATACCTCTGATTTGATTTACTGTTTCGTTGTACTGTTTGTTAAATATAGACTTTAAAGCTGGATTTGCTGCACTACTGCAAATAATCACATACAAAAAAGTCCCGAGGCAAACAATTACACAGCTATTCAAAAATCAAAGACAAAATCAGCATCCTTTAAAAGAGTGCTAACAGTACCTTCAAAAAAAACTTTTTTCAGACTTTCTGATAAAAGCACATTAGAAGGTATTTAGGAAACTTTGGGTATTGATGAATTAGGCAGTAATTAAATAGCATAACAGTAATTATGTCAAGTTGAAGCTGAAAGACTTAAATGTTCCTTTTGAAAAACACAGTTTTATGTGGTTCTTTATATGGACTAGATTATGTTATTTCTGTATGTCTTAACACATATACAAATGACAGGAATATAAAAAATATTTGTAGCTATAAAATTATAAATGAGAATTCTTTTCACTCCTACAATACATTCTTCGACATAATAATTCTACTGGGGAGAGACATAGGACAATCACTTAACAATATTCCAACAGGGGTTGTTCAGGGGTACAACTAACCTTTACTCAAAATATACCTGGTACTAATTTTAATAAGAATGTTATAGGTCACAATGAAGAAACCAACTCAGTAAGTGCCAATTACAATTTTAATTGGAAAGAAAGGAATCACTAAGCATCTATGATATACTAATTTTATACCTATCAGTATCTAGAATAGTGCTCATCACAAATAAAGAGACTCAATAAACACTTGCTTGAAAAATCACGAAAACAGAGATACCTAATTCATACTCCCACACTGGCAATAGCAACATTTTGCTATATAATTCTTTTGTCTGGTAAAAAATATATCCATGGCATTTAGGTATGTGCACTGTGTCTTTGAACATAATGTGCTTAAGTGAATTCAAGCTGTAGTATGTACACATACCCCTTTAGGTACAAACAATAAAACTGAATAAAAGGTCAAAATGGCCTTGCAAGCAGGTTTACGCTACACTGTGATAGGCTCTAATGTTCTGGGTAATATTTATGAAACCAAAATAATTGATAAGCAAAAATACTGTAAGTTGTAATTCAGAAAATAAATTTTGGGGGTAAGCTAATGCATGTACTACTTTCCAAGAACATGCTTATTTTCTATAAACTTAAGTCATGCACAAGTCCATTAAACAAAAGTGAATGACAATTTAAGAAGCTAAATCATTGAAAATGTATATAAACATTAAAACTAATGTTTTATAGCTTACACAAATATTATAGTCAAATTCATAACTGATTTGGAAGAATACAAACTACTTTCTAGTTTTACTTCTTAAATTAATATTAAAAACATAAGCAGACAACATTTCTATGTATATCCTTTGGTCTTTTCATCTTTATGCCACTTACTTCTTGAATCCCTTTTTTTCATTTCTTGTGCTAAAGCAATGTCAAAATGTGCGCTGTGTGCATTCTCACACTGGTTAATTATCCTACAGACACACTCGGCAGCAAAGACTCTAGTAGCCCAGCGGGGATTGGTATATGGATATGATTTATCATCATTTCTGGTGGTCAGAACTGAGGCATCATCCCCTTTATCTCCTTCCTCTTCTTGCATTGTATCCACACAAGTTACAGTTGTAAAATCTTTTATTAAGGGAGAATACATGTAATTACAATCAAATGTAAGACACATTTATAAAGGAACACAAAAGACTTCAAATTCATACTAGAACTGTTGTTGACCAATCATACACCTATAACAATGTAATATAATCACGTAAAATGTAAAACGATCACATCTAATAACTACAGACAACACTGGTATCTAAAGAAATGCTCTAAAAATGTTCCAGGTCAAAACGACAAAGTTGTTCAATTATATTCAAGGTGAAAAACCAAACATGACAAAACAGACAGGATACTAAATACTAGGATAATTATCAGTCCCCACTATGTAGACAGTTATGCTTAAGGAAGCTTAACATGCTCTGGTATGGAGCATGGTGGATTACACTGTTATAACACTGGGTCTTGAACAGATTTAAGGTTCCTGAACCCACTGAAAATGTCTGAAAATATTTTTCTTAGGATAGATCCATTGCTGTCATTTATAGTCTCATATTGTCATAATGGCCAGAGTCAGTGAGGAGTGAATCATCATTATTATTTTTTTAGACAGAGAGAGAGCGAGAGTGTGCGCGTGAGCATGGGGGAGGGAGAAAGAGAATCCCAAGCAGGCTCCATGCTTGGTCAGCAGCGCAGAGCTCAACTCAAGGCTGGATCTCAGGACCCTGAGATCATGACCTGAACTGCAATCAAGAGTTGGGTGCTCCCCCGATGTTTATAGCAGCAATGTCCACAACAGCCAAACTGTGGAAAGAGCCAAGATGTCCATTGACAGATGAATGGATAAAGAAGATGTGGTATATATACAATGGAGTATTATGCAGCCATCAAAAGGAATGAGATCTTGCCATTTGCAACAACGTGGATGGAACTGGAGGGTATTATGCTGAGCGAAATAAGTCAAACAGAGAAAGACATGTATCATATGACCTCACTGATATGAGGAATTCTTAATCTCAGGAAACAAACTGAGGGTTGCTGGAGTGGGGGGTGGGGTGGGAGGGATGGGGTGAGTGGGTGATAGACACTGGGGAGGGTATGTGCTCTGGTAAGCGCTGTGAATTGTGCAAGACTGTTGAATCTCAGATCTGTACCTCTGAAACAAATAATGCAATATATGTTAAGGGAAAAAAAAAGAAGAAGAAGAAGATAGCAGGAGGGGAAGAATGAAGGGGGAGAAATCAGAGAGGCAGACGAACTATAAGAGATGATGGACTCTGAAAAACAAACTGAGGGTTCTAGAGGGGAGGGGGGGTGGGAGGATGGGTTAGCCTGGTGATGGGTATTGAGGAGGGCACGTTCTGCATGGAGCACTGGGTGTTATGCACAAACAATGAATCATGGAACACTATATCTAAAACTAATGATGTGGGGCGCCTGGGTGGCTCAGTTGGTTAAGCAACTGCCTTCGGCTAGGGTCATGATCCTGGAGTCCTGGGATCGAGTCCCGCATCGGGCTCCCTGCTCGGCGGGGAGTCTGCTTCTCCCTCTGACCCTATCCCCTCTCATGCTCTCTCTATCTCATTGTCTCTCTCAAATAAATAAATAAAATCTTTAAAAAAAAAACAAAAAAACTAATGATGTAATGTATGGGGATTAACATAACAATAAAAAAGAAAAAACAAACAAACAAACAAAAAAGAGTTGGGTGCTCAACACATTGAGCCATCCAGGTGCCCCATTTCCTCTTTATATTAACTGTTAACTTATTAACTCTGTTTAACTTGACTTAAAATGGAATTAATGCTATAAAAAAAAAAGCAACATTTTTTTCCTTAAATTATCTTGCATGTCAACATATTTTGAATGTGTTATGAAAGCAAAGATGTCACAAAATTATGCAAAGTCTTGTCTTAAGACTAAGATAATAAGCCAAAGACTGAAATGCATGTTTTCCTAAGGAGGGATTCAACCAAACTACAAAGGATAAAGAACAAATGGTGAAGTAAAATTGAGCAAGTAAGCTCAAGGAGTATGAATATAAAATAAAAAAAAAAAGAGGTAAAAAAAATAGGTGACACATCAGAAAAGTGTAATCAATCTATCAAGACACATATAGATTTTCTTTCAAAGGAGAAGTCCTTGTAAGTTCTCAAGTAGTGGGGACAGAAGAGAGCCTTTTAACAAAGGAAAACATGTAGAGCACAGTGGTTGAAAGAGCAGATATAAATCACTGGAAGGGAACAGGACCAAGGTAGACAGTGGAGAATGTAAAAAAAATACCTTTCTTCCTTTCACATAATTTAAACACATTAAATTATAAGGCTTGAGTAACTGAGTTTAAGAGCTACTGAAATACAAAACTGGATTTTATTTTATTTTTTTTAAGATTTTATTTATTTGCGAGAAAGAGAATGAGAGACAGAGAGCATGAGAGGGAGGAGGGTCAGAGGGAGAAGCAGACTCCCTGCTGAGCAGGGAGCCTGATGTGGGACTCGATCCCGGGACTCCAGGATCATGACCTGAGCCGAAGGCAGTCGCTTAACCAACTGAGCCACCCAGGCGCCCTGGATTTTATTATTTTATTTTAAAGATTTTATTTATTTATTTGAGAAAGAGAGAGAACGAACAGGGAGGAGCAGAGGGAGAGGGACAAACAAACTGTGCTGAGCACGGAGCCAGATGTGGGGCTCGATCTCACAACCCTGAGATCATGACTTGAGCGGAAATCAAGAGTGGCACACTTAACTGACTGAACACCCAGGTATCCTGGAAGCTGAATTTTATTTTATTTTATTTATTTTTTAAAAAAGATTTTATTTATTTATTTGACAGAGAGAGACACAGCAGGAGAGGGAACACAAGCAGGGGAGTGGGAGAGGGAGAAGCAGGCTCCCCACGGAGCAAGGAGCCTGATGTGGGGCTTGATCCCAGGACCCTGAGATCATGACCTGAGCCGAAGGCAGCTGCTTAACCGACTGAGCCACCCAGGTGCCCGAAGCTGAATTTTAAAGTCATGCAGGGAAAGGTTTGAATCTATTTTTGTGTGTTTTTGGGCAAATTACTTAACCTTTCCAAGTCTTGTTTTCTCTTGTGTAAAATGGAATAATACTGCCTACTCATTGGATGGTTAAATGACTAAATCAGATAAAGTATGTGTAGTACCTGGAACAGAACTGATTTGTCTCCTTTCTTCATCTCATTTATTTTCTCTCTTACTCCAAAGATAAATTTGAAAGACTCTAATATACATTCTCACTAACACTTATCTTATACTGACAAAAACAATAGGGAAATAACATTGTTTTCTAACCCTGTTTGAAATCCACATTATTGAGTGCATAGAAACTCAACCGCTCAAAATGTTGCAACTTTTTTTTTTTTTAAAGATTTTATTTATTTATTTGACAGAGAGAGACACAGTGAGAGAGGGAACACAAGCAGGGGGAGGAGAGGGAGAAGCAGGCTCCCCCGCGGTGTAGGGAGCCCGATGTGGGGCTCGATCCCAGGACCCTGGGATCACGACCTGAGCCGAAGGCAGACGCTTAACGACTGAGCCACCCAGGCGCCCCGAAAATGTTGCAACTTTTGATGATTTTTCTAATTAAGCTGATTTGATGCAGTCCTTCAAATATATGTTTGGGGGCATCTGGGTAGCTCAGTCGGTAAGCGTCTGCCTTTGGCTCAGGTCATGATCTCAGGGTCCTGGGATCGAGCCCCACATTGGGCTCCCTCTCCCTCTGCGGCTCCCCCTGCTTATGCTCTCTCTCTCTCTGTCAAATAAATAAAATCTTAAAAAAAAGTTATATGTATGAAAACAAATGATGGGGCTACTCAAAGTCATGACATCACTTTTATAGTATAAATAACTAATTTTTAGTTTGTTTTATACAGGGAAGTCATAAAAGATAATCAGAAGAATAAAAAAACCCCACAGGCTTAAGTGTTAGATGTAAACACTAAAATCTTCATTTGAAAAAAGCAATAAGCAATTACAATCCAAATACTCAGACAAAATGAACTGTCACCAGCAATTTTATATGTAACGTTTTCACTTTCAATTTTATTTCAAATGGTAACCACTGATACTTACCCGCTGATGCAGCAAGTACATCTTTACAAAGCTTTAACCAGAAGGAGAGCTTATCCACTGCCATAGATGTAAGCATATGATTTAAAGTCTCTTTGATATCATGGCATAACTTCTGATCTGTCTCTTTATCTAGTAAGGTCAATAATGCCCCTTCAAGGCCCACTTCTCTGATGTTAGCATCTGACAAGAAGAAAATCGATGATCTAAGTAATACAGAAAACAAAACTGCCATATGAGAAGCACACAAATTCAAAAGTTATTGAAATACTACATGCAAATATTCTCATTGCAAAGTAATAAAGCACCTCAAAGGAGAAACATAAGCTTTGGTCTAGCATCTACTTCCTCTAATTACGGAAATGCCAAAAGAACAAATAAATTTTCTCTTGAAAATTTAACTTATTTAGCATTTCTGAAAGCATTTAGGTTCTAAAGATTATGCTATTATCACACTATTTTGAAAGAGAAATTATCTTTTAAAGACCAGAAGGAGGCATCACTGGGATAAAAGGTACAGCACAGGGAATATGTCAGTGGTATTATAATAGCATGGTATGGTGACAGATGAGAGCTACACTTGTGGTGAGCACAGCATAACATATAAATTTGTTGAATCATGATGCTGTACACCTGAAACTAATTAACACTGTGTGTCAACTATACTTCAATTAAAAAGAAAAGATCAGAAGGAGGCAGCAGGAATGTTTCCGATTAGGAGTTGAAAGAGACAAAACAACCATTGTAATGTGTGAGTCATGGCTGGATCCTATATTTGGGCGGTGGTAAGGGAGGGTAGAAGGAGTCATAAAGGATATTTTTTGGATAACTGGCGAAATTTGTGTGAGAACTGCACATTTTATGATCGCTACTAAATCAGTGTTGGTTTTATTAAGTGTGGAAATGATGCGTGGTCATGCAGGAGAATATTACGTATTAGGGGTGAGTTGTCATGATGTCTGCAGTCTGCTTTCAGATGGTTTGGCAAAGGTATGCATCTTGTATATATGGAAAGAGAGGAAGATATATAAAATGAGTGCCATAAAGATACTAAGTAGGTGAATATATGTGTTCACTGCACATTACTTCCAACTTACCCTTTAGTTTGAAAAATTATAAAATTTTACAAAGGGAATTATATAACAAGTTCTTTACTGTATTTTACTCACATAGCTAGTTCAAGAATTCTAGGAACATATACCAGCATGTTTACACAATCAAAGCCAAGCAAAAGATGCAGAGAATTTCAGTGGTGAATATAAACTGAAGGTTACTTGGGCAGAATATCACACATGATTAAAAGATGAAAATTTCTCTGGTTAAGGTAAGCCACCAGTTGTGCTCAAATGAGTTCTGCAACCTTTTTGATGACTACTATACTAGTTCAGCAATGCTGATTAACTCAAGCCAGAGTTAAAGTTTTAATACTAATTTAAGGAGCACAGCATGACAGTAAAACACACTGTTGTGTGCTTTAGATACTGGAAAGCTTTGTGAAGCCTGAGACCTTCTAAAAGTATGACAGCACTTTGGAAACTATATACATAAAAGAATAAGATATTGCCATTACTATTTTTGTAGGTTGTTTGAATTTGTATGCATACTTGGGTTACACACATAATTTTAAAATAAGAAATCCTTTAATTCAGCTCTAAAATAAAGAAGAGGCATAAAAACCCTCTAACCTGAAGAAGACTCATCTACAGTAAGTTTTTTATTAAATGAGATTTCGGAGGAAGAAAGGCACATATGGTAAATTACTTAAAGACTAAATCCAACTTCAATTGATTGTTGTGAAAAAACTTGCTCTAAAATTTGAGAGGCTCTCAAATTCATTAACAGGGATTATAAAACATAGGTAACAGATTGCTGGGCTCCACTCACAGATCTCTGATTACGCAGATTTGTGATGGGGCCCAATCATTTGCATTTTTTACAAGTTCTCAGTGAGGTGGATATTGCTAGTTCGGGGGCCTAAGTTTGAAAACCATTGCTCTAAACCAGTAACATTACTGGTTGGAATGACCGTAATTTTTTTTTTTTTTTTTTTAAAGATTTTATTTATTTATTTGACAGAGAGAGACACAGCGAGAGAGGGAACACAAGCAGGGGGAGCGGGAGAGGGAGAAGCAGGCTTCCCGCCGAGCGGGGAGCCCGATGCGGGGCTCGATCCCAGGACCCTGGGATCATGACCTGAGCCGAAGGCAGACGCTTAACAACTGAGCCACCCAGGCACCCCAGGAATGATAGTCATTGTTAGCAACTGTCTCTTGTAGCAGATTTAAGACATTACATATTAACTTTTAAATACCATTTTAAAAACATTGGGGAGGCTATGTGCTATGGTGAACGCTGTGAATTGTTTAAGACTGATGAATCACAGACATGTACCACTAAAACAAATAATACATTATATGTTAATAAAAAGAAAAAAACAAACAAAAAAACCCTTATGTTTATATGGAAGATGTAAGATTAAAATAATCATTTAACCTGGAGATAATGGTGATAAAAAAGAATTACCTGGAGTCAACTCTTCTCTGCTATCCTTAGCAAGCATAACAGCATGTTCTGAAACTTCAGCTGCTTCTCTCTGTACAAGCTGACGTAAACAAGCCAGGACTGCTCTTCTCAATAACAAATAGGGACTACAAAGATTCACCTGAAAAATACCATTTGGGAAATGAAAGAGCTGAAATTCTTGGTGGCATTCACATTAAATCTAACAGATATTCACTGGATCCTTCCTGATTCTGTCCAGCCCATCACTGTGCTAGATGCGGTTTATTAAATACACAGAAACTTCTTCAAACTATTCCAGTACATATTTTTTATTATAACTTAGACATAGCTTAAGGAATAGCACATGTACTTGACTATGCAAATATTCATAAACAAATCCAAGCAGAAGCCTCTTGAGTTTTAGAAGACATAAAATTTATGAGTAAATATAGTTTTGAGATAAAAGAAATACAACTGAGAATTTATTTGTAGCTCATACGTTTGTGCTCATGCAACATTATAATGTTTTATGATTCTCTAAGTAGAAATTTTTATTAAATCCATTCAAGCAGCATAGCATACTGGTTAAAAGTGAGGCTCTGGAGTCAAACTGCCTCAGTTTGAGTCCTAGATCCACCACTTACGAGCTGTGTGACCTTGGGCAAATTATTTAACCGTGCCTTAGTTTCCTTATTTGTAAAATGGAAATAACACTACCCCATGTCACAGGGCTGTTGCAAAATTACCACAAAGAAACATGCAGAAGGGCTTAGCACAGTACCTGGCAAATAATACGTGCTCAATAAATGTTAGTTATTATTAACTATTATTAACAGTCTCTATCAATAGTATTTTATTCAGATGCCATACAGAGTAAGTAAATGCATTTTCAAATAAAAGCAGAGAAGAGTTTTACTCAGAAAACATATTCACCAAAAACACTCTCTAGAGATACACATTAGAGACAACAAATTTTACATATATGTATATCTACTTGTATATGGATATGCATATATGTACATAGACGTGTACATATTTTAGAGATACAGAATATTTTTGGTCATAATGACTCAATACATATTCTTTTTACTTAGAAGTGTTTGAACAATGTAAATCTCAACAGGTTGTATCTACTGAACTAAATGATATGATTGTGATATACCTTAAATGAATAATTAAAACAAGTCAAAGGTTCTGGATACAAATTCTTAGTGATTCATAAGTAGAATAAAGTACAGAGTTCTTGAAATTTATTTTTTTCTAACTATGAAAGTAAAGACCAGTTTAGTGTGGTTTATGACAATGAATAGGTGTCTTATGCTACTGATTTTCCAAGCAAACTGTGAGAAAGCATAATTCTTACAGTGATCTTTATTTAGATCTCGTGTATGTGAGAAAAACAGGACTGAAGTAGGTGAGTTTGTTGAAAAGAGCAGAGGAAAAATTCTGAGAAAAAGAGTAGATGGTGACAGCTGGTTTTTGATATATAAGAAACACGTGCAAAGAGAGTGAAACCCTAAATTTTATCAGAAGCCAAAAGACAGAAAAGATTTGTGAATGTATCATCAGTGAAACATATGAATGGGAACTGCTTTATAAATATATTCTATTACACCCTCAAGTCATATCATGAACTCAAAAGTGGAAAGAGGAATGCCATTCACAAAGTCTCAAGTTAATGTCATCCCAGTCACGTTAAAGAACCACTGTTAGAAACTAGTACATAGGATGGGAGAGGAGTTAAAATGTAAAAAGATTAAGTTTACTCATGCCCAAATTATGGCTGTATTTTACAACAATGACAAAAAAGGCATTCTACAAGGCAATTTTAAAGAAAAGTTAATGAATCTACTAGTTATTTTCACTGGAATTTTACAAGCATATAATACAAGGCAGGTGCAGCATTTATTCAGGCTGGTCAAACACTCTTTTACAGAAAGCATGCTTAAAAGTACTCTTTACTTGTTTGGTAGAAAAAAGATTGAAGGCGGTCACACAAGCAAAATGGAACACTTAATATCTCCATGTCATTCTCCAGCATTTATATTGGGAAGAGGAATAGAGTTGAGTAAAGGCAAACAAACCAAGCAGGCAAAATACAGAAACTAAGTCAAACTGTAATTACAATTCCTTTCTGAAATGAATATATAAATCAAAATGATGCAAAATTAAGTGCAAGGAGTGAGTGCACCAGCTGGAGAAGGTTAGGGAGGATTTATTTACAGTGGTATTAAATAAACACCATGTAACATGCTACACATACTGGACTCTGCATTAATGGTTAGCTTAAACAAAGAGATGCAGGGGAAAACAAGAACATGTACAACCAAAAAAAATAAAAACGACACAAAGAAACAGCACTGCAAACCTCAAAAATAAGTTAGGAATTGAGGGTCAGGGACCTACCAACACAGAATTATCCAACAAGATCTCCTGCACAAAAACAAATGACAGACCGGTCATGACAAAACCAAAAGATAAATACTAGGATGACTTTGACAACAGTCAGCTAAGCATTAAAATATAGATATTGATAGAGCTATCATTCAAATTGGCTTAGCTTCAGCTTTAAAAATATGCCACGATTACTTCATTTTCCAACTTTAAAATATGAGTTGAGCTAAGATCTTGGAAATAGTCAACTCAAGATGTAAAGATATAAAATATACAATAACTTAAAAATGTACATTTGTGTAATTAGGTTTTCCTTTGGAATCTCTCATTAAGCCTCAATAACAAAGCCACATCAAGTAGACATGAGTGTTAAAGGAGTGATCTGGACTGCATTCACATGAGCAGGTGTCCAGCAAGGGATAAAGTTAATGGTTTACCTCATCACAAGTTAATGATAGATTTTTTATTCTTGGAAGCCAACTTTTAACACTGAGAGTACTCAAAATTCCTAGTGTAGCTAAGACCAAGTTCAGAATGGAAGTTAAACAGCATGCAGTTAGAAGAAAACTCTTTCCAGTAAGATTCTTTCCTAATGATGAAATGTATTCTGAATATTCAGGGAGTTTCGATTAATATGAAAACATTTCATGCTAAATAATTAAATTCTCTGTACAAAAGAAAATATGATCATAAAGTTGTTAAATAGGAAAGCAAAAGCAATTTGCTTACTACAGGGAATACTCTAAAATATAATAAATTCGGGGTGCCTGGGTGGCTCAGTCATTATGCGTCTGCCTTCGGCTTGGGTCGTGATCTCAGGGTCCTGGGATCGAGCCCCACACAGGGCTCCCTGCTCAGCGGGGAGGCTGCTTCTCCCTCTCCCACTCCCCTTGCTTGTGTTCCCTCTCTCACTGTGTCTCTGTCAAATAAATAAATAAAATCTTAAAATATATACATATATAATAAATTCAATCTAATAAATTCAGAATAGAAGCTTACTAAAAAAATTAAGACATAAAATTAACAAAGTATAGTGATAGCAATTTTTATTTTTTTATTTTTTATTTTTTTAAAGATTTATTTATTTATTTGAGAGAGCGAGAATGAGAGAGAGTACATGAGAGGGGGGAGGGTCAGAGGGAGAAGCAGACTCCCTGCTGAGCAGGGAGCCTGATGCGGGACTCGATCCGCAGACTCCCAGATCATGACCTGAGCAGAAGGCAGTCGCTTAACCAACTGAGCCACCCAGGCGCCTCTGATAGCAATTTTTAGTTTTTTTATTTTTTATTTTTTGTTTTTTTTTTTTTGTTTGTTTTTTAAAGATTTTATTTATTTATTTGAGAGAGAGAGAATGAGAGACAGAGAGCATGAGAGGGAAGAGGGTCAGAGGGAGAAGCAGACCCCCTGCTGAGCAGGGAGCCCGATGTGGGACTCGATCCCGGGACTCCAGGATCATGACCTGAGCTGAAGGCAGTCGCTCAACCAACTGAGCCACCCAGGCGCCCTCTGATAGCAATTTTTAAATGATTTCTGTAAGAAAATCATTTTACAGCTTAAATAAGAGTAACATAAATTTGTTGATTGTTAATTTTGATTTTCTCAATTGCTCTGAATGTTCCTAAAACAAAAATCTGATAGTGTCTCTATTCTTCTTTATATATAATCTTTCTCAGTCCCGGGGGGGGGGAAAAAGAGTAATGAATTTGATCATATCTAATTCATCAAGAATTAGTAGTAAGTTTTGTTCTTTATTTCTCAATAAACTTAGTAAATGAATTAATGCATCAGTTAGACAAATTTCAAAAGCCTACCAATGGAAAATTTCTACTATAACTCAAGGAAAAAAAAAAGGCAGTATAATGGAGTGAAAGTCTGATCAACTTGCAAAGGAGTGGCTATTTTTCAGTAACTGGTTTTGGTGATGGCTCCTGGAACAGAAAGAATAATATTCCTAGGGAAAAGTCATTGAATGGTAAAGGTAAAATCCTTCTTCCAGTTAGTGTTATTTTCTCCAAAACATGTTTAACCCAGACAGGAACCAAGTTTCTATGAGAAAAGTCAGTCACATCCTCTTTTTTTAAGTCTTATGTAACTTTGTGAAAATCACTATGAAGATTAATATAATGTATAAGTTATATGTTAAGAAAATAAAAACTATGTATTAAGTGGTTGGTTATTAAGTGCCTGGGACATGTGCCTTTACAGGTGGCATCTTGTGTAATCCTTGTGTTCTACAGACAAGGTAGCTAAGGCTGGAAGAGGTTGTGGGACTTCCCTAAGGCCACAGAACTAGGAGGTGCTAGAACTGAGATTAAGAGCTAACCATTAAGTGGGTGCCTGGGTGGCTCAGTTGGTTAAGTGACTGCCTTCGGCTCAGGTCATGATCTGGGAGTCTGCGGATCAAGTCCCGCATCGGGCTCCCTGCTCAGCAGGGAGTCTGCTTCTCCCTCTGACCTGCCCCCTTATCATGCTCTCTCTTTCTCTCTCAAATAAACAAAATTTAAATAAATAAATGAATAAAATCTTTAAAAAAAAAAGTGCTAACCAAAAGTATAAAGTCAGTAAGAAATAAAGAAATGGGGACTGAACTACAAGTTGAGAAACTGGATTCTAGACTTAGAGCTACCACTATACCTAGGTACGTTACCTTGAGCAAATTATTTGACTTTTTGGTCCTTGATTTATCTTTTTTATTGGGAAGGTTGGTTTTAATAACATTTGAGCTTCTTTCAAGGTCTGAAATGCTGCATATTCTGCCTCAAGCTTGGAAATGAAAGGTCTGTCTAAAGTAATGATTCTCAACTGTCATGTTACTAATGGGAGTGTGTTGTGGACATTCTAGGGGCAGAAATGTTTAAAAGCAATGGTGGTTGTTTTAATTCCAAATGTAACTCAATTTTTGAGGCAAGTCCAGATAGAAACTGATGATACTCAAGGTAAATCTTAAAACCACTGACGATTATGAACCACTTCACGAGAACTTTCAGCATTCATCTTGCCATATTTATTAAACATATTATTAAAACCCAGATATTGATGGATATGCCACTAGAATATTAAGGAAAAATGTTATTTGCCCATCTGGGGTGGAGAGAACTTTATATGTAATTATGCGGAAAAAAGGAAGGAAAAAACAAAGACATCACATAAACTTTTCCATGTCTTATGGCATTTATACAGTATCCGGGACATTTAAGCACCCTCTATATGTTTATTGACTAATGAATAAATATTCCAAATGTTAAGTTCAACACTAAGAGAAGAAAAATCAATCAATATATGAGAGGTTTAAGATGTGATTATATAAGAGTTGGCCCTACCCCCTAAAAAAAAGACCAGAACTGAGAGAAAATAGCTATTGTACACAGACTAGAGAATAAATAAACCTAAGTTTCCAATGAAAAAAACCTAAGGACTCACTAATAATTTTATACTCACACAGAGGCAGCTGACCAAGTTAGACAGGTTGACATGTCTTGGAGCAAACATATGAAGCTGCTGAAGGCAAGAAATGGCCTGAGCTTGAACAAGGCAGTCTGGATTATCTTGCATCACTGCACAACCCAAAAGACAGGAAGTTCTTAAGGTGGAAATGGAAGTACTATTACCTAAAAGGAAAGGAGAGAGCTTTGAATAATTGGTCTATGAAATCATTCCTCTTTAAGCATATATTACTAGGTTTAAATTTTTTTTTATACCAATTTTAAACTCAAGGATCTGTGAAATAAATTTCTTCTACAAAAGCAGGGATAATCCAGGTGACAGATTTTTAGGTTATGTTAGTTATTCTTACTCTGAAAAATTTATGTCAACATAAATCATTAGGCAAACAAGAACCTAAGACTAGGTTATATCAAATTTTCATGAAAAGTAGAACTAGAAATGGCTAATGAACTTAGCCCTGTTTATATTAGTTGAGTTGCTTTCAAATATTAAAATCACAGACTTTACATTTGAACGGATCAGATTATCTGAGCTTTGGGACTTAGTCACTTACTTCTTAGAAGAGATGAGTTCTTTAAACTATTCCACTTGGTGTCTATCACCTTAATTGTTAAGGGAAGCATTTAAAAAAATATATCTAATCTTTCTAAATATGGTACTCCTTGTCTTTTCAAGGTAAGAGAAATCACACTGAATGGCATTTCACAAAATATATGATTACCTACTATGTATCAATCACAAAGGCTTTTCAACTTTTCCTTCTTTTGACAGAGAAGGAAACCAAAGACCAAAGATTTTCCAAAGGTCACCGAATTAAGTAGTGGTGGAGCTTACATCAAGTTTCCTCGTTTCTATGTTATGTTCTATTATGTCAACATTCAGAAGTCAAAGTCTTCTTCCCAAGATGACTCTCAACATTCTGCCCATCGATTTGCATAGAATATTGTACTAAACTTCATTTCACTGACAAGTATTTGAGTCAGTAATAAGAAATGAATTCATTTTCTATGTACATTTTTAATGTAAAACATCACAAAATGAGTTATGCATACCCTGTAGCTCTGGACCCAATGTAGTAATAAGGGCATTCAAACAGCGACCAAGACTTTGGTGAACTTCAGCATGAGTAGGAGGCACATTTAACAATAACATTATAATAAGAGAAAGGGTGGGTTCCACCTGCATATGATAGAGTGGGCCGGCAGAATCAATTATCAATGATAGCGAATGTAGTGCCCAGGTCTGTGAAGACAGAGAAAAACAATTTAAAGTGCTACAGCAGCGTTAAGAAACATAAAACACAATGAATTGTTCTTTGTTGAAGCAAGTGATAAAGTAACAACAAAGTAAAGTAATTTGTGCGCTATCACTAACCTGGAAAGAGAAATAGAGAACATAAGAAGTTTAAGAAAAGATCTAATCATCTAATTTAGAATGATAAACTGATATCTCAGCACTAAGAATTCCAAGTCTGTGTTTGGTTCTTTAGCTAACAGCCTGAAATGAATCTAGTTCGTTGAAAATTGTTTACTATTTAACCTATGTGAACAAAAATTCCAGTTTTTAAAAGATTCAAAATAAGTAAATAAAAGATTCAACAAAATCTACAAGTACATGCGGTAATATGGACAAATCTCTTGAACATAACGTTGAAGAAAGCCAGACATAAAAGAGTACATACCATATGATTCCATTGACATAAAGTATAAAAGCAGGCAAAACTAATATATGATGTTGCAAATTAGGATAGTGGTTATCCTTGGTGGGACAGGTAGTAACTAGAAGAGAACATGAGAGTGTTTGGGGTATTGATAATGTTCTATTTCTTGATCTAGGTGCTGGTTACATGGTGTATTTAGTTTGTATACTTTATTCACAGAGATGCACACTTAAGACAAGTGTACTTTCATAAACATATAAAAATAAGTATATGTATAAAATAAGTATATATTATATAAATATTTCTTTATAAAACAAACTGAAATGCCTTTGAGCGAAATCTGACCTGCCACATATTTTTACAAATAAAGCTTTACTGAAACGCAGTCCTGCTCATTTATGTATTTATGGCTGCTCTACTGCTACAATGGCAGAACTGTGCAGCTGACAGAGACTGCACGACTGACCTGTAAAGTGTACACAATTTACTATGTAGCTCTTAATAAAATACATTTGTCAACTCTGGTTTAAATGAACAAGCCTCTCCCAGTACCTCAGGATGGGGCTGTCTTTGGAGACAGGGCCTTTAAAGGAGTTAAAATGAGGCTTTTAGGGTGGGCCCTAACCTAATGTGACTGGTGTCCTAAGAAGAGAAAATCTGGACAGAATGACACTAGAGATGCATAAGCACAGAGGAAAGACCATGTGAAGACACAATGAGGTGACCACCTGCAAGCCAAGCAAAGAGGGCTCAGAAGAAACCAAACTGGCTGACACTTTGATCTTGGACTTCCAGCCTCCAGAACCACGAGAAAATAAATTTCTGTTGTTTAAGCCACCAATGAACGAATAAATGAATGAACAAATGAATGAATGAAACAAGACTGATAACCAATGCAGTCAGATGATGGGTATAATAGGGTCCTTATAGTATATTCTACTTCTATGTATGTTTTAAGTACATAAAAAGTTCTCCCTTTAGGAAAATGAGAAGTTTTACCCCTCTTACCAGAAAGCTTATAGTACTTTAAATGCTACAAAAATAAACTGTGAAGAGATAGCAGTAATCGAAAAGAGTCAGATTTGATGACACTGGAAGTCACTAAAAGCATTTAATCAACAAAAAAGGTATTTAATATAAAAGTATGTGCATTCACAACAGACTTCTTAAAGGGGAAGAAGAGAAATACAACAAATAAAAACAAAAATTGCTATAATAAAGGAGGATGAAAGAATGGACACCTTATAAATTAACTCAGTCAACTACTGGATGATGATGAGGAGGAGACTATTTGTAATATGGTAATTCAAAGAAAGTAACTGTGGATTAGGGATGTTGAAATTTGACGAGAAGGTGGTTAAACTGGATCTCAGAACACTAGAAAATTTGGATTATCAGATAGGAATAGTAAGGGAAAAGAACAATAGGAAAAATATAAGTGCAGATATGAGAAAGGCACATGTGGGATGAAAATAGGCAGGTCATCTGTAAGAGAAGCCAGTACTTTCGGGTAATAATAGACAGGTTCCTGGGTCAGCTGATAGGACTTGAATGAGGTGATTTAGGAAGCAATAAGCAGTTTCCCCAGGTTTTTGATAGGAAGTGGCAAGATGAAAGTCTTTCAGGAAAACAAATGTGTCTTCACATCTAGGGGGAGTTGAAAAGAACCTAAAAATACTGCTATAGTAATTAGGAACACACAAGGGAGGCAGAGATAAGATAAGGGGAGAAAAAGGGCAGGAAGAAGAATAATCATTCAAGATTTGATTAAGATATCAAGAGAATGAGGATATTAACTGAAATGGGTTAAGATATGTACAATAATAATGGTAAACTGGTTAAGAACATAGATTTAGAGTTCATGATTTGTGTTCTTGAACTGATTCCATGATTTATTAGCTTTCAGCCGTGAGCAAGTTACTTAGCTTCTGTAAGTTCCAGTTATCTTTTTAAAATATTTTATTTATTTATTTGAGAGAGAGAATGAGATAGAGAGAACATGAGGGGGGGAGGGTCAGAGGGAGAAGCAGACTCCCTGCTGAGCAGGGAGCCCGATGCAGGACTCGATCCCGGGACTCCAGGATCATGACCTGAGCCGAAGGCAGTCGCTTAACCAACTGAGCCACCCAGGCGCCCTGGATTTTATTATTTTATTTTAAAGATTTTATTTATTTATTTGAGAGAGAGAGAATGAGAGACAGCACGAGAGGGAAGAGGGTCAGAGGGAGAAGCAGACTCCCCGCTGAGCAGGGAGCCCGACGCGGGACTCGATCCCGGGACTCCAGGATCATGACCTGAGCCGAAGGCAGTCGCCCAACCAACTGAGCCACCCAGGCACCCTCCAGTTATCTTTTTGTATAAGGGGAATATACACCGTAGATTGCTGTGAGGCTTAAATATGTTAATGTTTTAGAAGAATATAAAACAATCCTTGGTACCTATTAAGCTCTCCAAAATAGTAAATGTTATTATTAAGATGGGAGGAAGATCCATTTTCAGAAAAAGATACTGAATTTGATTTTAGAAACTCTGAGTGTGAAGTAAAGATAGTGAGATTTGAATTTCAAAAACCAGTCAAGGTTAACAATGGTTTGGATATTTATTGGGGGAGGGATTATTTATAAATTAACAATGGTTTATAAAAACAATCTGCATTATATACAAATCATGAATTTCAAGAAGATATCATATGGGGTATTTACCTGCACATCAGGGGAAGTAGTGTCCTGAGACAAAGTATAAAGGATTCCAACACAAGAATTCAAATGTTGAGAAGAACTTATTCCTCCTAAATATCTATGTAGGGATCCCAAAGCCAATGAGTATCCTGCTCTGGTAACCACATCCCTTGCTGATTTCAATCTATAATTACGGAAATAAAAAATAATCACTGAACAAAACTAATGCATGTACACTGTCACTTAGGCAAAACGTTTTGTATGAATAGCTGCAAAATTCAAAAATATATTTACTGTTAACTGATAAAAAAAAATTCTGAAATGACCTGAAAGGTATCTTGAAAAGAAAAACATTTTAAATAAAAATGTCTTCACATTATTAATGATTAAGTATGAATAATTTCAATGTTTTTCAGAAATATACTAAATTTGTAAGACAAGCATTATTACTTTGTTAAGTTACTTTTTACAAGTTGAAGTACACAATATCCTATTAGTTTCAGGCATGTATCATAGCGATTTGATATTTTTATACATTATGATCCTCACAGTAAGTCTAGTTACCATCTGTTACCATACAAAATTTCTGCAATATTACTGACCATAGTCTATATGTTATACATTGCATCCCATGACTTATTTATTTTATTACTGGAAGTCTGGACCTCTTAATTCCCTTTACCTGTTTTGCACCCTCCTCTCTTCTATGGTAACCAACAGTTTATTTCTTGTGTATCTATGAGTTTGTTCATTCTTTTCTTTTCACATATAAGTGAAATCATATGGTATTTGTCTTTCTGTCTTATTTCACTGAGCATAATACCCTCTAGGTCCACCCATGTTGTCGCAAATGGCAAGATTTCCTTCTTTTTTATGGCTAAGTAATATTACACACAACATATTCTTTATCCATTCATTTATTAATAGACACAGGTTGCTTCCAGATTTTGGGTATTGTAAATAATGCTGCAATGAACACAGGGGTGCAGATATCTCTTTTAATCAATGTTTTCATTTCCTTTGAATGAATACCCAGCAGTGGAATTGCTGGATTGTATTTTTTTTTTTTAAAGATTTTATTTATTTATTTATTTTTATTTATTTGAGAGAGAGAGAATGAGAGAGAGCACATGAGGGGGGGAGGGTCAGAGGGAGAAGCAGACCCTCTGCCGAGCAGGGAGCCCGATGCGGGACTCGATCCAGGGACTCCAGGATCATGACCTGAGCCGAAGGCAGTCGCCCAACCAACTGAGCCACCCAGGCGCCCCGCTGGATTGTATTTTTAATTTTTTGAGGAACTGCCATACTACTTTCCATAGTGGCTGCACCAATTTATATTCTCATCAACAGTGTATGAAGGTTCCCTTTTCTCCACATCCTACTCAACACTTGTTAGTGTCTTTTGGATATTAGCCAATTAGGCAAGTGCGAGGTGATGTCTCATTATGGTTTTGATTTGCATTTCCATGATGATTAATGATGTGGAGAAAGAAGGTCTTCACGTGCTTGTTGGCCATCTCTAGGTCTTCTTTGGAAAAATGTCTATTTGGTCCTCTGCCCATTTTTTTAAAATCAGGTTTTTGACATTAAGTTGTATAAGTTCTCCATATATTTTGGATATTAACCCCTTATCGAATATATGGTTTGCAAATATCTTCCACCATTCATAGGTTGCCTTTTTATTTTGTTAATGGTTTCCTTCATTGTACAAAAGCTTTTTAGTGTAAGGTAATTCCACTTGTTTGTTTTAGCTTTTGTTGCCATTGCCTGAGGAGCGTGACCTTTCCCCTAAATACTGCTAAGATTAATGTCAAAGAGTTTATGCATATGTTTCTTCTAGGAGTTTTATGGTTTCTGGTCTTCAAGTCTTTTATCCACTCTGAATTTCTTTTTGTATACAATGTAAGATAGTGGTCCAGTTTTAATCTTTTGCGTGTAGCTGTCTTGTTTTCCCAACATCATTTATTAAACAGATTGTTTTCCCCCATTGTTTTGTTTTTAAAGTAAGCTCTATGACCAAGGTGGGGCTTAAACTTATGGTCCCAAGATCAAGAGTTGCAAGCTCTTCTGACTGAGCCAGCCAGTAGCCCATTTTCCCCCCATTATACATTCTTGACTCCTTTGTCAAATTAATTGACTAGATATGTGGGTTTATTTCTGGGCTCTCTATTCTAACACATTGTTCTGTTTGTTTTTATGCCAGTAACATACTGTTTTAATTACTATCGCTTTGTAATATAGTTTGAAATCAGCATACCTCCAACTTTGTTCTTCTTTCTCAAGACTGCTTTGGCTATTTGGGTCTTTTATGGTTCCATACAAATTTCAGGATTTTTTTTGTTCTAGCACTGTGAAAAATGTCATTGGTATTTTGATGGGGATTACACTGAATCTGTATATTGCTTTCAGTAGTATGGATATTTTAGCAATATTAAATCTTACAATCCATGAGCATGGTGTGTGTATGTGTGTGTGTGTATTAAAATATGGAACGCTTCATGAATTTGCATGCCATCCTTGTGGAGCATGGTATATCTTTCCATTTATTTGTGTCATCTGCAATTTCCTTCAACAATGTCTTAATGTTCTCAGTGTGCAGGTTGTTCACTTCCTTGGTTAAACTGATTCTTACGTATTTTATTCTTACTGACAATAGTGATTGGGATTGTTTCCTTAATTTCTCTGACAGCTTGTTATATGTATAAAAACTGATTTCTGTATGTTAATTTCATATCCTGTGACTTTACTGAATTCATTTAATTCTAACAGTTTTTTGGTGGAGTCTTTAGGATTTTCTAATTTTGTATTATGTCATCTACAAACAGGGAGAGTTTTGCCTCTTCCTTTCTAATCTGGATGCCTTTTATTTCTTTTTCTTGTCTAATTGCATGGCTAAGACTTCCAAAACCAAGGTGAATAAAAGTGAAGAGAATGGGCATCCTTTTTTTGTTCCCAATCTTAGAGGAAAAGCTTTTAGCTTTTGAGTGTGATAGGTGTGGGCTTGTCATATATGGTCTTTTTAATGCTGAGGTATGCTCCTTCCATATCTACATTGTTGAGAGCATCATTAAATTACATTTTAAAAACTCACATTGCTGAGATACTTTAATTCCATACAAAGAGAGTTTCAACTCAAGAACTTTGATTTTAACATTAAATATAGCAAGAAAAAAAACCCATTTATTAGTTTTCTTATGCATTCTGTGCTAATTTAAGTGTTTTACATTTACTCCTTTAATCCTCCCAACAACCTTGAGATTCATACTATTATCAGTTCCTTTTTACAGATGAGAACAAAATAGCCAAAGTAACTCTTACACAGTAACCAACTATTAAGTGGAAGAATGGGATTTGAACCAAGTTTAGTAATCTGACTCCAAACTTCCAGCTCTCTCTCTCTCTTTTAAAGTTTATTTATTTAAAATCTCTACACCCAACGTTGGGCTTGAACTCACAACCCCGAGATCAAGAGTCGCATGCTCTACCAACTGAGCCAGCCAGGCACCACCAGACTTCAAGCTCTTAACCAAATCAGTCACACATATTCAGTAAACTAGAAGGTCAAAATGCTATTTGCATTACTACTACTACTACTACAAATATAACTTTATATACATATATTACTAATATAACCATGAACTTTTATTTGTGGTTGTTTTATTCTTTCATATTACTTTCATATTTATTATCTCATTTACCTTAACACTGTTAAGCAGGCAAGGTAGTATTAACAACCTTCTATTTGAAATAGAGGGTATTTCCCCAAAGATACAAATGTAGTGATCTGAAGGGGCACCTGCACCCCAATGTTTATAGCAGCAATGTCCACAATAGCCAAACTATGGAAGGAGCCCAAATGTCCATCGACAGATGAATGGATTAAGAAGATGTGGTATATATATGCAGAAATCTTGCCACTAGAATGATGTGGATGGAACCAGAAGGTATTATGCTAAGTGAAATTAAGTCAATCAGAGAAAGACAATTATCATATGATCTCACTGATATGTGGAATTTAAGAAACAAAACAGAGGATCATAGGGGAAGAGAGGAAAAATAAAACAAGACGAAACCAGAGAGGAAGACAAACCATAAGACACTCTTAATCACAGGAAACAAACTGAGGGTTGCTGGAGGGGAAGGAGGTGGAGGGACAGGGTAATCGGGTGATGGACATTAAGGAGGGCATGTGATGTAATGAGCACTGGGTATTATATAAGACTAATGAATCACAGACCTGTACCTCTGAAATCAAGAATACATTATATGTTAATTAATTTAATTAAAATTTAAAAATGTTACGAAAAACAGGAAAACTAGCTGAGAAGTTTACTCTTTGCTCATGATCTCAGAGCTGGCAAAAATGAAAACATAGTTTAAGTTTCCTGATCATGACAGCGTACAGCCTTTCCTCTTTCCAGTACATTGTTATTACTACCGATTATCTATATTTTAAATGATAAAACTCTGTGTCTCCCAGAGTCCATTCCACTGATAGCCAATTATACCACTCATATATTGGTAATCTTTCTCTTATTATATAAAAACTAAAGCCAAAGTAGTAATAGTTTTATGTTCTAAGATGAGCAAACCCTTCATGTGAAAGTATCTGTGTTTATCAATTTTTTCTGAGTTAATTCCCAGGATGAAGTTTCACTAGTTCCAAAAAAATCAACAAACTATACCCAGTTTTGACATATAGTGTATGAGTATTAAATAAGAAATTCACTTACTTGTCAAAGCTGACTTGAGCTAATGCAGCAGTAAAAGCTCCATCATCAACCACTTGGGCTAATCTAGCCCATGCCTCTGCAGCTGCACATCTCAAGAGGGGGTTGGGACTTTCTAGGGCTCCCATCACCAATGCTAGGGCAGGTCTTCTCATTTCTTCTGGACCCAAATTTCCCTTGGAGACAGCTAAGTACTGAAATATGTAAAGAATAATCCAAACTTACAATTGTAGTAAATTTCCTTTTTTAAAAAAATTTATTTATTTTAGAGAAAGAGAGCGTGAGAGCAAATGCAAGTGGAGTGAGTGGCAAAGGTAGAGGGAGAGAGAACCTCAAGGAGACTCCCTGCTGAACGTGTAGCCTGACTCAGGGCTCAATCTCACAACTCTGAGATCATGACCTGAGCTGAAATCAAGAGTCAGATGCTTAACAGACTGAGCCACCCAGGTGCCCCTGTAGTAAATTTTTGAATCCAGTTTGGAATGAATATTCTGGTTAAGCAAATATGCTCATACTTGGATTACTACTTAAACACACACACAAACACTGAACACCCAAAAATAATTTGATTTTTCACAGAAAGTTCTTTAGAAGTTTAAACCTCCAGGCAAACAATATGGTAATTGATTATCACTATAGTATATATGTGTTCAGAACATTAATAGGAATTTCTATAAAATAACCAATGAAGTGTATTATATTTTAGTTAGAAACAATAAGTCATAAATGCAACAATAAGCTAGATTTGGCCCATAGGCCATAGTCTGCCAATCTCTGGTATAGGATATTAGGCTGAGTAGGTTATACCATGTTCCTAAGCCAAGACTTCAGGTTTAATTTCTGACTAACAAGTTTTACATAGAGATAAAGTAAAAGGGGAATTACAAATCCTGAAACATTTTCATTAGATTAAGAAAAAAGGGAAGGGAAAAAAAAGCAGCAGTTCTTTAAAAACACCTTCCTCCAACCTACATAGTTGGACATAAATTAGAAAAAAAATTAATCAAACACCCCAATTTTAAAAAAACAGAATTACCTTCAAGAAACTAGAGAGTGAAGAAACAACATGTAACTGAACTATTTGTTGACGAGCTCCTTTTGAGTGCTTTATAGTGTCCAAAAGCTGTTCCAGTATAAAAAGCCTAAAATCAGAAACAACAAGATTTAAAAGCAAATAGTAAGACAGTGAATTTGCTAATAAAGATAAAGTAAGCCAAAGGGCATTACTAAGTATATACTGCTAATCTGTTTTGTTGCATTATTTTGTGGGAACTGCTAAAATGAGATAAACTCTTGCTGAACATACTAAAACATTTTAGGAAAAGAAAATATATCGTAAAAAATACAAAAACATTTGGATTTTGTGTCATTCTGACAGTGGGTGAGAAACATTATTATGTGAGAAAAACCCCATGAAAGTATCGCTTAATAAATATTTACCTGGAAAAATTCTATCTCAATAACTATTTTCTAAACATTAACTATAACTATTCTAAACTATTGTTTAAAATAACTATATTCTAAACAATAACTATTTTTCTTCTTTTCTTTTTTTAAGTAAACTCTATGCCCAATGTGGGGCTCAAACCCACAACCCTGAGGTCAAGAGTCACATATCCTGACGTAGCCAGCTGGGCACCCCGAAACAAAGGATATCCTAAAAGTTACATGCATCAACTTTCTTGTTCTTAATAATAGAGGACTTAAATGATTCAAATACATAGCTTCATCTTAAAGGTAGCACCAACTTATGTCATCTATAGTTAATGAGAATCAGCACAGCTCTTTGAACTCCCAGCTGTATTTTAAAATGTACTTAGGATCACACTATATATTAACATAATTTTAACTCTTCTGTTTCTCATTTAACATTACCTCCTAAGCACCTTTCAAATCATTCTTATTCTTTGGTAACTTTCATGAAGCCAAATTTTACTGTGCACATGTTTTACAATTGGTTCAATCATTCTACTGACAGAGCAATTTTTTAAATTTCACAATTCTAACTATGATGGATATTAGTTTTGGTCTGGGATTGAATGTGTCCATTAGCTATTTATGTAGCTTCTGTGAATTTTTTTTTTTTTTAAGATTTTATTTATTTATTTGACAGAGAGAGCAAGAGAGCACAAGCTGGGGGAACAGTAGAGGGTGAGGGAGAAGCAGGCTCCCCACCAAGCAGGGAGCCCAATGCGGGGCTCGATCCCAGGACCCTGGGATCATGACCTGAGCTGAAGGCAGACGCTTAACCATCTGAGCGACCAAGCGCCCTGCTTCTGTGAATTGTTTTACATGTCCTGACAGCACTATGCTTTTCCTCTCTCTCCATCAACCCACAATTATTTTACAGCATTTATAGCAGTGGTTCTCAACCTTGGCTGCATGTCAGAATTACCTAAGGAGTTTTTGAAAATTTCAATACCCAACATACATGCATACCATACTATTAAATCAGAATCTACATTTTAAAAAGTTGTCCAAGTGACCGCAATGTATTGTCAAGGGCAGAACAATCTTCAGATAAATTAAGTAATTCATTCTTTGCATTTAGGTGCAAAATACTTCAAAGTAAGCACAAACAACACATGCACAAGATCAATCATAGCTCTTCTCTGTATAAAATTATTTTGGCTTATACACAAACAATGAATCATGGAACACTACATCAAAAACTAATGATGTTATGTATGGTGATTAACATAACAATAAAAAATTAAAAATAAATAAATAAAATTATCTTGGCATTCTAGAACTTTAAACATTTTAGTACTTTAAAATTACTAATGCGAAGTTCTCTTACTTTTAGAATCCTATAGTCAAAACAGAGAAAACCAAATGATTTAAAGACAATTTCATTTCTAAGTGCATAAATAAAATATGAAAAACCTATTTCTAATCTTAGGGCAATTTCATGTTATTAAAGACTTTCTTTTAAGCCGTTTAAACACAAAGCTAAGCACAATGACAACCAAATGCTTTGAAATATTCAGATGCTGTTGTTAAATATAGATACTTTGGTTAAAAACATTTTTTTTCCCTCTAGGAATGTAAAGACCCAAAAGAAAAAGGGTCTGCCAACTTAAACAAGTATCATATTTTGGATAACAGGATATTAGAAACTTAACTTTCCTATTTATGTAGTTTCTCTTCTCTGGTCCTCTAATGACACCCAATGGAGACTGCTGAGAGCTGTTTATGACCCACTTTCTGTATCTGGGATCCTGCCAGACCATTTCCTTTAAAAATCTCCAAAGTACTGCCTACTATTTTTATTCAGTTAGAATCTAAACACACTATGTTTTGTTTTTACCAGGTCTCAACATTTTTATTAAAACAAATAAAACCTCTCCCTTAAATATATATTCATTCTATATACTATTTTAGTCCAGGTGAGGTTAAAAAAAACTGAGCATTCTTTTAAGTTAAATTTTAGAACAAAAAATAATTTTCCTAAAAAAAAACCTTCTCTAAGAAGTATATTCTTTTCTTTTTCACTTTTTTGTCTTAGACCTGTCAAAAAGAGTGGAGCCATTTAAGAATATGCTTAATTTAAATCTTTTCCCCACAAGGCCACCCCTGTTTTATCACTGTAGTCAATGCTATATTAAGCCAAATTAATTTTAAATTGTATGCTCTATAAAATGGTACAGTTACAAACTGGTTCACTCCCACCCTATTAATTCTTCTCTTTTTTTCCCTTAAATATGTATTTATTTATTTTTAAGATTTTATTTATTTATTTGACAGAGAGAGAGAGAACACAAGCAGGGGGAGCGGCAGGCGGAGGGAGAGGGAGACACAGACTCCCCACTGAGCAGGGAGCCTGATGTGGGGCTCGATCCCAGGACCCCGGGATCATGATCTGAGCTGAAGGCAGACACTTAACCAACTGAGCCACCCAGGTGCCCCAAGATTTATTTATTTGAAATTAAGAAAGAGGGAGAGAGAGAGAGAGAGAGAGAGAGAGAGAGAAAGAGAGAGCGCACTCGAGCTCCCATCCAGGAGCAGGGGGAGGGGCAAAGGGAGAGGGAGAATCTCAAGCAAACTCCCTGCTGAGGTCGGGCTCAATCTCATGATCCATGAGATCATGACCCAAGCTGAAACTAAGAATCAGACACTCAACCGACTCAGCCATCCAGACGCCCCTCTATCAATTCTTTATTTGCCAGAAAGAGGGAGAGAGAGAGCACAAGCAGGGGGAGCTGTAGACAGAGGAAGAGGGAGAAGCAGGCTCCCCACTGAGCAAGGAGCCTGGTGCGGGACTCAGTCAATCCCAGGACTCTGGGATCATGACCTGAGTTGAAGGCAGACACTTAACCAACTGAGCCACCTCAGGCATCCCTCCTCTATCAATTCCTCTTCGAATATTCCAGACTACTATGATTTTCCTCTCATCTTTTAGTGCTACAGCATTCATTTATAATTTGGTCATATATTGTCTTAAATACGTTAAAGCCGCAACTTTATAGTTACAGCATACACAGGGAGCTATAGGCTATAAATAAATTTGGGAAAAACATCATCTTTTAAAATTTAAGCTCTGAAAAGACATCTCAGTGTGTGTGTGTCTGTGTATATCTTATACTGAGCAAATACTACCATTGTTTAAAATAAAACGACAGGAGGCTATTAACAATCAACATAAAAAACAAACAAGTTTTATTCACTATTCTATCCACTGAAAGTAAACTACCCAGAGACATGCTTCAAAAATGTGTTCCTGGGGTGGCTGGCTGGTGTAGCTGGTAGTGCATGTAACTCTTGATCTTGGGATTGTGAGTTCAAGCCCCATGTTGGGACTAGAGTTTACTTTAAAACCCCCCAAAAATGTGTTGCTGACAAGATTCAAATATTTTTTGAGTCTTCATCAAAAGAGACCAAGGTAAATTCCCTACCTAACTGATATTCTCTGGAAGACATAACTAGATAAAATGATATAAAAGCTATGTATCTAGTTGCATGTTATTATTTTTGGTTTAGCATGCTAGAGGCAGACAGGAAGGAAGAGAGGGTGGGAGAGAGTGGGGAGGGAGGGAGAGAGAGGGAGGAAGTGAAAGAGAGAGAGAAAGAGAAGAGAGGGAAGGAAAGAATATGAATAAATGAGGATAGTTACTAATTTATAAATTGTTAAAAGCATAGCCTATGGGAGAAATTCACATTGCATTTAGTATCTCACATAAAAACAATTTACTGGATACTAGATACAAGTATTTTTTATCTCCAAGAAAGGTATTATCTCAATTATCAATTATGAAACTGTCATCCTCAATAAGAAATCATTTTTAGTCTTTGATATTTCAAAACTGAGGTTTATTTTGAGTGGACTGAAATCTATCAAACTTAAGACTAATCAATTTTAATCTAATTTTTGAAATCCACCAAACTAAAGACCTATAATGGCTCCACAAAGCATTGAAGGTAAGAAAGCTTATGAGACCTAATCTAAGCAGAAAACCAGTGTTCTTCTTTGTACAGTAGCTCATAAATCAAAATTCTAATACCACTGCATTTTTTTGTTGTTCTTTTTTTTTAATCACTGTGTTTATTTGTATTTTCAGCTAGATGATAAGGTAATTATGGGTAAAGTAGTATATCCACAAGCCTAGCAGTTTTCAGTTTAATTTAATCACTGAATTTAATCATTGACTTAATTACTTATTAAATATTAGCCAGGTGAATAATTACAAGAGCCTTTATCTCACCTACAACTGTCATCTGTAAGAACTCTTTTATGCTAATAAAAACTATTTTTTGAGAGAGAGAAAGAGAAAGAGCACGCGTGCACCAATGGGGGGCGGTGGGGAGAGAATCTCAAGCAGACGCCGCGCTGAGCCTGATGCAGGGCTCACAAGAGATCACAACCTGAGAAACCAAGAGTCGGACGCTTAACCGACTACATCACCCAGGCACCCCACTAATGAGATCTTCTGATATTTTTCTTATGTATCAGTTCTCTATTATGCATTCACTGAACCAATGACCAATCCTTAAATATTGGATTTCAAGATAAGTGAACTACTAAAGATGATTTACCTTTGGGCTTCTCCCACATGAGCACATACAACTCCAAAGAGCTTGACTGCAGAGCTAATAACTGATAGTATTGGAGGTAGGGGCTTAGGCACTGAATCTCCCTCTACATCTTTCTCATAAATAGAGTAAGGGTCATACTCCAAACTTCCACAAGCAATACCATTACCAAGCAGGAGCTAAAACAAAACAAAACAAACAAAACATATATATATAAGGTATCAAAATGACTGTTCACAGAATGAGTCAACCCAAGAGTTACTGAAAAATGACTCTACCTGTTCTTCGATAAATCTATGGTCAGTCTCTTGTAGCAGAGGACTTAATATCACAAGATCATCCTGATGACAGAGGGGTGGAAGTAAAAATGCCGATGCTGCCACCTGTATATCAGAGGCAGTCAGGTCAGCAGCCAGCTCTTTGAGGACAGCACAAAGGTTTCCTGTTGAGTCACAGAAAACAGCAATTAGCAATTTACTAGAAGCAGTTAACTGGTTAAAGTACAGGGTTCAAAAAACCCAGGCAGAGCTTTAATCTAAACATCAGCTAACTTTAATCTATTACAGCCAAAGATTTTATCTCATCCTTAAAAAATACACTACAAACAAATGGCTCAACTGGTGCTACTGGTCACAAGACTAAGAATAGATACTGAAAAGACATCTCAAAGTATGTGTACCTCATGATACTGAATAAATACTACCATCATGTTAAATAAAATGACATGAAGAACAAAAACAGAATAAAAAAAGATGAATACAAAAGCAGATAAATTGTATTTATTTTAAAAAAACCATAGCTTAAAAAATCTATAAACATTTGACATGTTTTTTATTATGGAAAATTTCAAACATACAGACAAGCAGACATAATAGTATTATGATACCCCAACTCCTCACCACCTGAGCATATGACTGTCATGCATCTTGACCAGCTGGATCAATTTTGTTTCACTACACCTCCATCCACTATCTCACTACCTCCCATATTATTTTGAAGTAAATCCTAGAAGGCATATAATTTCATCTATAAATATTTCCTTATGTATCACTGAAAGTTAAGGACATTTTAAACAATCCTATTATAATATCATGTTTTAAAAAACACTTAACATCAAATACCCATTCAGTGTTCAAATTTTCAATTGTCTCATAAATTCCTGTTTTTGATTTTGATTGAATTAAGATCTAAGAGAAGTCTACATGTAGTAATTAGTTGATATATTTTAAGTCTCATTCAATCTAAAGTTCTTCCCTCAGGACACCTGGGTGGCTCAGTTGGTTAAGCATCTGGCTTCAGCTCGGGTCATTATCTCAGGGTCCTGGGATCGAGTCCCACATCAGGTTCCTTGCTCAGTGGGGAGTCTGCTTCTCCCTCTGCCTGCTGCTCCCTGACAGATAAAATCTTTTAAAAATAAATAAAGTTCTTACCTCTACTTTTCCCTGTGTAATTTTTTTTTTTTTTAATTTGAGAGAGAGAGAGAGAGAGAAATGATGAGAGAGAGCACGAGGTGGGGGGCAGGGAGAGGGAGAAGCAGGCTCCCCGCTGAGCAGTGAGCCTGATGCAGGGCTTGGTCCCCGGACCACGGGATCATGATCTGAGCCCAAGGCAGACGCTTAACGACTGAGCCACCCAGGTGCCCCTTCCCTGTGTAATTTATTTGAAGAAATGAGGTTTTTCTGTAGAAGTCTCTACAGCCTGAATTTTTAGAATATATGCCCCAGTGCAGTTTAATTTGTTCCTCTATCGTCTGTATTTTTTTACAGATTAACAACTTGGAACTTGGATCCACAGAGGATCCATTTTATTTGTGTTTCGGGGGCCATCCTAGTTTATAGACAGCACTGCAATCTTCTATAAGACATGGGGGGGGGGCGCGTGCAGAGTGCCTAGGTGGCTAAGGTGGTTAAGCGACCAACTCTTCTTCTTTTTTTTTTTTTTTAAAGATTTTATTTATTTATTTGACACTGAGAGAGACAGCTAGAGAGGGAACACAAGCAGGGGGAGTTGGGGAGGGAGAAGCAGACTCCCCACTGAGCAGGGAGCCTGATGCAGGGCTCAATCCCAGTACCCTGGGATCATGACCTGAGCTGCAGGCAGACGCTTAACGACTCAGCCACCCAGGTGCCCCAAGCGACCAACTCTTGATTTTGGCTCCGGTTATGATCTCATCAGGGTTGTGAGACTGAGCCCTGTGTTGGGCTCCGGGCTCGGAGCTGGCTGGGTGTGGAGCCTGTTTAAGATTCTCTCTCTCCCGTCTTCTGCCCCTCCCTCCACTCTAAAAAAAAAAAGACATGAGATAGCACATGGTTGTTTCTCTTATATATACATTTTGAAAAACTGGTCCATTATCATATTGACCTGCCATTTCAAAGATATTTACAACTAAGTGTGGAAACAGTTTCTCTATTTCTCATTTATTTTTTTTAAAGATTTACTTATTTTACAGAGAGAGAGAGTGTGGTGAGGGGGGAAAGGGGAAAGAGAGAGAGAATCTCCAGCAAACTCCCCACTGAGCATGGAGCCCAATGTGGGGCTTGATCCCATGACTCCGAGATCATGACCTGAGCCAAAAATCAAGAGTTGGATGCTCAACCACCTGAGCTACCCAGGCACCCCTTATTTTATTTTTTTTAAGATTTTTTTAATTTTTAAGTAATGTCTGTGCACAATGTGAGACTCAAACTTACTACCCTGAGATCAAGAGTTGCATGCTCCATGGACTGAGCAAGTCAGGCACTCCTGTCTCTTTTTTTTTTTTTTTTAAATATTTTATTTATTTGACAGAGAGAGACACAGCGAGAGAGGGAACACAAGCAGGGGGAATGGGAGAGGGAGAAGCAGGCTTCCCACGAAGCAGGGAGCCCGATGTGGGGCTCGATCCCAGGATGCTGGGATCATGACCTGAGCCGAAGGCAGATGCTTAACGATTGAGGCACCCAGGCGCGCACTCCTCTCTCTCATTTAAAGTGACTGCTCACCTCAAAGTCCCTGAGCTTAAGAATGATTACATTTTAAAATGCAAATACGCTTTTTTGGGAACATTATTTATTTGAGAGAGAGTACGAGGAGGAGCAGGAGGAGAGAGACAAGCAGGCTCCATGTTTAACTGACTGAGCCACCCAGGCGCTTCTGCAAATATGCTTTTTTTGTAGAAATTTCCAGGAGGAGCAATTTCCAGCGTGGAGAAAATTAAAACACTTGAAAGGTCCATAACAAAACTAAAATAGGAAATAAAAACTAAGAACCCAATTTTTACTCCACAAACTTCGGAAAACTAAGTCACTCCTACGACAAACGTCTGCATCTGCTGGACAACCAGTCATTTAAATTCTTAAAAATAGGTCCCATTAACAAAAGCAATTTCTTACTCTGTCTTGTAAACTTACTTTTTGACAACTCATCGTACCAACCAATATCATCAGAACTTTAAACTTGTTTTGTTACTTAGCCATATTTTGAATTAATGAGATGTATAATTTTAAAGACTACTATTTCATTTTGTGTTAAAAGATTCAGAAATTACTATAGGTTATTATTGTATGATGAGCCGTTATTTTAAATGTCAGTTGATACTTTAATGGTAAAGTTCTGACTGTTATGCTCCATACACATAAATCTATTAAATAGAATGCCATTAAAAAAAATTAAAAGTCTTAGGGCACCTGGGTGGTTCAGTCATTTAAGTGGCTGCCTTCGGCTCAGGTCATGATCTTGGGGTCCTGGGATCGAGCCCCACGTCAGGCTCCCTGCTCAGCGGGAAGCCTGCTTCTCCCTCTCCCTCTGCCTGCCTGCCTACTTGTGATCTCTGTCAAATAAATAAATAAAATCTTAAAAAAAAAAATTAAGGGCACCTGGGTGGCTCAGTCGTTAAGCATCTGCCTTCGGCTCAGGTCATGATCCCAGGGTTCTGGGATTGAGCCCTGCATCAGGCTTCCTGCTCGGCGGGAAGCCTGCTTCTCTCTTTCCCACTCCCCCTGCTTGTGTTCCCTCTCTCGCTGTGTCTCTGTCAAATAAATAAAATCTTAAAAAAAAAAATAAAAGTCTTTAAGGAAAAAAATCCTTAATTTTATTTCTATAGTTTTAAAGATGGAAAAAAGATAGCCAAGAAATGGCAAATTATTTTTTTTGGTTGAAACATAAAACTATTAATACCTCCATATTCTCATTTTTCTATGAACTAATTCTTCTTTAAGTAATGTTAGATAAATAAACATGAAAAAGATAAAGAAGGTAAATATAGATTCTATTTTTCAAGAAGTTTATAGTAATTCCTGACTTTGTCTCCCAGTGAACACTCTGGAACTGATTTAAAATCTATACACTTTATATTCATTATTCCTTTAGGACTTTTGACTGCATTCCCAAACTCCAATTCTGAGAAAAAAGTACAAGACTTTGTTTTTTTAAGTCTTTTAAGGGCAGACTTATATTATCATTTATTAGAAGATACAGTGTAGATTTTAAGTTGAAATTCTGGTATTCTTAGATGTTTAATGAAGACCTGAAAAAGAAATCATTTTTTTTCATCTGTAGTTTGAAAATAAACTCTAAAATATGGTAAAATTGATATAAATATCTAAAGGGAATTGTTTTTGCCAGGACCTGACAGCTATCAGAGGTATAAAACACAGAAATTATCTCTAGGGCTTTTATATCTAGCAGGTAGCTCTTATATACTAAGAGAGTATACAATGAGAAGGACCTATCACTAAGCCTTGACTGTTAAGTCTCTTGCAGGTTACCTATAAATAGGTATGCAGCACAGCATGAAGCAGATCTATAATCTTGATTCCACTATTTACTGCATATATGTTCTTGAGTTGGTTTTTGTAACTTCTCTATGCCTTTATCTGTCAAATAAGGAAAATGTAACCAGCTCACTGTATTATTCTAAGATAAATGAGATAATATATACAATTTCTATCACAGTGCCTGGCATATAGAAATGATTCTTTTGATACAATTCCTGAGAAATGACAATCACCCAATTTTTTCCAGTTCTTCATATACTAAATGATTACTTTGTATCAAACATTTTGCTAGGTATATTTGTGAACCAGGAAGAAAGGCAGTACCACACTCACATAATAATACCACTCATATAATAATAAAGGCCAAACAGAAGTTACAGGTTAATATTTTGAACTACTGTGGTATATATGATACTGCATTTACCTGTAAAATAAGGATATAAGCCAATAAATGTATTTGTACAAGAAGCAGATTTGAAAAATCAACATGTTTGGCTAGAAACTATTAAGACTAAAAAAATATGAAGTTCTCAATGGAGACCATTTACAACTTTCACCTCTTAAAACATGCATCTTGAGTACTTTAGCAGCGGCAATATAAAGTTTGTAGGGCTAATTTTAAAATAAAGACAAGTTTATGTTAACAATCATAGTAAACTAGTAATCTAAGGTCATATTTGAACCCAATAAAGGCAAAATCTACACTCTAAACTTTAGAAAATCAATTATACCTTGATAGTTCAGTATTAAACTTTTGTTTGGGCACAGCGAAGAATGAAACAGCGAAACAGAATGCGTACAGTAGATCATCAATGTAGAAGGAAACCCTAGAGTAGAATCAAGACCAATCTTTGTGACTCATTCTCTTCCACACGGTGGAACTAGGGACTTTTTTCCCCAGAGGAGAAAAGAAAGCAAGACATTAAAAAGTAGGTTTTTAAAAAAATTTACTTTATTTACCGTATTATGATGAATACAATAGTTAAGACTGAACTCCCTAAACCTCCTAGAAATAAGGTACTAAATAAATGCCATATCATTCATTCATTCGGGTATTACTTTCCCAGCACTGTCCTAGCCACAAACAGTAAAATGTTTTGGTTTAAAGCACATACCTTCATAGGTTTCAGGAGGTAATAAAATCAGTAATTCATAAAGCCTTTGCCTATAAACTACTGATGGTGTTTTCAAAGTGCTTCCATATGTTTTTAGCACTGAAGAAAGCCTTAAAATAAAAGAAACAGTATATCTTAAATGTGTAAGTTATATAGGTTGACATATAAAACAGCTATACGTATTATTAGCAAACATTAGTGCTCCTTTATGTTTCTTTTTTTGCATTTAAAAAAATACTGTGATGATAAGTTATAAGAGGTATTATATGTGTCATACATGGAAATTATTCTACTATGTTTCCTATCATACTCCATACAACAAAACTATATATTCAACTTAGATCTCTAAGGCCATCAGTGTTTTGTCTAAAAACAAACTCTTACTAAATTCCACAATTTACAACTTGGCATTTGTAAAACAAACAAACAAAAGTCTATTATTTGGAAAAGGAATCATATGGAAGGAAACAAACAGAAAACATAAATATGCAGGTAAAATCCAAGTTTTGGTTTGAAACTTGATCCGAAATACCATCACCAAATAGGAAAAAAAAGCATCAAAATATGCAAAGATCATAAAACAAATTCTCTTTTATTCTTTTTTAATTTTTAAAAAGATTTTATTTATTCATTTGACAGAGAGAGAAAGCGAGCATGAGCAGGGGGAGGGGCAGAGGAAAAAGCAGACTCCCCGCTGAGCAGGGAACCTCATGTGGGTCTCAATCCCTGGGATCATGACCTGAGCTGAAGGCAGATGCCTAACTGACTGAACTACCCAGGTACCCCCAAATTCATTTTTAATAAAGCATAAGTCAAGCCAATGTTTCCCTAAAAGTTTCAATCACAAAATCTTTTCTTTCTTTCACTTTCATGTACTTTTTAATCTTCTGTTCATTACCACTACTGGTACAAAGGCATCATTTTACTGATGTTCACTTGTCTAACAAATATTAAAGGAGTACTGCTCTTTGCAAGGTACCATGTTATCAAATGGAATATGGTCTCCATCGTTTTAGCAACACAGAAATACAATGGAATTACTTTAGTGTGCCAGTGGAATAAATCCACTAAATTGTCACAGCATGAGGTTTCCAGGTACTCTAAGAAATTCTGGCAGTTTTTATTCATTTATATTTTCTGGGAAACTAATACTATTTCTAGTTTCTAGAAGAAATGAGTTAATTTTTTTTTTAAAGATTTTATTTATTTGACAGAGAGAGACACAGCGAGAGAGGGAACACAAGCAGGGGGAAGTTGGAGAAGGAGAAGCAGGCCTCCCATGGAGCAGGGAGCCCGATGTGGGGCTTGATCCCAGGACCCTGAGATCATGACCCGAGCCGAAGGCAGAAGCTTAACGACTGAGCCACCCAGGTGCCCCAGAAATGAGTTAATTTTTGAGTTGTCACTGTATTTTTTATTTATTTTTTAATATTTTATTATTATTATTTTTTAAAGATTTTATTTATTTATTTGAGAGAGAGAGTGAGCACGAGAGGGGGGAGCGGGAGAGGGAGAAGCAGACTCCCTGCCGAGCAGGGAGCCCGATGCGGGACTCGATCCCGGGACTCCAGGATCATGACCTGAGCTGAAGGCAGTCGCCCAACCAACTGAGCCACCCAGGTGCCCGTGTCACTGTATTTTTTAAAAGTTGGTACCAGTTTATATCATTCAGTACAGTTAACAACATAAAGAAAACATTTCTAAAACCTAGGTAGAATTTTTTTAGTTATGGAAGAATAAATCCACTACATTTTTCTATTTTTCCAAAACCAGATAAGAAAATTACAGATGAGGGGCGCCTGGGTGGCTCAGTTGGTTAAGCGACTGCCTTCAGCTCGGGTCATGATCCTGGAGTCCCGGGATCGAGTCCCACATCAGGCTCCCTGCTCAGCAAGGAGTCTGCTTCTCCCTCTGACCCTCCCCTCCCTCTCATGCTCTCTGTCTCTCATTCTCTCTCTCGCAAATAAATAAAAAAAAGAAAATTACAGATGACATATAAAAACAATTTCAATCATATTAACAAGATGTTAAGAAGTTATGAATTATATTTTTAAAAATTCCACAATATTTACCTGGTTTAATACAACAAAATTTAGTTCAGAGGGGTATGTGTGCATGTATTTTTTTTTTTTACAAAAAGTAAGATTTTATTCAAAACAAATAAGAATTTAAGAAAGCATTGCTAGTGGTTTCTGCTTCTATTAGGAGGGTGCATCAGAGTCTCTGAAGGCCCTTCAGCTACAAATATACTTAGGGGCGCCTGGGTGGCTCAGTCGTTAAGCGTCTGCCTTCAGCTCAGGTCATGATCCCAGGGTCCTGGGATCGAGCCCCGCATCGGGCTCCCTGCTCTGCGGGAAGCCTGCTTCTCCCTCTCCCACTCCCCCTGCTGTGTTCCTGCTCTCACTATCTCTCTCTCTGTCAAATAAATAAATAAAATCTTTAAAATATATATATATACTTAAATCCTAGATAAAAGATAATTTACATTGCCAGGCTTGCAGAAAGGGACCTTTCCTAGGCTATACCTCCATGCCCCTCCAACAAACAAACATAAAAAGCATGAAACAAAATATGAGCTAAAATCAGAGTGGGAACACTAATACCAATACCAACACAAGAATGTGTACTGAGCTTATGGGTGGATAAAATAAAAATCTCTTTTTTTCTTAAAAGATTTTATTTATTTGACAGAGAGAGACACAGTGAGAGGAAACACAAGCAGGGGGAATAGGAGACATGGAAGACAAAATGAAAAGATGTAAAATTTGTCTATTTGGAACCCCAAAAGTTTAAAAAGAATGGAAAATGACAATATTTGAATAGGTAGCAGCCACTTTTTTAGAATTACTAAAAGACACAAACCAACAAAATACATAACAAGTTGGATAGAGAAATCAACAAATTGCTGGTTTAGAGCAGACACTGTAAAATTCCAACTATACACAGTTTATGAGATAAAACTAAAAACACAGTGCCGTGAAAAAAGACATATCACCATATTAATAATCCATAAATTAGACTTCAATCAAAAAGCATTATGAAGGATAGAGAATTATCTGTATACTGTATAAATATAAAAGATTCAATTCACCAGGAGGATATAATTCTATAATCCTATGTACCCAATTAAATGGTCTCAAAATATGAAAAAGCAAAAATTAATACAACCATAGAAAAAAATTATAAACCCACCATCACAGTGGAAGAGTTGAACACATCACTCTCAATTACTGATAGCTTAAGTAGATAAAAAATTAGTGAAGATAGATGGAACAAAGAACTTTTAACAAAATACATTTGTTATAGAGTAAGTCTTGACAAATTTAAAAGGACAGGTAATAGGGGTTCCTGGCTGGCTCAGTCAGTAGAGCATGCAACTCTTCATCTTGGAGTTGTGAGTTTGAGCCCCATGTTGGGTGTAGAGATTGCTTAAATAAATAAACTTAAAAAAAAAAATGAAAGTATAGGTAATATACAAATCATATTCATTAAATACAATTCAATTAAGTTGAAAATCACTAACAAAACTATAAACTAAAAACTATTCTATACATAATTTATAAACATACTTCTAAACAACTCAAAGAAATTATAGTAAGATTTAAAATACTTAAAACTGAAAAAATGAAAACAATACATATTAATACTTTAAGGATTCAGTAACTGGAACCTTAGTAGGAAATTTGTAGCCTTAGCCTCTATTAGGAGAATTAAAAGAAATACAGTGAGCTTAGCATTCAAACTAAGGGGTTAGAAAAAGATAAGCATTTAAGAGAGCAGACAGGAATAATAAACAATAAGGAAAAAAATTCAACATAAACTAAGTCATTCTTTGTATAGATTAATAAAATAGATACACTACTCAAGAGATGGATCAGGAAAAACAAAAGGGAAGGCATAATGAAAACTTAATGGGAATGGAGGAGACATTATAGATATAGCAGAGATTAAGAAGGTAACACCATGAAGAACTTTATTCCAAAAAATTTGAAGATAAAGATGCATTGGGAAAATCATTAGAAAAAATCTAATTAATAAACAAGCAAAACAAACCCCTAAATCAGACCCTGAATAGTCAGAACAATTAAGGAAATGGAATATGTAGTTAAAAAAAAAATTCCCACAACAAAAATACCAGGTCCAGTCTATTTTTCAGAATTCTGAAGTTTTTTTTAAGATTTTATTTATTTGAGAGAGAGAGAGAGAGGCAGAGACAGAGAGCATGAGTCGGGGGGAGGGATAGAGGGAGAAGGAGACCCCCCCCACTGAGCAGGGAGCCCGATGTCGGACTCGATTCCAGGACCTTGAGATCATGACCTGAGCTGAAGGCAGATGCTTAACCATCTAGCCACCCAGGTGCCACTGAAGAAAGATTGCTTTAAACCAAAAGGCAGAAAGTACTACCCAAAAAGTAAAGGATTGATAAATTTGATATTTAAGTTAGGAATGTCTGTTAAATTCAGAAAACTATTTTACCTAAAAATAGGTAAAGACATGCACGAATAGGGAATTCCTAGAAGGGGAAATATTGAGGAATAATAAATATATAAAATGACAATCAGGAATCAGTATATAAATTAAAATCATGATGAGATACCAATTATACCTACTGGATAGGCTAGGAATGATGTCTGAGTGTTAGTGAAGAAGTGGCTCAAAGGGTACTCACATATAGTATTGACAGAAACATACAAGAATTTGGATATTTCAATGACAGAAGTACGTAAGTTGCTAAATACACACCCAATTAAATACTATATAGCAACCAAAACAAATGAACAAACTTACTCATAGATGAAGTTTACAAACATAATGATGAGTAAAAAAGTAAGTTTCAGAAACAATATACCATTTGCCTGATCAAAACCAAGACTAAACAATGCACTCTTTAGGGAAACATATATATGTGATGCACTTTTTAAAGATGCAAGGGATCACTACATCCAAAGGGGCACGTGCACCCCAACGTTTATAGCAGCAATGTCCACAATAGCCAAACTATGGAAAGAGCCTAGATGTCCATCAACAGATGAATGGATAAAGAAGATGTGGTATATATATACAATGGAATATTATGCAGCCATCAAAAACCTGAAATCTTGCCATTTGCAATGACATGGACGGAACTAAAGGGTACTATGTTAAGTGAAATACGTCAATCAGAAAAAGACAATTATCATATGATCTCACTGATATGAGGAATTTGAGAAACAAGGCAGAGGATCATAGGGGAAGGGAGGGAAAAATGCAACAAGATGAAACCAGAGGGGGAGACAAACCATAAGAGACTCTTAATCTGAGGAAACAAACTAAGGGTTGCTGGAGTGGTGGGGGTGGGAGGGATGGGGTGGCTGGGTGATGGACACTGGGGAGGGTATGTGCTATGGGGAGCGCTGTGAATTGTGTAAGACTGATGAATCACAGACCTGTACCCCTGAAACAAAAAAAAAATGCAAGGGAATGACAACCATAAAAATCAGGATACTGATCACCTCTAGAGTAAAGCAGAAAGAATGGTATTAGACAGGAACTCACAGATAACTTCAATAGTATCATTAATGTTCTTGTTAAGGGTAGCTAAACCTGGCTCACTGCCTGTTCTTGTAAATCAAGTTTTACTGGAACATAGCCACATTCACTCATTTACAGATTATATATGATTACTTTTGAGCTACAACAGAGCTGAGTAGATGCAACAGAGACTGTACGGCCTGCGAAGCCTATGATGTTCACAATCTGGCCCTTTACAGCAAATATCTGCTAACCCCTGCTCTAGTTGTGTTGGATTCAAAGGTGTTCATTTCATTATGCTTTATAAGCCATATCTTAGATTTATTTTTCTGTAATACACTAAATTTTATATCATTAAATATTTTAAAACTATACATTAATTTGGAAATTACAAGTGCTCATGACATATACTGGATTTTCTCTATGTTTTCTTATCACATAAGTCAAATTTATGAAAAATAAAAACAACAAAAAACTAAAATTGTTAACAAGCATCTGGTTCTTATGAACACAGAATAGCACTAACAAACCAATAAAACGCATACCTGAAAAGGTTAACAGGCTTAATATTTAATTTCTTGGTTAAATCTGACTGTTTGGAAGATACAATATCCACCAAGTAACTTTCCTTCCCTTTTAATATGTATTTTTCTTTCAAGTTCCTAGCCTAAAAAAAAAAAATCATATAACTAAATGTTTGCCTTCGACTACAAAAGGAATATCATTCACCAACCATAGAAACTTGGCCTTATGAATGTACTAAACAGATATTACATGATCAGAGGATAAGATTGCTATTAAAAATTTTTATCAAATCTAAATAGCAGATCCTTACTGAGTTAGCAAATCCACAGCACAAGGAAGTGGTGGAAGAAGACGCTGAATTACTTCCTCAGTAAGGAGATCACCACAGTGGGAAACAAAACTCTTGATAGCTGAAAAATAGAACAGACTTCTTTACTTGGCAGAATGTAATGAACCATGAAAAAAAGCATTCATTAATGGTACAGCATTTGTATTTCTATTAGAGGAATAAAGAAATGTGCTAAAAACAAAAAAAAATCTTGAAACTCTCTCATAAAAAGGAAGCTAATATCTTTTACCTCTAATCAAGGTAAAAAAACAGTTTCTAGAATCACTAAAAATGCCCAACAAGCAAGTTAACAAAATGCTGCTTTTCTGGCTTTTACTCAACCCCTGAGCTCAGAAGTAGAAAAAATTACCTTAGAACCTTAAGTTTGCCAGTTCTACATGAATTCTGCAGAACTATGATGACATTTTTTTTAGCCAGCATTGTTCGGTTCTTACAGATGTTACCTGAATCGTGTAAGTTTTTATAAGGAATTATTTAATATGTAGTTTTAATATTTTAAAGTTAGACTGAATTTCAAGATTTTAAAATTGTTTTATTAAGAGTAAAAATGCCATGAATAAACAAATAAAACCAAAATCAATGTTTCCATGTCTTTCCAGAAATACCACTTCCTTAGTTCAAATAGTCATGGTAGATACTATTTTTTAATGGTTCATATACTATAGAAGGGTACAACTTTCATATATAAAAAACTAAATGGAAACCATACTTAATCAATGCTAATTAAATCCAAGCCTAATATTTCTAAAAAAAGAACTTGAATGCCTACTGAAGACAAAGCAATCTTGGAGGTTCTCAACTAGATTACATCTAAGAAAACATGCATTTTCCTAAGGATCAGAATTCTAAAAAATCTGGTTTATCACGTATCTGTTCTAATCACTAATTAATTATGTTCAATTTCAAAAATCACTGTAAGTAAATATTTTCACCAATAAAGATATAAATATGGGAAAGTTAAAGAGTGAGGGAAAAAGTGAAAGGAAAGGGAGAAAAAAGACTAAACTTTACCTACCACAGAGTGCACCAGCTCGTCCTTCCAAGGTTACCTGCCATGTAAATGAATCTCCCCGGCTTTTTTCTGTTTCCAGATCTTTAGGAGACACTGGAAAGACACACTTCCACAACAGCAGAACTCGAGCAAGGTGATGACTGACAACCGCAGGACCTGTAATTTATTCAACTTGTCAATTATTAAAGAACCCAAAATGTTACTCTTTAAAACTCAGGAAGTTGATAGCAACTTGTTCCAGGTCAAAAATCAGATGTGATACATCTGACTGGAATTTTTTTTTTTTAAGAGCTCAGCCTCATCTCCATGGTATTCCTTTTTTTTTTTAAGATTTATTTATTTACTCAGGACCCTGAGATCATAACCTGAGCCAAAACCAAGAGTCAGATGCTTAACTGACTGAGCCACCCAGGTGCCCTAAAACATTAATTTAAAATTTTAATCTTTTTATGTTGATTATGAATATACAATAAAATATGATATACTAATCTTTTTTAAAAAAAGATTTTATTTATTTGAGAGAGAGAGAAACAGCATGAGAGGGGAGAGGGCCAGAGGGAGAAGCAGGCTCCCCACTGAGCCGGGAGCCTGATGTGGGACTCAATCCCAGGACTCCAGGATCATGACCTGAGCTGAAGGCAGTCGCTTAACCAACTGAGCCACTCAGGCACCCACTAATCTTTTTTTTAAAAAAGACTTTATTTATTTGAGAGAGAGGAAGGGAGAGCTCCTGCATGTGCAGGGGGAGGGGCAAAGGGAGAGGGAGAAAGAGACTCTCCTCTGAGTGGGGAGCCTGCTGTAGGACTCAATCCCAGGGCCCTGAAATCATGACCTGAGCCAAAGTCAGATGCTTAACCCACTGAGCCACCCAGGTGCCCCTAATCTCTTTCTTTAAAAGAGAAGGGATTTCTTGTAGTCTTCTGATAGAATTACTTTTTTCTGAAAAATTTTATTATTTGAAATACTGCATTTATTAAGTAGTTTATTTTCTCCTTTAATTAACCAAGATCATCAATATGGCAGGCATGAAACACCCAGCCAAAAGCAAATAAAGGCTTGGCCATATTATTCCTTCCCATCACTTTGTGAAATGACAACGTATGCCAGGGTCCAAATTTAAAACCATTAAAAAATGTAAAAACTCTTCTTAGCTCAGAGGCTGTATAAAAGAATTGGCAAGCCAAATTTGGTCCATAGGCTGAACCCTGACATAGTCCAATAAACCTCTTTAATCATCCCAAGAACATTATTTAAAGTGGTTCTTCATTTGTGATTAATTTAAGCTCCTTTTAAATCAAATTACTTCAGAGGTGTCAAAATGATTTACTGGTTAAATCCAGCCAATTTTATATCTTGGCAATAAATGATATTATAAAATAGATTTAAAATATAACTTTAATAAAGCAATAAAATTGGGTCTCAAAGTTATAGGATATAAACACAATAGTCATGACCATAAAATAATTACTGATTTTTAATAAATATAATTTAGTGAGCCCTATTCCCTTCAACTGCCTTATTGATATTACCAATTCTCAAAACAATTACAGAATTGGAGTCACAGGCTATGGTATGTTCTCCTGCCTACCCTTCATTGTGGAAATTTTTTTTTCTGAAGATGGATGTGAATGATTTTTGGAAAAGTCAGAGTCATTCAGAGTTAAACCTGAAAGGTAATCAAATTGGCCTATCCTACCTAAGGCTCATAAATTGTTTTGTTTTGTTTTGTTTTAAGATTTTATTTATTTATTTGATAGAGAGAGCATAAATAGGCAGAGTGGCAGGCAGAGGGAGAGGGAGAAGCAGGTTCCTCACTGAGCAAGGAGCCCGATGCGGGACTTAATCCCAGGATCCTGGGATCATGACCTGAGCCAAATGCAGACACTTAACCGACTGAGCCATCCAGGTGTCCCTCATAAATTGGTTTTGAAAAGAATCTCAAATAAGGAGATCTGAAAACATTTTGAGGAATGGAGTAAGTATATGGCTTCCTAAGGTAACTGCTAGAAGAAAAATGTTTGTGTGGATAAATTCTGGTACAAATTAAAAATTAGTCTCCTCAAATCATACATTACAGTATTTTACATTCAGAAAACACAGAGTACTGCATAGTCATGTAAACCTTCCACAGACTATTATTACCTAATGTCATCAGAGCTGCAATCAACAACCATCCAGCTTGTGTGCGCTGAGCTGAAAGACGACTGTTTTGTACAGCTGAGCAGAGCAAATCCTCCGCTAATGTCATAATAATCTATTTACATACAGAAGAATAAGGTAAAGAAGCATATCAATTTATAGGTTACTGGACAAAAGACAGCAACTAATAATCTCTTGAAAAAATGAACCCTTACATATAACGAATGTAAGTGATAAAGGACTCTCATTCATGTAGACTACACCACAGGACAACATCATAGAGAAAACTATAAAAAATTAAATTTAGGTTAAATACTGGCATATTAGGTTCTATACAGAAACCGTGTAATTCTTTGCAGAGCACATATTATGCCACTGTACAACTGTTCAAGTGAAGGTGCGCAGAATTTGAATTTACTTTTAGTTTTAAGCATTTATCTTAAATCTGTAATTACCAGAGAAAGTTTCCTTATAGGAATCTCCCTTTTTAAAAATTTGCATACCATTTTGATACCTGAGTGTCTGATAATCTTTCTAGAGGCAGTATACTAGAGATTAAAAGTACTTAAAATAGTCTCATATTGAAGTGAATTTCAGAGTGGGATTCATAAAAGTATTATATTTTAAGTCTACAAAATAGGCAAAACAAAAGAGGAAAAACCAGATTATTTCATACGTTATGGATAACGCATGCTTATACAGTAGAGAGGCCAAGAGGCATCTATTATGTCTGAGAAAACATCTGTTACTAAACACCTCTAGAAAAGCAGCAAGTATTTTAAGTTGGCATATAAATTTTCTAAACAGTTTTAAAACAACCAACCAACTTATTACTAACTTAGGACTACTTGAATAACAACTTGATAATAACTTGATAACACTCAATAAAAACAAGGATAAAATAAAACAATCCTTTCTGCCTAACTAGTAAGATCTGAGGATATTTAATTAAATACAGGCAATGGCAATTCTTCTTTTAGAAACATATGACAGAATGTTAGTCGTCAATCACCTTACTCAAGTGACATTGGCAATACTCAAAATAGTTTTACAACTTCTGAAGTAATGGTACATTCTTCTGCAAAGGTTAAACGGCAGATATATTATAATACTACCAATGACATAGGAGTGACAATGAGAAAGCAAGGAACAGTGATTTATTTATTAAGAAGTATGTATATGGGGGCGCCTGGGTGGCTCAGTCAGTTAAGCGTCTGCCTTCGGCTCAGGTCATGATCTGGCGGGGGTAGGGGGTGGGTGGAGGGAGGAGGTGTGTCCCTGCTCAGCAGGGAGTCTGCTTCTCCCTCTCCCCCTCCCCCCACTCACGCTTGAGCTCCCCCCCCCCCCGCCCGCTCACTTTCTCTCAAACAAATAACACCTTAAAAAAAGTACTTATATGTGTGTAAGGCCTAGGTTACGAAGGCTTCATGGTCAAACAACATTCTCTGATAACTCACAATTCCTAGTTATTCAATCCACTGTTGTCGTTATCTTTTTTTGATGTACACATTATCCCACTTTGGTCAGTGGAAGCCCCTTAAGTTACTTTCTGTATCCTTTTAAAATGAACACAGTAGTCATTGATGACTTCCTTGTTCTCTGGCATGACAAGGTATTTCAGGTTTACACTGTGCCTTTCCTGCCCCAGATCTGAAACCAGCCATTCCTTCATGGAGCCCTGACTGCCTTTTGCTAAAATGATGTTTAGAGCCATAATCTGGGTGCTAGGGCTTTTCCTTGCTACCAGGTTGTCACTGCTTTAGGTCTTGTCACTGGACAGAGTGAGGATTTAAGCATTTTTTTTTTTTTTTTTTAAGATTTTATTCATTTGACAGAGAGAGCATAAGCAGGGGGAGCAGCAGGCAGAGGGAGAAGCACATTCCCCGCTGAGCAGAGAGCCCAACTCAGGACTCGATCCTAGGACCCTGGGATCATGACCTGAGCTGAAGGTAGATGCTTAACCGACTGAGCCACCCAGGCGCCCCCATAGTGATATTTTCCATTCAAATGTAACATACTTAACGTTCTTGATTTTATAGCTACAGCTCTTTGCAGCTCTGTCCTCTACAATGCTATTTTTTTTAAATGCAATTTTATTTTTAATTTTTATTTATTAATTTATTCATTTTTAAACGTAATCTCTACACCCAATGTGGGCTCAAACTCACAACCCCAAGATCAAGAGTTGCATGCTCTTCCAACTGAGCCAGTCATGCGTTGGTGGTATAGTGGTGAGCATAGCTGCCTTCCAACTGAGCCAGTCAGGCGTCCCTATAATGCAATTTTAAATGCACTTCTATGGCAGAGCTAATTATATAGCAAAATAAAGCCTCCAGGAACAAATTCTGTTACTAAATGGAGATATTTCCAATAAAAAGCACAGAAAATATTCCCATTTAAGTGTAGATAAGACACTTTTAACTATCCCTTTATTTGTTACAGCAATTATTTCATAATATTTAAAAATTAAGTAATATAGCTGCTTTCTCAGAAAGTTGTCCTGTATGGCTTTGACTGGGTGATAAACACGAAGACAATTACGTTTTTAGAAAAAAATTGAAATGTCATTATCATATATGAAGAATGAAATCATTACCTTGCCCTTTCCATGAGGAATTCCTAAAGGACAATGTTTCACTGCTCCCAACAAAGCTGCCACAGCAAAACTAAAGCCAGTCACTGCTTCAGGTGAAGACTTAAGTACAGTAAGCCGTTCCAGGCAACGGTCTAAAAGAGGTGTTAGGTAAGAAGGTAATGCCACAGCAATGCAGTGTAAACACCAAGCTGCTGCTAGTCGAACAGAAATGCTAGGATGCTGAATAACTGAAATGACACTGTCAAGAATACCTAGAAGGACAAAAGAAAAAAAAAAAAAAAGACTTAGCTCTACGGATAAATTCACTTAGCCAAAAATAGTCAAAAGAATAAGCAGCCACACGGATATAAAATGTATTATCTTTATCAAAAGCCAAATCAGAATAGAAAAAAAAGATTTAAAAAGATACATAATTATAAATGATTTTTTTTTAAAAAGTAGGCTCCACACCTGGTGTGGAGCCCAACATGGGGCTTGAACTCAGGACCCTGATATCATGACCTGAGCCAAAGTCAAGAGTCAGCTGCTTAACCAACTGAGCCACCCAGGCACCCCTAAAGGATTTTTATATGCAAGAATTACTTCTCATATGAAAAATGATTTAAATTAATACACACACACAAAATTTTATTTCCTAAATAAGCTAATGTTCTGCTTTTTTATCTTCAGACCATTATTCATTTGGTACTAGGAATTAAAAATTATTAATACATAACAAGAACACCTTAAAAAGAAATGTCACACTATGCTCCACCCTCCTCTTTTTAAAAAATCCCTTTTGGCACATTTATCTACATAATTAGTAGGCTTCCTATGTACCATAACACTTTTGCCTGAGAACAAAATGTTGAACAAAACTGAGGCTTTCCTAGGTCCTCAATGGGCTACTAACCAATTATGAAGACAATGGAGTACCGATACCAGTAAGAATAAAAGTCTATATTTGCTGTAATTCAACATACAACTTCATCAAAATACATAACAGTTCATGTTGGCTGCTAAATTATATGGGATAAAGAGCTTACAAAACAAATATAATGCCAGCTTCAGTCAGCAGGAAATACGTACCACAGTTAAATGACAAAAGCCATCAAAACTGATTTATTATAATGATGAAATAAAAGACACATATTGTATGATTCCATTTATATGAAATGTCCATAATAGGCAAATGCATAGAGACAGGAAATATATTAGTAGTTATCAGGGGCTGGGGGAAGGAGAAATAGGGAGGGTGAACTTTTCGGTATGTGAATTCTCTCTCAAAGTGATTAATTTTCCAAGAAAAAGAAAATGGAGACTGCTTGAAAGGACCTTTGAGGAAGTGAATTACTTGTATCATATAGAAATTAATGTTTTCACTGCAGATGAGAGACAAGAGTTCAGGTTTGCTTTTCATTTTTTCCACGTTATCTTAAATATTTCCAGAAAGGGAGGACTAGAGGGTAACTTAGTGAACAACCTTTATAAATGAAAAAACTAAAATATACACATATTCTTAATAATCCTGATATATTTATATCATAAAACATCTCTAACAAATCTATAGAGGAATCTATAATAAATGAGTTATATGAGAAAGACTTGTTTCCTAAGAAGAAAGTTGTCCAGAATAAAAGTAAAAACAAGGTATTCAGACAAGTCGCAAAAACAGATACCTGCACTTGAATCCTGCAGTAAAGGTGCAACTGTGGTGCCAAGACTGTATAAGAGATTTCCAAGCTCTTGTAAAGCACACACCAGCATATGCTGGCTGGCTGTTACATCTGTGGAGCCAACCCGGGTTTCCACATTACCGTCATTCATCACAGCATCTGATAGAAGCATAAGATTTAACTACTTGTCAGTGTTTTATTAAAATATATTATAGGGGGTAGGTGTTAGGAGCAGAAAACATGGGGCGCCTGGGTGGCTCAGTTGGTTAAGCGGCTGCCTTCGGCTCAGGTCATGATCCGGGGGTCCTGGGATCGAGCCCCACGTCTGGCTCCCTGCTCAGTGCCTGCTTCTCCCTCTCCCTCTGCCTGCCACTCTGCCTACTTGTGCTCTCTCTCTCTCTCTGTCAAGTAAATAAATAAAGTCTTTAAAAAAAAAAAAGGAGCATAAAATATAAAGGCAAAAATTAATACCTCCTCTCTCTATACATGAAACCCTTAAGGCAGTTAAAGGAAATACTACAATGGGGACTTGCATCAATTGAGAAAGAATTGAACTAATACAACCAATTTAATTCAAGCAACCTGACCATCAATCCCTTAATTACTATTACAAGTGGCACTGAAAGGGAGAATGCATAGAAAACTAAAAAATATTCCAATTTCATTGGTATATAAGATAAACAGAGTGGACTTAAAATAGTACAGGAACTGGGATGAACTGATTGTTTTTTTCTTTTTTTTAAGGGGGGAGGGGCAGAGGGGAAAGGGAGAGAGAATCTTAAGCCGGCACCACGCCTAGCCCAGTGAGGAGCCTGACGCCGGGCTTGATCTCACAACCCTGACATCACGACCTTCGCCGAAATCAAGAGTCGGATGCTTAACTGGCTGTGCCATCCAGGTGCCCCTGAGATTAACTGATTGTTTTGAAAACACTGTATCAACCTCTAGAGGAAGATTATGAATTCTGAGGAACTATTATCACCAGCCTTTAAGACTTGTATATATATACACGATAGTTATACGTTAGATAGTTTATGTCTCATCTATGTATCGACAACTTTACCCTAAAACAACTGACATCTATTACAAAAGTGTTTTTTTGTATTAATATAGTAACATATACCAGTCTAGCTTTTCCAAAAGGACAATTCCTTCAGCATTGTTAAAACAGACTGTCTTAGTAGATCCATACCCACGACTTTCTTTAACTTCCAGATAGCCTGGCAAATATCCTTGGCAGCAGCAATTTGAGCCTTTTCTCCAAGAAGACCTCCTATAGTAGCTCGAAGGATAAATGAAACACAACGGCGACCGCAGACAGCATCAGTCTGAGTTTGGGTGGCTTTAGGGTGTGACTGTGACACAAGGCTTAGGATATGAGAAAGAAAGGCAGCAAAATTTTTCTCTAGCCATGTTCCTCCTAATGTTGAAACAAATACCACATAAGCCTAAAAAAGAAAAGAGTTTTATCTTCAAAATGAAATAATTTCATTGAATGAAATGAATTAATATTTTCTCTTCCACAAAATATACAAAATTTCTTTTTATTCTTTCCTCATTTATAGCTGCTTCAGCTATATAAACGTAATAGTATTTTTCTGTCTGTATTAAGCCCAAACTGAAGTACACAGTCTTTCAACTGGGACTTCATTTGTGCTGCATTTTTATTTTGGTCAGACTATACCAAGTTTCAGGATAACCAGCATAGCCAGCTAATATGGAGACTGTGTCTATGGCTCCTCCAAACAAAGGATTCAAGCTCTTTAATATTCTGAACAAGAAACCCCAAAATGAACATGAACACACTGTAAGAATTAAATATGTTCTAACACCGTAACTCTAAGAGAATTTAGTTCTAGAAATGTGAAAGGAAACTTTACAGTGATGAATCACTGCTCTTTCTTTTCATGAATGTTTATGATTGGTCTCACTCCAGAGATACAAAGACAGTAGTTTCCTTATGTAATCTGTTTAGAAATACAGTTTACAATTATACTGGCACATCTTACATTTTGAAGAAATCTATTATCTGTATACTGTATAAAACATTTTGAGGACATATGTGAATTTTAAAAAATACACATTTGCTTTGAACCACAATGACATTTAGAAAACAATACAGAGACCTCTGTGTTGTTTTATTCTAAGATACTTTTCCTAGGTTTAGCTTAGATTATATGCTATGATCTTTACTTAGGAGTTGAAACCAAATAAAATGGAAATACAGTATTTCCCATACTGAATGATATGTACCTAGTATGTACCTTAAATCTGAACTGTACAAGCACACAAAAGCACAATGGAAAACATGTTAAACTATAAGACACATGAAAGCGCAAGGCCTAGAAACAAATGTTTGTATTTCAAAGGAAATAAAAATTTCCCATTATTAGGAACTTAAAACACATTGTGAATAATAGCCTATTTCATTGGTTTTTAGGTAACTAAGGTTCTCTTACTTGTAACCTAACTTTCAAAGAGTGGCCTTACCATCTGTTTTATAAATATGAGAGCAGAAGTGATGACCCTGCACAGTATCACTTATGCCCAGAGTATTCAGATACTAAAATTCTCATTATAGGCCAGTGAGTATTACATGTAGATACTCATTTGTGACTCTAACCTGAGTAACTCCAACTCGAACATCCCTACTGACTGAACTGGTTCCTTTCAGCATATCTCCACTGGCTCGAAGAAATCCTGAACTCCCACGTAGAAACCCTGTTCCTAGTAATTCCAGAACTTCCTCCAGAGATACTCTGCGAATGCTTTGACGTGAGACTGCTATAACAAAGAACAAAACAAAACATGTGATTTGTACTTTACAGAGACTAAAATTTTAATGCATGATCTTGATTTGCATGATCTCGGTAAGCATGTTATAGAAACAAAAATAAACTAAAAATCCAAACAAAATGCAAAATTGACAGGACATTACACACATTAACATACAAAAAGTTATGCAAGGGTTCAGAGGTCAAATCATAACGGACTCTGAAGTGTCATGTCAATGACATTTTAAGACTAAGCTACTTCGGGATTATGCCCTATTGCCCTCTTTTTCTTTTTTTAATAGATTTTATTATTTATTTGACAGAGAGAGAGAGAGTACAAGCAGGAGGAGCGGCAGGCAGAGGGAGAGGGAGAAGCAGGCTCCCTGCTGAGCAGGGAGCCCAATGCAGGGCTTGATCCCAGCATCCTGGGATTATAACCTGAACCAGACAGGGTGCCCCTACTGCCCTCTTTTCCACAGTAGAAGGCTAACCTTTTTTTTTTTAAATTTTTAAATTTTTTTGTTTATTTATTTGAGAGAGCATGAGCGGGGGTGGGTGGAGGGGGCGGCAGAGGGAGAGGGAGAAGCAGACTTCCCAGGACCCTGAAATCAGGACCTGAGCCAAAGGCAGACGCTTAACCAAATGAGCCACCCAGGTGCCGGAGGCTAACCGTCTTCTAAAACAAAAAACATTAACTGTCCGTGCTCTCCACAAATGAAAATGCTTATAGCTTTAAAAGTTTAAAATGCTTTAAAAATTCTTTTTAAATACTAAAAATGCCAAAATCATAATTTTACACTTCCAAGTACTCTACAACTCTTAATGAAACTTATATAAAGTAACCACCATATCCTATTTTTTAAAATTCTCAACTGCAGGTACAACTTTTGTTATATCCTTAGTCTCTGAAGAAATCAAAGCAAAATATTACTAAACTGATCAGTTGGCCCTTAGGCTACAATAATCAAGAGATTAGTTAGGGCAGAATGTGTCTTCACATTTGTTTGCAGTATGACACAGCTGAGTTTCTCCCTGTGAATATCTAGGGAACAAGATCTCTTAAACACACACACACACACACACACACCTTTCTCCCTTTCATTCTTCTGAATAATGATGGTCATGAGCTCTGACCCTTATTATTGGCTCAAGTCATACACAGTAGAGAAATTAACTTCCATTAATCAAAATTATGAACAAAAAATCTACTCCTCAGCATAAAGTAGAAATAACCATCTGAAACAAATGAAAATCCATGTTGGCATTTGGGAGAAAAACATTAGTGAACAGTATAAAATCCATGCCCTCATGAATCATAAATTCTAGGAAGGAAAGAATAATAAACATAATAAATGACTAAGTATAGAGTACGCTAGACAATGATTAAAGCCATGCAAAAAATAGAGCTCAGGCTCAGGAATACGGGGGAAGTGTTTGTGATTTTAAATAGGGTAGTCAAGGTAAGATTCATTGGAAAGGTGACACCTGAACATAGTTTGAGGACTGTGAGGGAATCAGGCATGCAGATAGCTGGAGAAAAAGTGTTCTAGGCAGAGGAAATAGCTAGGGCAAAAAGGCCTTGAGGAAGAATATGATGCCTACTGGGTTTAAGTAGAGTTATGTGAACAGAGCAATGGAGGACTTTAGTAGGGGACAGGCCAGAGTGTAAAGATGGGGGAAGAGAAGGCACTGGTCTTTGTAGATCATTATAGTAAGGATGTTAAGTTAAGTGAGGTGCCAATGAAGGACCCTGAGCAGAGGAGTGATATAATCTGTCACTTTGCTTCTGTGCAGAGAGAAGACTGTAGAAGGGGGTTAAAGGGAGAAGTAGAGAAACCAACTGGAAGCAATTTAGTAATTGAAGCAAGAGATGATGATGGCTTATATGAAGGTGGTTGCAGAAGAGTGGAGTCTGGATAAACATGTATTTTTAAGTTTTTATTTGAAAAATTTTCAAAATTAATTACAAAAAGAGCTGCAAGAATAGTAAAATAAACTCCCATGTACCCTTCACCTAGACTCACCATATTCTCTTTATCACTTTTTCATTTTTGAAGAGTTTGTTCATGGCTAGTAGTTTTATACAACAGCACCCAATTTGAGTTTGTTTAGTATTTCCTCAGAATTTTTGGCAGGAGAACTATGTAAGTAATGTTGTAAGCCTTCTCAATGCATAACATCAGAATGCACTATCAGGTTTGGGGTCAGTCTGTCCCTACATTAGTGTTATGATCCTTGAATACTTGAATAAGGTTTGTCTGCCAGGTTTGTCCACTGTAAAATATCAACTTTCCTTTTGTAATTACTATGCAACCTGTGTGGTAATACTTTAAGACAGTATAAATACGCTGTAACCTATCAAAGTTTCATCCAACAATGCACTGAGCATTCCTACCTGCAATAATTGTTACTATGACTGCAAAAAGGTCATTATCTAACAATCATTCCTTCTGTATTTATTAGTTGGCATTCTACTGTAAAAAAGAGCTTTCCCTTCTCCTTTACTTATTTTCAGTATGCACTCATAGATTTCTTTTTTATTTAATAGGTAATAATCCATTTCTGTCATTATTAATTTTGCTTCCAATACTGTCCTGGATTTGACCAGTGGAATTATCTTCAAAGAGCTGGCCAGTGGGAGGACTTAACTTTTTTTGACACAACAGTATGTTCCAAGGTCATCTTCAGACATTTCCTTCACCAACCCCCAAAATAGCCAATTCTCCAAGGGGTCCTCATTCTGGGTATGTTTTAAGATAGTCCAGTAGAGAAGCTATTGAGTGTGAGAGATAAGAATCATGGGTGACTTTACAAATTTTGGATTTGAACACTTGGAAGGACAGAGTTGGCATCAACTGAGATTAGCAAGCCTGCAAGTAGAACAGGTGTGTGAATGTTCTAGAGGAGGAGAGATCAGGTATTCACTTTAGGAGTTCTATTGAAACATCAAATAAACATCGGAACAGATGTCAAACGGGAAGCTAGATCTGAGCCTGGTGCCCAGGCTAAAAATATAGATCCAATAATCCCTGACATATAGATGGTATTTAAGCCATGAGACTAGGTAAGATGACCAAGAGGATGAGCATACACATACGGCAAAAGAACAAGTACTAGGCAAGGGGACTCTTCTATAAAAAGATAAGCAATCAACAGAGAAGACAAAACAGGAATTTCTAGTGAGGAAAAAGGAAAACAAAGAGAGAATGAAGTCCTATAAGCCCAGTGAAAAAAAACAAGGAAGAGGATCAGCTGAGTTAAATGTTGCTGAAAGGTCAAGTGAGACAACTGAGAACTGCCCACTGGCTTTAGCGTGGCTGAGTATAAACATCAGCTCAAAAAGGGCAGGGTTTTTCTTTTGTTCAATGACATATCCCATGTGCTCAGAAAAGATCCCAGCCAAGTATAAACAAGTATTTATTTATTGAATGAATGAATGAACATGGAGGTCTTTGATGACCTTAACCAAAACAGTTTTGGTGGAGTGAATGGGGGGAAATCCTAACTGAAGTGAGTTTGAAAGATATGGCAGGAGGGGAAACTAAAGACACTATCAAGAACTCTCCTGAGGAACTTTGATGCAAAAGGAAGAGAAATGGTGCTCCAACTGGCTAGGAAGTAAGATACAAGAATTTTATTTATATTTATTTATTGATTTATTTATTTTTTAAAAGATTTTATTTATTTGACAGAGAGAGACACAGCGAGAGAGGGAACACAAGCAGCGGGAGTGGGAGAGGGAGAAGCAGGCTTCCCGCTGAGCAGGGAGCCCGATGTGGGGCTCGATCCCAGGACCCCGGGATCATGACCCGAGCCAAAGGCAGACGCTTAACGACTGAGCCACCCAGGCACCCCAGAATTTATTTTTTAGATGGGAGAAATAAAAGCATGTTTTTGTAGGTAATAATCCAATAGAGAGGGAAAAGCTGGTATAGGAGAGGGGAGACTTCCTAGAGCAATGTCCTTGAGCAAGTGAGAGAATGATATATATTAAATTATATATATTAAAAGATCACATAAATTCCCCACAACTTGTTCCAATGATAAGAAAGTGTCATACTCAATCCCTACTTTTTAAAAAATTTTATTTATTTATTTATTTAGAGCACACGAGTAGGGGGAGGGGGAGTAGGAAGGGAGAAACAGGCTCCCCACTGACCAGGACCCCGGGATCATGACCTGAGCTGAAGGCAGCCGTTTAACCGACTGAGCCACCCAGGTGCCCCTCAATCCCTGCTTTTTAAGTGCCTTGGAATAACCTACCACCTGCCTGAAACCTGTTAGTTTTACTAGGAAAATCATTTTAGCTCTGTACTTCATAATCTTTGCATATTGTAGTTGAGTATACAAACCTCCACTGCATTTGTTTTTTCTTTTCTTTTTTTTTAAAGATTTTATTTATTTATTTGACAGAGAGATAGACAGAAGAGCACAAGCAGAGGGAGTGGCAGAAGGAGAGGGAGAAGCAGGCTCTGCAATGAGCAGGGAGCCCGATGCGGGACTCGATCCCGAGACTCCAGGATCATGACCTGAGCCGAAGGCAGACGCTTAACCATCTGAGCCACCCAGGCGCCCTGCATTTGTTTTCTAAATTATTAAGCACTATGTTGCTATTAGTCCTTGACCTTAAAAAAATCTATTATGGTATCTAGATCACTTTTTAGTTGTACAAAAATAACTCAATTATTTGGAAGCTAAAACCTACAGAGGCAAGATGATAGAATTTCTAACAAAAGATTAGGCCAAGGATTTTTATCGTGGGTGAAGCTGATTCTTCACTTTGCTTAGTCTGATTACAAAAACACTAGTATCAGTTTAGTGCTACCATCGAAGCATATACATTTAAATATTTATTCATAATTCTTATGCAATTCTACACTTCCTTGTTTTTACTGAAACCATGTGCTACTGCTAGTGATACATTTATAGAAATGAACAATTCACATTTAAAAAGGATTTGATTAGGGGTGCCTCGGTGGTTCAGTCAGTTAAGCGGCTGCCTTCAGCTCAGGTCGTGATCCTGGGATGGAGCCCCGTATTGGGCTCCCTGCTCAGCAGGCAGCCTGCTTCCCCCCGCCCTCTGCTGCTACCCCTGCTTGTGTTCTCTCCACTCTCTCTGTCAAATACATAAATAAAATCTTTAAAAAATAAACAATAAACATGTCTTCCAATTTCAATTTCTTAGGTGGCTTAAGATTTAACCTCCTAAATGTCCTGAACAACTTTTTTTTCTGGTTTGGGTTTTTTTGGTGACTTCTTCCTGTTCCCATTCACCTTTCCCTCACCTCCCAATAAATAAGACAGCCTTACTGAATTATAAGATTAGAAACACCATAATAAAAATAAAACTTCATTATAAATTTTATTTAAAATCTCAACTAGAGAATGAGGGGACTGTAAGTTTGATAATGTCCCCCAGGTGACTGTGACATGCTGTACTTCCTGTCCTTTCCCATCACTGGTTAAAAAACATTAGCTTTAGAAAAAAAAAAATTTCCCTTTATATAACTATAAACAATTTCTCCAGCATGCTTCTCAAACTTTAATGTGCATACAAACTGTCTGGAGATCTTGTTCAAATGAGAATTTGGATTTAGTAAATTGTGTTTGGCTTGGGTTTCTGCATTTCTTACAAGCTCCCAGGTGATGCTAGTACTCCTGATCTGCAGATGTTTGAGGAGTAAGTTTCTATAGAACAAACACATTTGCATTTGTGTGATTGTTTATTCTTTGGAGACAGAATGATAAAGCAAGTTTTCAGTTACTCATCAATGTTTTATATACACTGTTGATTAAACCCAGGCAAACTCTCTTGTTTTCAAAAATACCCCATCCCTGCTCACTGCCTAGAAGCATATAAATAAAAAGTAACACAAAGCAAATTGTCCAAGTACAGTGAATTTCAAATACCTGTTGTTTGGAATTATTTACATCATTGCTCCCTTATACCAACCTAGAAAATGGCAAGCCGAATACAGGTAATCAAATTCATGTTGCTTAAAAAAGAATTAAGATTTAGATCATATCTATTATTGGATAACAATTAACAATTTACTTAAAAAAAAAAAGTAAAGGCCATAAAGGAAAGATGATGACTGAATAAAGTACATTTCTTCAAGAGTTTATTTTTTTCCTCAAATGTTTACTAAATTGTTTGAAAATGAACTTTTGGGACCTACAGCAATGTTTACAAACTAAAACGGATTTTTAAAATATCCTGCCTCTTTTCAAAATTAATAATGGGTAGTAGTAATACCACATTATATTTGTTTAAACCAACTGGGAAAAAATTACAATAGACATTTTGAAAATAATTATACAAATTTACCTGCTCCTGGATGTTTAGAAATTATAGCTTTAGCCAACACTGTGCCTAGTAGCTTTGAAACTGAAATCCGCACATCATAATTGGAACCTTCAAAGGACTTAAAACATAGTGTGGCCACACTATCCAGGTCTGTACTCCACATAAAGATGGCCTCTTTCTGAAGTTCAAGGAGACACTATTTAATTGAAAAAACAGACATTAACGAAAAACAAACTGTAAATGTCAGGTTCAGATCTACATAAGTTATAGAAACTATCAAGATCTAAAAAAATTATATACACATCCAAAGTATCTAAACAATGATTGCAGAGACAACAAATGAATACTTACTAAAAGTCATAAAAATTATACTATATAAAACAATGTGTCCACAGAGGATGGGAGGAGAACCCATTCTAACTCAGTAGGCTAGGAAAAACGTCTGAAGAACCAATCTGCTGGCTATGAGCAATTGTGAGAATAACTACAACATAAACAACTTTACTGTCCTATCTGACCAACTGTATTAAGAAGCCATGATAATTCTGCTGAAGATCACAAGACTTGGCCTAGATCTGCAGAGGACTAAACTGCCTTATGTTGATTCTGTTTCCTAGCTTGCAAAAAGTGACATATTCAAAAGAAATGAAAATATCAAAATCTAAATCCTAGACTTAACAAAAAAGAAGGCATGATAAAAACAAATCACTTTCAAATAACATAAACTTTACATGTAAACTTTAGTTTACAAAACTATAGAGAGGAAGCATAGTAGAGTGAAAGGAATACTTAAGAGTCGTGGTAACCTGAATTCCCCACCCTCCAACAATATTCTGTGAACTATCTGAAGAACCCTGGGAAATTCATATAACTCTCTGGACCTCAGTGTCCTCCTATGCCAAAATAAGATGGGCTGATTTCCAAGGTTGTAGCTCTGAGATCATGTAGTTGTTAACAGGGATACTAATTTAATTTTCTTTGTATTTATTTTGAGAAATTCTACTTATTAGACCATTTTACCTTTGCAGCAGCACAACGAACAGCCATGGATCTATCTGTTAAGCAGGATTTAGCAGCTTTATAAACATCCCTGTGGCAAGGCGTAGCAGCAGCTCCTAGTCCATTCAATATATTCTGCAAACTCAACATAATCTCATATCGACCTTGAGACTACCAAAAAGAAAAAATTTAAATAAGAAAAAAATTTCACTGTGAAAAGTAGCATTAAGCATCAAAATTTCTCTCATGTACTAGTGAAATACTTCAGTATCTGTATACACTAACCAACCCATCTGATATCAAGAGACATGAACAGCTGTTATTTTATGAAGTGTTTACTATTTGAAAAGTGTTATGTGTATATATTTCAACACAATACAAAGGGTTGATATGAAGATTAAATGAAATTATATGAAAAATCCTAGCACAAAGCTTGCATGTTGTTAAGCATTCAATAAATGGTTGCTATTAATGAGGTAACATGGTAAGAGTTCAGGGACTGCCATCTAGCAGCTAAGTGACCTTGGGCAAAACAGTTTATCTGTGAAATGGACATATCCACCTCACAGGTTGTTGTGAAGATCAAACAAGTTACTACACGCAAAACGCAAAACGCTGAGAATAGTGCCTGGGATATAGTAAATGCTCAATAGATTTTATAGCCATTAATATTTTATCATTTATTGGGCTGAGTAGTTGAACTCAGAGGACAAAAGTCTGCGCTTTAGACTTAAAAAGACCCGGGGCTGAATCTTGCCTCTGATCCTTAGCACTTGGGTGACTTTAAGTTGTGCTTATTTCTCCATCTATAAAATGAGAATAAGATGAAACCCATACAGCCAGTGTGAGAAGTAAATAAGTCCTTGTGGGGAAAACATTCACCACAGTGCCTGGTACATAATAAATACTCAAAAAATAGTAGCTGTTTATATTACTGATATTTTAATTAATGCCCCAAACAACTTCTATATCCCAGGAAGTTAAGGCCACTCAAAATAACTAAAGTTGGGAGAAGACAAAGATCAACATCAACCACCATTTTCATAGGAATGTTATCAATTTATCTTTGTCCAAAGGAGCACAACAGTGAGTAATTAATAGGTGGACATAACCAAATGGGTCCCAAGGTGAAACTTCTGAACTTTCTTTCTATCCCAACTTTATGTTGTCTGTTACTGAAGGGTGTGAATTAAAGGTGGGAACCCTTTGGATATCTCCAACATGTTGCAGTACTGATCAACTAAGTCATAAAGATAAAAAATAGCAAGAAATAAAATCTTCAGCAGTAACTTTAAAATTTCTGAGACTTACAGAGTAATCCTGTTAAACATGGGGCCTAAAAAGATTATAGCTTAACTAATGGAGTTAAGTGGAAAGAAAGTTTAAAGTGGCCGTTCCTCAGCAGATAAAAGTTCTTACAAAGATTTCCTTTTAAATAAAACCCAGTTTATAGATGTTAACAATCTCTTCTGCTGAATCACTTTCTTCAGTCTTTTAGCAAACCACTGCTTAGAACTGATTGCCTGAGTAGATTCAATCACTAGTTTTTTGTTATGGACTTCAATTCTTAAAGTTCTTGAATAAGCTACGTTCTTTTTTTTTTTTTTTAATTTTATTTTTTAAAATAATCTCTACACTCAGCATGGGGCTTGAACTCACAACCAAGAGTTGCATGCTCTACTGACTGAGCCAGCCATGCACCCCAAATCAGCTACATTCTTCTGGAAATTTATCATATTTTACATGTGAACTTTTTTTTTTAAAGAATTAATTAATTAATTAATTAATTAGAGTGAGCGGGAGAGAAACAGCATGAGAGGGGAGAGGGTCAGAGGGAAAAGCAGGCTCCCCGCTGAGCCGGGAGCCCGATGTGGGACTCGATCCCAGGACCCTGGGATCATGACCTGAGCTGAAGGCAGTCGCTTAACCAACTGAGCCACCCAGGCGCCCTACATGTGAACTTTCAAATTCAGGTCGTGATCTCAGAGTCTTGAGATCGAGCTCTGTGTCAGGCTCTTTGCTCAGTGTGAAGTCTGCTTGGAGTTTCTCTCTCCCTCTCCCCCTCCCCACAGCACATGCGCTCTCTCTCAAATAAATAAATAAATGTTTTTTTTTTTTAAATGTGTGGGCAACTAGATAGCATTTTTAAAAATTATTTCAGAGCTGTTTTCTAGACTTCTTTTCTAGGTAAAGTTAGAACAAGAACTGGTATATTGTTTTTATATTTAAAGGTGCTGAGTTATCCTTAAATATTAGGGACCACAGATTTAAAATTTTTGATAAACACACATACAAATGCTTTAATTTCAAAAATGACTGGTGAGAGGCACCTGGGTGGCTCAGTCATTAAGCATCTGACTTCCTGCTGAGTAGGAAGCCTACTTCTACCTCTCCTACTCCCCCTGCTTGTGTTCCCTCTCTCACTCTGTCAAATAAATAAATAAAAATCTTAAAAAAAAAAAAAGGTGAGTGGCGCCTGGGTGGCTCAGTCGGTTAAGCATCCACCTTCAACTCAGGTCATGATCCCAGGATTCTGGGATCCAGCCCCACATCGGGCTCCCTGCTCAGCAGGGAGCTTGCTTCTCCCTCTGCCCCTCCCCCTGCTTGTGCTCTCTCTTTTTCTCTCTCTCTCTCTCATAAATAAAATCTTAAAAAAAAAGATTAGTGAAACTATAGTTGTCAAGAAATTACAGTATCTTGGAAGCCAAATGAAGAGACAGTTACAAAAACAAAGGATATTCCACACTGGTAAATGATCACAAATCAGTAAGGCTAAGGCTGAGAATATATTCCCCTGGCAACTAAAAGGTTAACCAGATCCTGGTCATACTTATATCCTTCAAGCTCTTTCCCAACCTGATTATATTCCTTACTCCTTTCTGATGCTGGTAGAATACTAATCCATCCATCAGGTATCCAGTAGTTACCAACTACGTATCTGGATCCTTGTTGACAAACACTTGCTGTAGTACTAGTGTTAGGGGAAAAGGTGATGTGAAGGGAAGAAGCAGGGATGGGTCTGCCAGAGAAATACCTTAGCTTTTGCCGATTCGGATTTATCCAAAATCGTAAATTGCATTATTGATTTTCTAATATAGATTTAATATACAAGAGATATGTGCATCTCCTAGAAATATTTCATTTATGGATATATTTATATATATACCTATGTATGCTTACCATAGGTAAAGCATTTTTACTGGCTCAAGAAACCATAAAACACAAAACCATAAAATACTTCTTATTCTTTTTCTTTTGATGTAATAAAAATTATAGTTTATCTTTTTATTCTTTGGTTGAACTTGTGGTTACTCACCTCTGCACTCTTCATAGCTTTAAGAATATTCCCCACTGTACCGGTAAAGGTGTTAACCAGCATTCTACCCAATTTCTTGTACAAGGAACCCAAACATACCACTGCAGCACTGAAACAACATTTAGATTAGAAATTAGTCATGAATGAAAAAACAGGAATAAAAAAAATCTTAGACTATGTAAAAGTGACTATTTAATTTTACTTTTAAAGGATAAAATTGCCAGAATCTATTCCACTATTAAATCCTAAGGTATGATGCTTGCATGAATACCAAATAATTACTTTCAATAACAGTAATTTAAAAAAAAAATGTATCTTCAAATAATTGAAACCTCAGCCCAAATATTCCATTCCCTCAAATTTTTTTATAAAATAATTTTTCATGAAACTGACCTTCATATATTAGATAATCAAAGATAATCTTAAAGATACAAGATAAGAAAAACAGGAAATAATGTTTTTATCAAGTTTGAAATCTGAAAACTCCATGGGAAAATACATTCTGTTCTAACTAAAAATTAGATCAACAAAAATTTCTGTAAAATTACTATTGTGCAACCATACATGGCAAACTACTTTCTCTAAAATAACAGATGAAAAAATGAATTGAATCCTATGGAGAAAGAAACTAAGCTGTTCTTTTTAGGAGCTCAGAAGAGTATTTTTCTATGTGGTATTTACTATTAACTTTTACTACGAAGAGCTAATAAATTAAAAGAACACCAAAGATTTGAAGAACTCAAAATACTTTTTTTTTTTTTTTTAAGATTTTATTTATTTATTCATGAGAGACAGAGAGAGAGAGAGAGAGAAGCAGGCTCCCAAGGAGCAGGGAGCCCGATGCGGGACTTGATCCCAGGACCCTGGGATCATGACCTGAGCCGAAGGCAGACGCTTAACCATCTGAGCCACCCAGGCGCCCTCAAAATACTTTTTCTTAAACACTCACTCAACTGCTAAGATTTTTTGTATTTATCTTTTTTTTTTTTTTAAAGATTTTTTATTTATTTGACAGAGAGAGATACAGCGAGAGGGAACACAAGCAGTGGGAGTGGGAGAGGGAGAAGCAGGCCTCCCGCAGAGCAGGGAACCCGATGTGGGGCTCGATCCCAGGACCCTGGGATCATGACCTGAGTCGAAGGCAGACGCTTAACGACTGAGCCACCCAGGCGCCCCTTTTGTATTTATCTTTAAAACACTTTTTTTTAGGGGCGCCTGGGTGGCGCAGTCATTAAGCGTCTGCCTTTGGCTCAGGTCATGATCCCAGGTCCTGGGATCGAGCCCCATATTGGGTTCCCTGCTTAGCAGGAAGCCTGCTTCTCCCTCTCCCACTCCCCCTGCTTGTGTTCCCTCTCTCGCTGTCTCTCTCTCTCTGTCAAATAAATAAATAAAATCTTAAAAAAAAAAAACCACCCACAAAAAAACACTTTTTTTAATAGTTGACATATATTAGTTTCAGGTGTACAATAGTGATTCGACAATTATAAACATTACAAAATGCTCACTACAGTAAGTGTAGTTATCATCTGTCATCATACAATGTTATTACAATATTATTGATGATATTCCCTATGCTGTACTTTTCATCCCTAGGACTTGTTTTTATAACTAGAAGTTTATACCTCTTGATCCCCCTCACCTATTTCACTTGTCTCCCTAACCTATTCCCCACTCTGGCAACCACCAGTTTGTGTTCTATATTTATGAGTCTTCAACTGCTACATTTTTAGTGAAACAGTTCTGATTCCCAAATCAAGACTTCAAATACATCTAAAATATTTTTTAGAGGAACAGTCTCTCAATCAATGGGAAAACGTTAGATGTTTTTTAAAAGTTAGATTTAAAAAATGAGTGAAACAACTTGTATTCAGTTTCAAAATAATTATCAAGTAGTTTGGGTTCTTTAGAAAAATGATTCAACAAGGAAGCACTATTTTGTTTTATGTTCAGTTTTAATATTTAACTTACAGCTTTGTGGGAAGATAACTTGGAGAATCATCTTTGCTACGAATAAGATCATTACATTTATCGATTGTCTCATAAACAGAGAATGTGTCACCAATACTATAAAGAACGCCTAGATTTTTAGCAAGGAGTTTGCGGGTAGGAGGGCCTGGGGAGCTGTTCAACAAAGATAGGAGCTGTTCAACAAGAGTCTTCTGTTTCTCCTTTACATCATTCTAGAAAGGAAGGTAACAAAAAAGACAATTCAAAGTCAACATAATTACATATAATCTTCTAATACAATTCTTCTTTCATATATTTAAGAATTAAAAACTCCAGAAAAATACAAAATTATTTTGACTGAAAATTACAAATAAGTGGGTGGTGTAGTCATCATACCACACAAGGTAGTTTGCTACCCTGCAGGTATCTCCAAAAAATAATTTCGGGGCCACAATATACTGGAGTCTCTGTGAAGAAAGGTAAGGGTTCTATTTCTTCTATACCTTTCTTCTTCTGTTGTACTTGTATTTTAACCAGAGGTTCTTTGTTATTAAGTCTCTGCCCCATATATATCTGTATAAATAAGCAGGAACTATAATCTATCATGAGTTGACCTTGTAATGAATGATTGTGTTACTCAGATCTTTTTCTAAGTTTAGTGCAATTTTCTTTCTGCAAGCTTATGCATCTAAATGCCAGTAATGTTACTCCATTTTACTTGTCTGCTTTCTGAAAAAGGAGTACAGAATACCATTATAATAATAATGGTATTTAGGTGCTCACTAAGGCGTAAGCTTCCACAATGAAGTATTTGTTAGTATGGATTTTTGTCTTGTTAAATTCCAAATGTCTCCATGAGTACTGTCTCTGCATCACTTTTGCACTACATATAGTATTGTTATTATGTAGAAGAATATCCTCATTTTTAGTAGGAGATGTACGCAGAGGTATTTAAGGTGCAGTACCACCTCATACGGCTCAGTAAATCAGTCAATCAAATATGGTAAAATGTTAACTGCTGAATGTAGGTGAAAAGTATGAGTGATTTGTTTTCTTTTTTGGAAACTATTTCATAAGCTTAAGAATGAATATGTTTACTAAAAGACTTCTAAATTCAAATTCTCCTTAAAGAGCTCACAACTTTTTTAAAGTGAAACTCCCGTTACAATATTCAGCAGTATATTACACAAGGGCTTCATGCATATGAAGGTGAAGAAGATAATGAAAATGAAATCTAACAGAATGTAGTTTAGAGCTAGTTTTTTATATTTTCATATATTTTTTAAGTAATATAAAAAACATTGGCTGATTTCTTCCTGCTTTTTGAAAGAATAAACTTCTTGTAGTATTTCATTATAAACTCTTAATAAGGTCTAGCATTTGAAAGCTAACTTACGTTATTCTGGACGGAACTAGAAAAGCAAACCAAAGGACCTAAACATTATCTGGTACTTAAAAAAGCACAAAAAAGTTTGCAATTTTACCCACCCTGCTGGTCGCCAGCAAGAGCTTCTCCAAATATCTCAACCAATCGAAAATAAACTCTGCCTTCTGAACTTCACCTAGCTGATTGTATGCTTCTTCATTCAGCAATAAGCTATGAGCTAATTCCATTCCTTGCAAAAAATTCTCCTAGCTGGTCACGATTCTTCTCATTAAACTTCAATCATATACCTAGAAAAAAATCTGTAATAGAGGAAAAGAACATATTTAAAAAGGAAGGCAACTGTAATACTGGAAATACAGATAGAATGCTACAGGTAATTAAACTAAAAACATTTATATACATAGCTCATATTCCCCTAAACAAATCTGTCTTTTATAGAGAAACCAGTAAGTAAAGATGTGTTAGAAAACCAGATGGGACTCTTTCCGCCATCTTGGAGCCTACAGAGGCCTGCTGGGAATCTGCTCCTAAAATATATCTGGAAGGTTGTGGTCCACGGCCATTTTTGCTGGCTATAAGCAGGGTCTTCAGAACCAGAGGGAGCACACAGCTCTTCTTAAAACTGAAGGTGTTTATGCTTGAGATGAAACTGAATTCTATCTAGGCAAGAGATGTGCTTATGTGTACAAAGCAAAGAACAACACAGTGACTCCTGGTGGCAAACCAAACAAAACCAGAGTAATCTGAGGAAAAGTAACTCGTGCTCATGGTAACAGTGGCATGGTTCATGCCAAATTCCAAAGCAACCTTCCTGCTAAAGCCATTGGCCACAGAATCCATGTGATACTGTACCCATCAAGGATTTAAACTTAATGAAAAGTAAGTAAATAAATAAAGATGTAGAAAAAGAAAAAAAAGAAAGAAAGACAAAAGAAAGAAAATCAGATGGGAGACCTAGGCGAGGGCTTTTCTTTCTTTTCATTCATTTTTTTTCTCCTAGAGAGTTTATTAGTATAAAATTACTTATAGTATCAGATCATCATAATTAATATAAATGTGAGAAGAGTCTCCTTATAAGATAGTAGTCACAAACTGGTACCCTGGTGGCCAAATTTACCCTGCAACATATTGGGGGAGAAAGGACTTACTAATATTTAAGCATAAGATTTTACAGGAAAACCTGTGTCCATATCCCCATATAGCAACAAATGGCTGAATCTAAGAGAGGGACCTTCCAGCAGGCCGTTACTGCCACCTGGCCTGCCTCATTCATTTACAGTATTTGCCAACTTCTTCACGTATTTAAGTTTTCAACTCCTACTCTTTATCTTACTTGTGTCCTTCTGGCTTGGGCCAATATTCTGGATTCTGACCATGCTGCTGCCCCAGAGGCCAAAAGGCAGCTTTTACCAATCCACACCCACCAAGTCTGCATGCTGCTTTAGCCATCTGGGTTGTTCCCTTCCAGTGAGTCTTGCCTACCTGCCCAATACCACCTATAACCTGGTACTGACAGTCCTAAAAAAAAAAAAAGACACACCAGGATTTTCAGAAATGTCAATTTTAAGGAACGAGAATATAAACAATGGTGCTAACAAATTCACATTTACAGAGCAAGTGAATTTTTAGGTTCTTGTTTAAATAAATCTTCCTTTCTTAAATTACTGAAGCCAACCGACCAAAATATACACAATTAAGGACAAAGTTAATAAATGCTAGAGAAACAGTTTCTGGAAGAAACCTTCTAGCTATACAGAAGGTGAAAAGCAAGTGTGCACTCAATATCTATGATTGTCTGAGGGAAAAAAATTACCTCAGTAACATAGAGAAAATTTCTTATAACCACCACGGCAAATCAAAATCCTATCTTAAGAATCAAATTACCCTTTTTAGAGGTCATTAGGACTGCTGAAGAGACTTTTTTTTCCCTTAGGCAGCAGCAATATTGTGGTGTAAAATGATCTATCAAGAAGCAAAACAGCTAACACAATGCAATAATAAATAATTCAGTAAAAAGCTTGAGATCATAGCAGGGCAGAGTTATCTCCAATGTCTTCAATACATTCCTCATATAAATTGCTACTAAAAGTAAACAATTCATATTAGTAATCCCACATCTAACCACCCAACTCTAAAATGTACCTGTGATCTCCATGTATGCACTATCAATGGGATCAGCAAATGCTTTTTGCAAGTAACAGATGTTCCTGCTCTTACCTCAGGTTTCACTTTAGGAAGATGAATACAAATGCAATCAATATACTGTATGTTTTAATATAACCACACCCTACAACTATTATGTATCTGGAGACTGCTTATTTTTCTAATTTTCTCTTATTTTCTATTCTTATGTTTCTGTTGAGATCACAAAGTGATCAGTTTATTAAAAGTGAACATACATTACAATATATCTATCAAACTACAATTATGCTACTTGAAAAACATATTTGTAAAACTACTGCTCCCACTTAATGCCAGCCATTATTTTCGACAAAGCTAACACGTATTGGCCACTTATTATAAGTGCTTTATATTTTCTCAAATAATTCACAAAATTGTTCAAGAAATAGCCAGCTTTTTTTTTTTTTTAAGATTTTATTTATTTATTTGAGAGAGACAGATAGTGACAGAGATCGTGAGAGAGAGCACAAGCGGGGAGGAGAGGGAGAAGCAGGCTCTCGCTGAGCAGGGAGCCCGACGCAGGACTTGCTCCAAGGACCCTGAGATCATGATCTGAGCCGAAGGCAGATGCTTAACCAACTGAGCCACCCAGGCATCCCACAGCCAGCTACTTTTAGATGAGGAAACTGAGGCACAGAGAAACTAAGTAGCAGTCCTAAGGTCACAATGAACTTGGATGTATACATAAGCAATCTGACTCTAGATATATGTGCTTTAACCACCAGATACTGCCACTCTTTCATCCAATCAAGCCCCTCAAACACCTCAAAATCAGCCACTTTTAAAAAGCTTAGAATGTGTAGAGAATTTGTGGATAATATGGACAGATCACTGTACTATTTCATAAAAACTGAACACCAGGTTCTTTATTTTTATTTTTTATTTTTATGGATTTCATTTATTTATTTGATAGAGCAAGTGAGCACAAACAGGGGGAGCAGGAGAAGGAGAGGGAGAAGCAGGCTCCCCGCTCAGCAGGGAGCCCGACGTGGGGCACAATCCCAAGACCCTAGGATCATGACCTGAGCTGAAGGCAGATGCTTAACCATCTGAGCCACCCAGGTGCCCCCAGATTCCTTATTTTAATAAGTATGAGAATCTAGTTATAAAACTAAGTTATCCAAAAGATTTCTCAGGGTATTCATAGTGTACTATGAATCTCCATGAATGCAATGTAATCTGAAGTATTAATCAAAACACGGCACAATACTAATTTCCCGACCTAAGTAAGCTGTCCCATGGAGAAATTAACGTGTACCTGTTATGGACACTTGTCCTATATTTTAAAAAGGTACACAAGAATATTACTTTACAGGGACACCTGGGTCGCTCAGTCAGTTATGTGTCTGCCTTCAGCTAAGGTCATGATCCCAGGGTCCTGGGATCCAGTCCCGCACTGGGCTCCTTCCTTGCTCAGCAGGGAGCCTGCTTCTCCCTCTGCCTGCTGCTCTCTTTCTCAGACAAATAAATAAATTAAAATCTTTACAAAAAAAAAAAAAGAACATTACTTTACAGTCAAATATCATATATGCTAACATAAAGCCATTAGTTGAACTAAGCTTACAAATACCCTTCAATGCTTTTTAGACCATACATTTCTCTGAGGCACTTTGTAATAACTGTTTGTATTTTGTGTATGATAAATACCCCTAGTGACTCAGTCATAATGTTCATCCCTGAAGTCTTCTATATTGAGAAAAATAGGCACTGTGTATTAGACCTAAGGTTCTAAGGTACTGTCCTACTACTATGACTCTCAAAGTGGGATATCCCCAGCAGTGTGTCAACAGAATACACATACTGGGGGATCAAATTTTACTTAACCATTTCCCCTCTGATATTAACTTAAAACAGTATATTAAAATAAATATACATTTAATATGCACTAGAAGGCAAAAATAATAAAGTGTTTCAAGATAAAACATGAGCCTTCAGAGAAATTCTAAGCATGACAAGCCTTTCTAGACATCTTTTAATAAAATCACCACCCCCCCCACCGCCCCACCAAAATTCACTCCCCTCTCCTGGTACGAATACTAGTTTAGTGGAAATGTTTAAGAACAACTAAGCTGCTAGTAGGCTGAACTATATGAACTGCCATTTTTTTTTTTAAAGATTTTATTTATTTATTTGACAGAGAGAGACACAGCGAGAGAGGGAACAGAAGCAGGGGGAGTGGGAGAGGGAGAAGCAGGCTCCCCACTGAGAAAGGAGCCTGATGCGGGGCTCGATCCCAGGACCCTGAGATCATGACCTGAGCCGAAGGCATTAACAACTGAGCCACCCAGGCACCCCTATGAACTGCCATTTTTATAGTTCAAAAAATGGCTGCATATCAGCAAATTCATATGGTTCAATTTAAATATCATGTTTAGTCTTCAAAGACTTGGCACAGTGTAAGTAAGGCTAATGTCCACATTCTGCATAGTGTTCTTACACCAGTGACTTTATTGCCCTAGAGTAATACATGTATATAAATATTGTTGATGGCTGACAGAAAGAGGAACCAGCAGGGGGCCAAATGGCTAAAGCCCATGTTTGCTAGAATAACCTACTCCAAAGCCATCTCCAGGAGAAGTTAATCTTACTATCATGAAGGGCTAATTTTCCATTTGAAAATGAGTTCACATCAAATTTATGTAGGCAAAGAAGTGTAAGCACCTTCAAGAATTTTATTTTTTTCACCTTCAACAATTTTATTCATTTAAAAGATTTTTGGGAGGGGGAAGGGGAGAGGGAAAGAATCTTAAGTAGGCTCCAGACCCAGTTTGGATCCTGATGGGGTCTTGTTCTCACAACCCTGAGATCATGACCTGAGTTGAAATCAAGAGTTGGACGCTTAACCAACTGAGCCATCCAGAGCCCCTAAAATATTCTATTTTTAAATAATCTCTACACCCAATGTGGGGCTTGAACTCACAACCCCAAGATCAACAGCTGCATGCTCTACCAACTGAGCCAGCCAGGCACCCCTCACCTTCAACAATTTTAAAACTAACACAAAACAAAACAGCCTACAGATGCCAGTCCTGAGAGTGTTAACATGATTTTCTCTATCTAGGTAGGGTTTAAAGATCTATTTTGGTAGAGACAGGAACATATTTAAAATTATGGTTAA